TCTTTTCTTCTCATATTGCTTCATAACATCGAGTTTTACCAGTACTCTCTGGACCATGTTTATTCTTCATTCCCTAGGGCAAAGTTCTTTTTTCTAAAGAAAGAAAGAAAGAAAGAAAGAAAGAAAGAAAGAAAGAAAGAAAGGGAAAAAGTAGCAAGAATGAATCTGCTGCTATTGCTTGGCAGAGATTGGGAGTGGTGCGCAACTTTTGTAACAACGTAAAAATGTCATTCAGAGATGGGGGAAATAGGTACCAGAACAGGAAGTGTTTAAGCTTTTAAATAAATAAATATCTGCTTATGTTACATGTTTTCCTTTTTGCTCACAGTTGCATAGAAACTGTTTGATCTGCAGGATTGCTCTGAAAGTTCTTCCTTGTTCTATTCATGAATGGTTTGCTTAGAGGTAAGTCTGTGTTCACCAGGGGAATTACTCCTAAGTGCTCATAAGACTTCAGCCTTAAAACTGCTATTGCAGCTCTGCTCTGACTGGTCAAAGGAGCAGCAACACAACAAGAAATGGGAAACAGCCAGATTGACCAATGTTTTGGCTTTTAAAAAATCTACACACTGTCTGCTATGAAAGTCACAGAGAAAATGGTGGCCTTCATTATGCAATGTAGGATACAAGGGATTTTATCTCTCCTGAAAAAGTAGTTACTGTAGTTGTTTTGTTAAATGTATATTCAAATACCAGAAACTTAAGCTGCTTTTCCCCAGTTTTACTGAAAGCTTCCACTGCCCCCCCTTTTAAATAAGATTCTCTTACAGAATAACAGAAAGCTTCTATTTTTTACTCATATTCCTCTCGGAGTTCAGGATTTCATTGTATTTAGCAAAAAGAAAAGAAAAGCTGAATCAGTATGTTTTACACATCTTTCAGTTAAAGTACAGTGGTACCTTGGGCTACAGATGCTTCAGGTTACAGACTCCGCTAACCCAGAAATAGTACCTCGGGTTAAGAACTTTGCTTCAGGATGAGAACAGAAATCATGCGGCAGCGGGAGGCCCCATTAGCTAAAGTGGTACCTCAGGTTAAGAACAGTTTCAGGTTAAGAACGGACCTCCAGAACGAATTAAGTTCTTAACCCAAGGTACCACTGTAACCTATTTTGAAATAACACACAATTTTTTCCTGATAAGAGCAAAATGTTTTCAACTAATATTACTAAATAAAATGCTTAGATTTTAATATATTGTGGTACAGACTGAGAGATGAGTTTGAAACATCACTCAATGATCCCATAAACTCAGTGACTCTTGACTGTAAAAGAGCAATGATTAGCAGGAGTATAGAGACCAGCTTGATAAGATCTTCCCCCAATCCTATACTAACTGCCTCCATATACTGTAACTAAAGAGATTGCCAAATACAGGTGAATAAACTAAATTATCTGGATATCCTTCTGGAAGATATGTGTTTCTTTTTGTTCCCCCCCCCTTTTCAGCTCCAGGTAATGTCAGTGTGTGTGTGTGTGTGTGTGTGCGTGTGTGTGTGTGTAAGAGAACAAAAGACTTGGGCAGTCTTGAAACTGGACATGAAAAGGTAGAGACTTGGCTTGCCATCTACTGTGAATCAAGTTGTACAGCATTTGGGAGACCCCTAGAAATCCAATGGGGGAAGCAAGATATATTGGAATATATTATTGTTGTGAGACTTCCTTCTCATGCTAGATGTAAACTATAAGGTAAAGGTAAAGGGACCCCTGACCATTAGGTCCAGTCATGACTGACTCTGGGGTTGCAGCGCTCATCTCGCTTTATTGGCCGAGGGAGCTGGCGTACAGCTTCCGGGTCATGTGGCCAGAATGACTAAGCCGCTTCTGGCGAACCAGAGCAGTGCACGGAAACGCCGTTTACCTTCTTGCTGGAGCGGTACCTATTTATCTACTTGCACTTTGACATGCTTTCGAACTGCTAGGTTGGCAGGAAGGTGTACACTGTACATATCAGTAAATAAAAATTACATCACAGAACCTTTTCCACTCTACAATGGCCTTCAGTCCAAGGCCATCAAACTCAAGGCTCGTGCTCAGAGGACGCCTGAAACTTCTCACTGCTTAATAATTGGGACACATGTAATAAAATGTTTAAACAGACTAAAGCTGCTTCCTAATGCTTATTCTTGCTTCTAAGCCTGTTGTTTCCTGTGATATAATACAAGTCGTTGTCCACTAGTCCATAGAATCTTTCAAGAAAAAAGCAGATTGGCAAGGCCCGAGATTCAAACCTAAAAGGAATCTGAAATTGGTTCTTTTTAATACCTACATCATTAAGAAACAGAAAGGCTGCAAGCAATCTCTGCTTTCTCAAGGTGATCTTCATTCCAGAGGCTCATAGGATTTGTGGACCAGATAACATGTTAGCCTCTTGGGCATCTATTCCAGTTCCCCAGCGTGAGAAATTCCAGTAGTAGAGACTGGTGAAAAACAAGAACCAAAAAAAGAAAAGAAAAAGAAAGTACCACAACCAAGTATGTGAATGGAGTGAGATGCAAGGAGCCTAAGGCACTGAATTCTTCCTTGACTTTTAAGGACAGTCATTCATATGCAGAGTCAAGAAAGATTCCTTGAAGCTCAAATTCCTTTGATCCTCAGTGCCTTGAAGCTAGGCCAAGATCAAAGGCCATGATGGCCTTGCAAGTTAAGAGAACATTCTCGGTGTCCCAGGAATCTATGGAGCAAGGTGCAACAGAATCAAGAGGGATTCTTTACCTGCTGTGCCTCCATATAGGCCTTCTGTGACAAACCCCCAAGTGTTCTCTGAAGGTTACCGGTATATTCTAATAGAACCTCTCTACATCCATTATGTCATCATCATTTGTGACTAGCCCAGCTTCAGAAGAAGCACGCTTCCATTCTAACAAATATCACTTGACTAGAAATGAATAGGTTACAAACTTTTTAACTTCCAGAGTTAATGTTGAATACATTACTTCCAGCAAATGAGCCGCCATAGCTGCTAGAGGGCTGTGAAAATTTGTGTCCCAAGCTTTTTAGACCCACCTAGGTAAAGGTAAAGGTACCCCTGCCCGTACGGGCCAGTCGTGTCCGACTCTAGGATTGTGCGCCCATCTCACTTAAGAGGCCGGGGGCCAGCGCTGTCCGCAGACACGTCCGGGTCAAGTGGCCAGTGTGACGAAGCTGCTCTGGCGAGCCAGCACCAGCGCAGCACACGGAAACGCCGTTTACCTTCCCGCTATAAAGTGGTACCTATTTATCTACTTGCACTTAGGGGTGCTTTCGAACTGCTAGGTGGGCAGGAGCTGGGACCGAAAGACGGGAGCTCACCCCGCCGCGGGGATTCGAACTGCCGACCATACGATCAGCAAGTCCTAGGCACTGAGGTTTTACCCACAGCGCCACCCGCGTCCCTGTGACCCACCTACCCATGTACTATATGAAACCCAAGTGGTGCATTGGTTGCCAGATGTGAAATATCTTGGCATTATTTTCAGCTCTTCTACTCCATTACAAAGCAGAAGTGATTACCGTATTTTTCTGTGTATAACACGCCCCTGTGTATAAGACGCCCCCTATTTTTTGGGACTCAAAATTAAGAAAATGCACTATGCACTATCCGTGTATAAGACGACCCCTTATTTTAAACTTGAAAAATTAAGGAAAAAATATAGTCTTATACACGGAAAAATAGGGTATGTTTAGCAAGTGGTTTTTTTTACAAAGCTGATCTACAGCCTTTTCCATTGAGATAAATAGGGCATTAATGCGTGCAGTTTGCCAGTAAATAATGTCTATAATAACACAGGACTAAACACATTCAGATACTTCACATACACACACACATATATATGTCTTTTTGTGAACAAAAAACCATGTACACTGTTGGGTTTAAAAATCACATTTGTTTATATTTTGCATATTTACCGTATTTTTTGCCCCATAGGATGCACCGGCCCATAGGACGCACCTAGTTTTTGGGGGGGGAATAAATAAAAAAAATATTTCCCCCCCAGAACAGGCTGCTATCCGCAAGCCGTGGGAGAGCTGCACAAAGTCGTGCAGCTCTCCCATGGCTAGCGTAGAGCTGCGTGAAGTCCGAAGCCTGGGGCGTGCTGAGCTCAGCGTGCCCCAAGCTTCTGGGTGCAGGCAAGCTCTCCGCTAGCCGTGGGTAGGCAAACTAAGACCCGGGGGCTGGATCCGGCCCAATCGCCTTCTAAATCTGGCTTGCGGATGGTCTGGGAATCAGCATGTTTTTACTTGAGTAGAATGTGTCCTTTTATTTAAAATGCATCTGGGTTATTTGTGGGGCCTGCCTGGTGTTTTTACATGAGTAGAATGTGTGCTTCTATTTAAAATGCATCTCTGGGTTATTTGTGGGGCATAGGAATTTGTTAATTTTTTAATATACATTCCGGCCCCCCACAAGGTCTGAGGGACCGGCTGCCTGCTGAAAAAGTTTGCTGACCCCTGGCTTAGGGCATGCTATAAATGCAATATTGTACTCACTGCAGTTCTCCAGGCAGTGAGAGTTCCAGGGCTGCAGCATTTACCCAGCTTTCATTCCTTTTGGAAGGCAATCTCTAGAGATGTACTGGCATAATATTTGGTTTATTTACAAATACACAGGTTGAGCATAGATGGAAAAATAGCTCAAACTCTCAACAGACAACCAGAGCCCACCATATCAAATCTCCAGCAGCCTAGGATTCTTACAGAACCCCAACGCAGCTTATTTCCTCTTATTTAAACTGCAGTCTGATTTTTGTTCTCTTTCAGACAGAGATAAGCTGCCCCCATCCCTAAGCTTGCCTTCTTAGTTTCCATTGAGACAGGTTGTTGGGATATCAATGCTATCAACATCCTTTTGATAAACTTAAGCGAATGGCCAGGTGTTACCCCAGAAAGGATCCCACACTTCACAGAAATCTGATAGGAAACCCGTAACTAAAATTACCTTAGAACCAGGCTTCAAGGAGGTGGGAGGGGTTAGGAGAAAGGAGGCAGGTTTTTTTTAAAGAGCTGTGGGTTTTCCTACACTGACTCATACAGAGTAGAAGTTTCTTAAACTAGAAACAATATGCTGTTCTCAAATTATTGGTAATGTAGGTCACCAACTGCTTCTCTTCCCCCCTCTCAGTTGATTCATGCAGCAGTGAATTCTGAATAAGATACATTAGGGAAGAAGGAAAGTTTTATTCTGCAACTATTAGTAATGAAATCAAGTTAAGCGTGGAACTGGGGCACATGGCCTGATGGAGAATAAGGTAAATCTATCAATATCTTCAAGACAATTGATAAGCCTGAACTATGTGGGGTTGTTTTCCAAAACTTTGTTAGCAGGGTTAAACTACAGTGTATCACAGCTTTTTTTGACTATGCTGTTAATAGGTGGGTGTACATATTTTCCACAGCAGTTAAAAATTATTAGCATTTGACTGTTATAAAATTTCAGAGCATGCAATGTTAAGATCATAGAATCATAGAATCATAGAGTTGGAAGAGACCACAAGGGCCATCGAGTCCAACCCCCTGCCAAGCAGGAAACAGATGTTTTGTGCTAAGCTGGTATAATAGAGATGTTCTTGATCTTCCCATAGGAACCAGTTCTTCCTGTTTGACAGGCTTATCCCTTTTTCTATCACCTGCTTCTGTTAAGCTACTGCTTTTATTCTTTCCCTTGTACACACATCTACACTAGAGTTCTTTAGGATATAGACCCCTCCCCTGACAGATATGGTGAAGCACGTACTGGTGCTGAAGCATTCTATTTTAAGATTAAATATTATTTAGATAAAGGTTACATGCCCTCTTGCTGTCCCTAGCTATCAGAGATGGTTCCTGTTCTTGTTACCTATCCTGTAGGTAACCTTGTAAATCACTGTTCCTATTCTGTCCCTGGCTTTGCTTATTGGGGTTGCCTTGCTTTTTTTCAGGGTTCTGCTCTTCCAACCGGGTTCTCTGCAAGCGAGATCTCTTGTGGAGAGGGTTAGCAGGACTGTTTGTGTCCCCAATCACACATCAGAGAAACATGCGTATCTACAGATGTAGCTTCAGAAGCAAGATATCTAGGGATCTTCTATCCAGAGTCATTGCACGTCACTGGGGACACTGCCCTGCAACTTTAAATCTCTTTAATTAAATGGGGGAAATCAACAAGGAACACTGAATCCCCATTTCAAAAAAACCTGCATTTAATTACAGCACTAAAACAGCATTTGAGAGTAGGATAGTTTTATGTCCTCACTCCTAAATTACAAAATTCAGTGTGTACAGAATAGTAAAGTGGTTCAAGTAAAATTGTACAAAGACTACCTAAACCTAGGCTGCCTAGAGAGCTGCTTGCGTTTAACTGCTTGCTATGATAAAAACAGGAATAGCGGTAGGGACTCTTACTGTTGCAGTTGCACCTCCTAATAGCTGGAACAGCAGGATTAGTGGTGAGATGGACACCAACGCTAGAGATGGGATGAACGTTAGGAAATACTGGTATTTTCACTAGGGTCTTAAAAATGCATGTTACTGCCTCCCTTCTCCTGATGTTCACCAGACAAACAAGACAGTGGGTATAAATATTTAGCCTTCATCTTTCTTTGGAAACCCTCACACCTCCCTCATCGACTCCCTTCTCCTGAAACTCCTCCAACTGTAAAATCTCAACTGTTAAATCTCAAGCTCCCTCCAATACTTATGAAAATAATCCTGCATGGTGTACTATGGTATTGTCAAACCTAATTTAACTTGGAATCCAAAGAAATGAACCAAAAAACCACTCAACTGCTTTTAGAGTACCAAAGGAGTTTGGGGATGGGATGGTGGGTTGCGGGGAGGCAGAAGTTAAGCCTTGAGTCGCTCTTTCCACCCCAGCCTTGTTGTCGGCCTTGTTGATGTGGTCCAAAGGAAAGCAGAGCAATACATTTGGCACCAGCTGGGCTGCAGGAGTTGCTGGAAGGAGATGTGCAAGGTGCCATCCAACCCTCTTAGGGACTCCACTCCAGATTTGTGTAGGGTTTACTCCTTAGCCTTTTCTTATCCTGAAGATATGCTGCAAGGTCTCTCCTAGATGGACTACCTTCCCATCTGCCCCTCACTTCCCTCTACAACATGTGCAAAAAAGCCTTCTTGACCATTGGACCCACTATTTGTCTCATCCACTCAATCTGCTGGAGCTAGTCTTCACTTGCAAAGGAAGTTCTTAACTTACCGAGGGTCTGAGGCCCATCAACTACTCTCACCTGGTTTAGCCAGCCAGTCAAAGTCATTCCTGGGGTGTGGGCAGCGCTGCATGCTGACAGCTTCTAGGAGCCACAAGTGAAAGCTGAGTGCAGATTGGGGACCAAAGGTGGACAAACTACCCCAGAAAGGTACGTACCCCACCAGAGGTACTACCAGTGCTATTTTTCTAGAAAAAGAGGTGCCGGAACCAATGCTTTTTTCTGGGGGTACTCAAGGGTATGCAGTACCAGCGCTTTTCCCCCTGGAAGAAAAGCACTGGCTGGAACTCACCATGAAAGCCTTCCTTGTTCTCTTATCATGGCGATGGTGCAAACCTGGAAGGTGCTGGAACTGAGTTCTGGTAAGTTCTGGCTGGGGGAAAAAACCCTGGGTACCCTAGCCTAACACACCACCCACCCCAAGTTTCAGATTTTCATATACAATATTCTTCATTCATGTATCCCAATGTTACCTTCTGAGGTTATCTTAAAATAGAAGCATCCTTATATAACTATTGTCCAGCAGGATAATACAAGGCACAAATGAATATTCACTGTACTTAGAAGGTGTCACAAGGCCTAACCTACATTCAGTGGACTTTTGTTAGTGAAGTTTTGTTAACTATTTTGTACTACCGTAATTATAGAGATAAGTATGGTTGCAGAAATTTATTTCCTATGCCAATTTAATCGCTTCCAGTTGAATAGGTCTTTGTTCAACATTCTGTCATTGATGTTTTATGGCATTATTTTTCTTTGCTCTGTAGGAAATAGTTTAATAGAAAAAGCCCATAATTTATTTTCTTTTGTTTTTATGCTTTCTTTTTTTTTTGCAGATGACATCGTTAGAATGATGATTACAGCTAACATTTTAGTGGTATTATACATACTCTTCTGCAAAATATGCCAAGTCGTCCTTTCTCATCATTGTTCAGCAATTACAGAGCAAGTTAAGTATTATGTCTTCTAAGACACTGGGAGATAATGAATTTGTGAAATCTAGAACTTTATATCAGCTGCCGTGTTTCCTATATGCAAGCCTTCAATGCAGCCAGCCTAGGATTTGGCTACTTGGCAATATAGCAGAAAGAGTCAGTCATATCTCAGTGTAGATATCGGTCTGAGTGGTTTCTGTAAAGTGGCCAGGCTAATTGAGGGCACCTGACAGAATGATTCAGTAGGGGAATCTGATTGAGCAAAAGGGTCACTTGAAATAAAAATAATAATAATTCTTTATTAGAATGGTCTTCCACTTGAGAACTTGGTTTGAACTGATAATCAGGAGGCACTGAATGGGCAAGGGTTTAATTTTCCATGTTTATAAGTAAACAGAACTAGTCACGATGGGTTATTTGTTAGAGGCCAAGAGATTTCATGTGAAGCGTTTGTCATTCTCAGAGAAGAGGTCTCAGTGAAAGGGATAAAAATCCTTTGTCAAATTAAACATCCAAGTTACAAAGCTTATAGACCCATAGCACTTATATTTGTGCAAATGTGGAGATTTGCTCACAGTGTACTCAAGCTTTTGAACCAATACTGGTTATTAACTTGGGTTGCATATGGACGTACCTACCTACAGGGGCCAGAGTGGGGTTTTCTGCTGTAGCCATGCTCTGCCTCCTCTTTCTCTCTGGTATTGACACATCTACCTTTACCCAGGCTTTTAGTTTTCCTTAAAAATATGTGTATCTGGTTTTTCTTTCTTGGCCAATTTGAATTTTTTTTTTAAAAAAAAACATGAAACATTGCTCCAGGAAGAAGTGGGGAAGTGGCTTTGAGACTGGTTGGGCTTGTCATAACTGGCAATCTTTCTGTGCAGCTGCTTCTGGAAACAAGAGTTGTGTACAAACTATACCTGTAAAGCACATTCGAAACACATTCTTTCCCTCAATGAATCATGGGCACTGTACTTCTCCTAAGCCCCACAGAGTTACAATTCCCAGTAAACCTTAGCAAACAATAGTGCCCAGAAATATTTGAGGGAAAGAATGTGGTTCAAATGTGATATAAGGATATAATGCGTACACTTACCCTAGTTGCTGTTTAGCTTGATTCTTTGATGGATGAATACAGATACGCAGTGGGTTAACCCATCAAGCTATGCATTTCTGTACCTATCATTCCTCCACTGCCTAGGGTTCCAATTTTGAATTCCCACATCCTATGGATGAAAAGATTTCCGAGGACGTGACACATACTGTAAGAACACAAGAGCCTGCCAGATCAGGCCAATGACCCATCTAGTCCAGCATGCTGTTCTCACAGTGGCCAGCCAGATCTACCTATGGGAAGCCCACAAGCAGGACATCACAGCTACGTTACTCTGCCCACCTGCAACTGGTTTTCAGAGGCACACTGCCCTGGCAGTGGAGGCAGCACATAGCCATTGTGGATAGTAGCCATGCCATAGTTTAACTATGTGCTGTGTGAGGAAGTACTTCCTTCTTCTGTCCTGAATCATTCCACATTCAGTTCATTGGATATCCTTGGGTTCCAGTGTTAGGAGAGAGGAAGAAAAATACTTTTGTATCCATCTTAGGATTGATTTCAGCTTTAGGATCAATGCGATAGACAACTGAAGGCTGACCTGGAGAACCCTTCATGTAAACAGTAGAGTTGCCATATTTCAAAAAGTAAAAACCAGGACACCCCAAATGATTTCCCGATTGATTTGCCTAAGATCCAGCACAAAGCGCCACATTTCAGAAATCCCCCCAGACATCAATTCCACCTTTGAAATCCCAGTAATGTCCAGGAAAATCCGGGTGTATGGCAGTCCTGGTAAACAGGGAACATGATAGATTACCAAACATTATTTGTTGAGTACCTATATTCTCCTAGTTACTCCTAGTAGATGTACTCAACAAAGATGCTTGAGAATTGGACCAACAACCCATGAGGGCCAAAAGGAAGGACTAGATCTTAGGGAAACACATGGAACTGAAATACGGGGTGTGTGTGTGTGTGTGTGAAGGCAGCGATCCTCTGCACACTTACATGGGAATAAGCCTCATTAAACTGAGCGAGATTTACTTCTGAGTGAACATGCTTTGGATTGCAATACAAATTGGGGATTTCCTTATAGAGCTCTGTGGAGAGTAAACGTTGTCTTCAAACACATGGGACCCACACTCAGAAGAAGTGTAAATCAATGGTTAGAGATTTAAGATATGTTAATGTCGTTCTCAGATATTGCTGAAAATGTGTAGAAACATGGTTCTAGGATGTGCTTTCCATCTCCTACTCATATCATTCCCAAAAATACATTTGTCAGCAGTGATGCAGGCCTCTAATCTTATTTTTAAAATAGTATTTGTACTTTCAGCTCAAACTGCCATTTCCTTTTTGATAAAAATCATTTAAAAGGTTATCATTTTCCTCAGTCAAAAGAGAATTAGTTTATGCCTCTAAAAAGATTCCTCAGTGCTTTATCATTAAAAACATTAAGACAAAAATAAAATAAAATATGTAGGAGACTAGGAGACTAGGAGGTGGTCGGACCTTTGGATGACCAGGGAGCTCAAGGAGGATAAGGAGATTGTAGAGAAGCTGAACCAATTATTCGCAAATGTCTTCACAGTGGAGGATAAACGGTAGGAATGGACTCTGAGGAACTGAAGCAAATAGTGGTGATAAGAGACAAAGTTCTAGGCCTTACTGGCAAAATGAAAACTGAAAAATCACCAGGTCCGAATCATGGTATCCACTCAAGTGTTCTAATAAAACTCAAATATGAATTTGTTGATTTTCTAACAAAAATATGGAACTTGTCCCTAAGTCCCTCGATACCTGAGGACTTGTCAAACATTTCAGATTGTGCTTGTTGCTCTATCTTTTCAAGATTTTATTAGATTTTGGGATTATAGGAGTACCACTGAAATATTTTGGCCAGATAGAGGGTACCTGATTAGGTTGCGTATGTTGTTTTAAAAAAAATAATTGCTAAGATATTTATGGCAATTAATTTATTTCTCCCCCTCAGATACTATACATTGTCCTGGGAAGGTGTGGACGGAACCAGCTTCAACGATTCAAATGGGCCAGAATATTACTATAAACTGCCATTCCGATAAAGATGTCTGTCAGAATTCTAAAAAACGTATGCGTCTAAATCAAAGGGAGGTCGAGGACAGATTGGTGTCGGTTATAAACAAAACTACAGTTCAACTCCAACTTCATAATTATAACATTTCATTTTCCACAGTCATTTGTTATACTGTATGTCCTCCAGAAAAACCCCAAATAATATGCGGAACAGAATTTTGCGTGGGCCGTAAGTAGTTTATGTGTATGCTGTGTAGGTAATTTTGCTGCTTGTAATTAATTTCCGTTAATTTGGGAAGTAAAATGAGTTAATGATTGAAATGATCAGCCACTGAGGCAAGCATTTGATGAAGTAAACTATAGTCTACGAAATCTTATGCAATATTAAAACTGCTAGTATTTAAAGGCATCACAAGACTCTTTGCTGTGTGTTTTGGCAAAAGACTAACAAGGCTACCCCCTTTGGAAATAGGCGAGGATGACATTTTGCTGGTGGGGCTTTACATTTTTAATTTTAAAATTATTAGTTAAGGGCTTTGATCTTAGGCTGCAATCCTAAGCACTCCTAATATCTAGGGAACAAGCTCACTGAACACAGTAGTACTTACCGTACTTGGGCCTAAACTTGTTACTCAACAGCAGTAGCTGCTTTATTTAAAATTTTACATTTTTTTGTATTTTTGATATTGCATGCTGCTTTGCTATTACATATGAAAAAGTGTGTGTGTGTGTGTGTGTGTGTAAAAATAAAGATCGCACTGCCAAACACATTGATATAAGTTTCACTGACTCAGTAACATGTATATTTATTTTAAGTAACTTCTACTGTATGCAGTGGAGCTTACTCTGAAATTAATATGCATAGAAATGCCTTGTTTCCAAGTAAATAATATATTACTATAGCCAACAACAAATTTAATACATGCCACTGGTTGTATAAATTAAGAACTATTACCATGAACACTTTTCCATTGATAGTATACGGTATATCACTAGCCTCAGAAGCATATTTGGACATACTTCAGTTGGCTTATAATATTGAACCACTGGGAGGAGGGATGCCCACTAACTGAAAAGTTAAGGCAGATCAGAAGAAGAACAGCTCTGAGCTTTAACTTCAGACCAGTAGACTTCACAGCTTGGGCATAAAGATGGTTTAAAAGATGAGCAAAACCTAATCTTAAAGGTAAAGGGACCCCTGGCCATTAGGTCCAGTTGTGGCCGACTCTAGGGTTGCGGCGCTCATCTCGCTTTATTGGCCGAGGTAGCCGGCATACAGCTTCTGGGTCATGTGGCCAGCATGACTAAGCCGCTTCTGACAAACCAGAGCAGCGCATGGAAACACCGTTTACCTTCCCGCTGGAGTGGTACCTATTTATCTACTTGCCCTTTGATGTGCTTTCGAACTGCTAGGTTGGCAGGAGCAGGGACTAAGCAACGGGAGCTCACCCCGTCGTGGGGATTCGAACTGCCAACCTTCTGATCAGCAAGTCCTAGGCTCTGTCCTAGCGCCACCCATGTCCCAATCTTACAGTGCTTTTAAAAATGGCCAGTATTGGCCATTTCTGAGGTGGATTTAAAACAGGACATTATCCTGTAAGCTGTTTCAAGCTTTGACCTTAGAACAACAAACTGCAAGATAATAAAGGATTGCATAGTGGTTGCAGAACATTTTAAAATTCTTTGCTAGACTGGTAGCCCACTCCTAAACTACATGCCTATAAGTGAACCCCATTCACTTCAGTATAACTTTCACATTAGTGTGCTCAAGACTGCAACCTCAAACTACTCAGTTTGTTCTATTTCTTCTTAAGGAAAATAGCTTTTAAAAGTATTTGGGAAAGATGTGATTTAGAGTAACAGAAGACATGATAAAGTATTTAGTACATGATAAGCCACCCGCTGGGACGCGGGTGGCGCTGTGGGTAAAAGCCTCAGCGCCTAGGGCTTGCCGATCGAAAGGTCGGCGGTTCGAATCCCCGCGGCGGGGTGCGCTCCCGTCGTTCGGTCCCAGCGCCTGCCAACCTAGCAGTTCGAAAGCACTCCCGGGTGCAAGTAGATAAATAGGGACCGCTTACAAGCGGGAAGGTAAACGGCGTTTCAGTGTGCGGCTCTGGCTCGCCAGAGCAGCGATGTCACGCTGGCCACGTGACCCGGAAGTGTCTCCGGACAGCGCTGGCCCACGGCCTATAGAGTGAGATGGGCGCACAACCCTAGAGTCTGGCAAGACTAGCCCGTACGGGCAGGGGTACCTTTACCTTTACCTTTAAGCCACCCGCTAACTACCTTTATGTGTTCTGAATCAACAGAATCTTACATGCTTTGTAATTTGTAGATTCACCGGACATGCCAGCCAACTTAACCTGTGTTGTATATGAGTATTCGAATAATATGACATGCACTTGGGACCCAGGCAAGGACACACAACTAAGCACTAGGTACAACCTATATTTGAAAAGGTAAGAAAGTTGATTGAAGCATCTATCTCAAATCAGACTAGATTTCAGGGTCCCTTCCAACTCTATGATTCTATGATAGCGGGCTGCAGTTTTGAGCAGAAAAGTGATGGGTAGGAGGGCGCTTGATGCTTTTCTCAGCTTCATTTTGCTACACATAATCACCCCTAGCTGCTGCCCACCCCCACAGAATTCCAGATGATCATTTGCAAGTGTAAATATGCACCTGGAACTGGGGGGGTGACTGTGGAGAGAGGCAGAGATTTGGCTGGGGCGAACTTTTGCAGCTCACTGTAAAACAGTTAAGTAAATCAGCACTCCACTGCTTAAAAATGTATCCTTCCAAGTCCAGTTCTTTTTTTCCTGTTCTTTTTTAAAGCACATACAAAACATGGTTGGGAAGCTATGTGACAAGAATTTGCAGGTAATGTCAAGCTTGCTCCTAAAACTAGGTTAACTGTGAGTTCAACCAAAGATTAAGACACGACAAAGCTGCAACTGACATTGTGGTCTGACTATGTGGACTAAACCTGTGGTGAGAGACAACTCACAAACCAGTGAAGATCGTGCATGTGGTGTAGTGCTGATGACTGAAAAAAAGCTGGTGTCCTACTTACATTTTCAGGGAGTGGGGGCGGGGGGCGAGAGCAGGTCACCAGAGGTGTCCTTTGGGTGGTAGTCATGATTCACTCTTATATCAGAGTTCCACACTCAGCAGAAGTGGCAAACATGGCTCAATCTGCAGTCTAGCAGCATGTGCTTTGGCTGAAATTAGTTTCATGCAGCCAAGGATGGTTGGAGCTTGTATAACACTTGAACAGCAGATCCACAGTCTGCGATGAAAATGCACTTTCAACATGAGTTTCAAAAACAGTTTGTGATATGTGATGGCCCAGGGTGGTTCCAGTTCAAACCCAGGATGTGGGGTGGAGTGTCAAAAGTCCCCAAACTTTCAGGACACACTTAAAATAGCTTCTCCCAGTCTGTTTTTGTATTACTATTTTTTTGCAAATATAAACATTATGGCAGCAAATAGGCATGACCCAGACACAGTAAAAAAAACCCCACAAAACTCTTGTTCTGCTCACTTTAGGGGATAAATTTGCTTTGGGCAGGTCAATCATAATCTAATTATGGATGAGTGTGATGACCTGGTGTAGCTACTGAGATATGAGTAGGAGAGATGGGTGGGCAGACCTTACCCTGCTCTGTCTCACTGGATATTTGGTGCAGCACAAACCTTGGCTGGAGGGCCAGGGAAGTGGGTTTGCTGCTGTTGACAATTTGTTCTCCCTCACTGGGAAATCTCTGCCTTGGAGCAGGGCAGCATCTGAAGTTGCGTCTTAAGAGACAGGGATATCATTGGTATGCTGTCCACCCAGCTGCGCAACATTCTCCCTGACCAACCTGGCTGAGGTCATCTTGAGAATGGTATTGGTGGATCCCAGACAGTAATTCTGGGTGACTTCAACATCCATGGCGAAGTTGCCATTGGCCTCACAGTTTAATCACAGTGCCCTGAGAAAGGAAGAGGCAAGGGGCCACATGCCTCTAAAACAATGTTAGAACAACACCTACTTCTTATTAATAATATTTTGTTGCTTTTTTATCTACTTTTATATGTTTAAATATTTTAGTATGGTTAACAAGGCTTTTAGGTCTTTTGGCTAAGATCAAGTATAATGTAATCTGCTTTTTCAAAAGCAGCTACTTTAGATTTTTAGTTTACAGTTACAGCAGAGTAATATGCTTCTTGACTGTTTGATCTTTATAGTTTTCAGGGAGAAGAAAATAAAACATTTCCGGCAAACAATGCCTCAGGTACCATCCCTCTGAGTCAAATGTGGAAAAACAAAACATTTTATGTTGGGGTCTACGCTGAAAATCACTTAGGAACGAACTGCTCAGAAGAACTGTATGTTCACCTTGATGATCTAGGTAGTGTGCAGTAATTTCTAAACTTTATTTTTTTAAAGATGGTTTTGTTTTTAGTCTAGTATATGACTAAATTTATAAGATTAAGGTCGTGATGGAAGATTTGAGAATAATGTGGCTGGGGAAACCCAGCCAGATGGGAGGGGTATAAATAATAAAATAATAATAATAATAATTACCTACAAGATGCTCCAACCTATTAATGCCTCCTAATAGGAATATTATTACCCACTGGACTATTTTTGTTGAGATTTGTCCCCTTAGTTTATTCTGTACTGCTGCAAACCTCTTGTTTTCACAGAGGCCCTCAGCACCTGAGTTTGCTATTAAAAGGAGTGGTACTTCTAATGGTGCACAGATACTTGGTGTATATTTATAGGCATGATCTTGGGTCCAATCTTTGCTCTGTGGATTCTTCTGTCCTGAGAGCTGAAGAGCTTCTTCCATGAGTGCCTCTTCCTTCTTGTGGGTGCAGGTTTCAACATGCCGTTGCTATAATTTGAAAGAGGCAGTAATTTTATGGCTATAGTGCTTTGCACAACTACTGGAGACTGCGTGATTGATGCCTTGTCTACATTAGGAGTGTGCTCAGATAGCAGCTACACATACGATAAAAGAGGAAGTACAGGAAACAGAATTGCATATAGCCTGAAGTTACATTGGGTTTTGTGCAGCACACACCTTCCGCAATTCCAAACCCAACCACCCTAATTTCTTAATCTGTTGTTTATCCTATTGGGGATCAGAATAGCACTAGGAGATTGTTTCACTCACTGCTGAGTTGAAACAGATTAAACCAGGACCTGGCCTTCAGAATTCATGCTGAGAATGTTTAGAAATTAGTTGTCCCACTTAATTCACCCAGAGCTATTTGGCTTGCTAGCTGGGTTCTGTGCTGCACCTGTTCTATGCTTGTGACAGACAGAGATCTTGGCTTGTGGTCCAATACTTAAATGCTTGAGGTAAAAAACAGCTAGAATCAACTACACATAGAGCAATATCTTCTTCGGCAATCACTCATAGCCGAGTAAGATTGTTGATTTTAACAATGAGTCCGTAAGTGACTGCGGAGGCCAATTCTGGATCCACGCATCCTTCCACAGTGGGGACATTGGTTCCCGGGTGGAAGTTGATCACGGTGTAGATTTGCCAAGCGTGCCTTCCTCTTAACAGGTTTCTCCCTTGCGTTCTGAGTTCGAGTGTCTTCAAAGTCCATGACACCTTTGGTAAAGGCTGTTCTATATATCCCAGTTAGCCACTAGGACATAATTCCTTTGAGTTGGTTAAACTGGCCTTCTGCAATGTACTCTTTTTGCCTTTCCTTCAGTTGCTCCCTGACCTTGTTTGCAGAGGACCTTGATTTTAATTCTTGAAATGAAAGGCAATATAGTAGTAGTTTCATCAGTAGAGACTGGATTTAACATTGTTTTATCTCTTTTAGTGGTACCAGCTACACCCATTATTATCCAGATTGTAGACTCTCCATTATTTAAGACTACAATACATTGGAAAAAGCAAACTGCAATCAATGAGACTTATTGTGAAGAACGATACAAGGAGAAGACAGGCGAAACTTGGCAGGTGAGGCAACCCATTCTGGGTTTTGTATGTATCATAAGCAGTGGTTTGGCTGCCGCTTTTCATTGATTTTGGTGCTAAACCTTCCATGCATGACTTTATATAGTAGTAAGATTTCAATAGCTTCCTGGGCAGAGTTTTACAAATACAAGAGTTTTATAAAGACATGGATGTGAAATGTATCCTGCTCCTAGGATGCGTATGTTGCATATATTCATATACCTTCTGCGTTTTGGTAAAACTGATTTTTTTATTTCTTATTGTACCCTTTTCATAGACAAATAGTATGTGTCCCTGACAGTTTACTCTGACGGAGTGTGGCCCTCAGCAGGAAAAAGTTTCCTCACCTCTATTTTATGAAATAAACTTGCATCCAACAAAGACTTAGAGCCCATCTGTAGTACACTGTCTTTGGATGTTTATTATTAGTGAAAGGATTGCTGTCACTGACTTATGGATACATAACTATATGTATACAGGGCCAACTCTCCTGTATGTATACGGGGCGGATCTATTAGTATACATAAAAAGTTCACACATAATATTTTGTACCTACATGAAGAAAACATGCTACCTGGGATAGTATAGAGCAGCCTTCCCAGATGTTAGGTCCCTAGATACTATTGCACTACAGCTCCCTTCATTCCTAGCCAGCATGACCAGTGGCCAGGGATGATGGGAGTTGTAGTGCACAAGCATCCGGGACTACAGATGTTGGCATAGTGGCTAAAAGACCGAACATAGTTACTAGAAGGATGAACATAATCTGACAGTCCTAGTTTGAATCTGACCTTGTGCCATGAGCTCACAAGGTAGCCTTAGGCAAGCCACTCTTCAACCTAAGTCCCCTCATCTGCTACATGGTGGATAAGAGTGATTTGGCTTACAGGTGTAATTTTATATTGCTTGTGAAGCACTTTGAACACTTGAAAGTACTATGTTGTTGTTTATACTAGGAATAGCAATACAGAAAGGAACACACACTTATTTGAGCTTGTTATCATGAGCATACAATCCATACTAACAATTTAAGTTGTAGGTATCTCTCTTTTACTTCATGTAAAGTAACTGAGTGAGTCAGACTATACCCAGCATAATTCACTCTCTAATAGTGGTAATCCCATCCACTGAAACAGAAGAGAGATTCCTTTGGTACAATTTTACTTATATTTAATTGTGAGGGGTCTGAACAGTCCTCATGCTATAAGGTAGGTTAATCCAGACCAGTGCCTCCCTTTTTTTTTTTTTATAACAGAGGACACTACCTTTCTGAACTGAAATTGAAGAAGGATGTTCAACAACAAAAACAAAAAGAAACTGAAGACACACCTCACCTTTATAAATAATCAGAGATCCATGACTTTGGGCTCACAAGAGCAAATGCTTTGAAAACATTTTTTTCTCTTGACACACCAGAACTTTTTTTTTATGGCGGTGATTTTGTAATCTCTGATCTAGACAGTGGATAGAACAATACATAATTGTCCTGTTGCTTTTCCATTTTAGGTTAGAAAATGGGGTGCTGACTTTAAAAGGGAACATCAAACTGAGTACAATTTAGATGCATACATGGAGTATCAGTTTCAAGTTAGATGCAAACTAACTCATGCCCAAAGCTTTTGGAGCAAATGGAGTGAATCTGCAGTGCATATGACTCCTGAGGCAGGTGAGTTTCACTGTTCTCTCTTCCCTGACCTCCAAGTCCTTGTTTCAGCTGTACAGAGAGGATTGTAACAGGAATGCTTCAAGGGATTTAAGTTGCAACAAGCCAACCAAGCATAACATTCTGAGCACATTTTCAGCACCAAGTGTGCAAAGGAAGCTGTACCTTAATCAGCTCAGGAACTGGAATACCTGATTATATCTTTGGTTGCGCTCTTATTTCCTGTGTTGTCTTCTACAGATTGTATCACTTTGGTAGCAAATATTACCTCATTGTGGTATTATGAATCTTAAAAGTCCATGGAAAAATCCCCTGATGAGAGAGAGTATATACCCTATTTTAGTTTCAGTTGCACAATACAGTGTGAGCTGGAAATTCATTCATAAATTGAAAAGTGAAATGATTGTGCCTATCCTGTCTCTACAGCAGAGGAGTCAACAACAACCTTTCCCCCTCCTTTGAAGTTCTATATGCAAATAAAAGTAAATTCCAGCACAATCCTATGCATCTTCACTAAGAAGTAAGTCCCATTGAGTTCAGTGAGGCATTAGGAATGGGAAAGCCGCCTTAGACATTATAGAGAATCATAGAATTGTCGAGTTGGAAGGGACCCCGACAGTTATCGCATCCAACCCCCTAAATGCAGGAGTTTCAATTAAAGCATCCATGACCGATGGCCATCCAATCTCCGCTCAAAAACCACCAAGAAAGGAGAGTCCACCACCTATCATGGGTGTCAGTTCCACTGCCAAACTGCTTTTACTGTCAAAAAGTTATTCCTGATCTTTAGTCAATCTCCTTTCTTGTAACTTGAAGCCATTGGTTTGGCTCCTACCCTCTGGAGCAGGAGAAAACAATCTTGCTCCATCTTCCATGTGACGGCCCTAGATATTTGAGATGACTATCATATCTCCTCTCAGTCTCCTCTTTACCAGGCTAAACATACCCAGATCCCCCAAATGGTTCCTCATAAGGCAAGTAGCCTTATGTAACCAGAAGTGGATTTTTGTGTGGATGGACTATGAGCTTAGTTCTGGTACTTAAAACAAATTCCTGGATCCAGAACTGTTTAGTTCTATGTCTTTTTTGCACTGACCTCTGGCAGATCTTAGGGTTCTGATCTTTTGTGAAAAGAAACAAAAGTAGATTTTGCAAGCCTGAAATCTGCTCATCCTAAGGGGGCAGTGAGGCCAGCAAGGCAGGCAAACGAACTTCCCAAAGTGATGTGTGTGCTATCATCTATATGAAGCTCCATATTCAACACAGTAATTTAGAAGTACAGATATTTATTAATGAGTAAGTACACACACAATGTGTACAACATCCGTCAACTGGACTCCACTTTTTCTGTCAAAGCTGACTACCCAATTTCGTGTGTGTGTGTGTGTGTTTTATAGCATCTTAAGCTAAGCAGGCTATAAAGGAAAGAAGTTAAACAAATCTACTAGGCCAGGCCTAAATTGCTCTAAGCAGGCTCCCACTGAGGGACATGAGAGTTGCAGGGTGGGGCAGCAGCACTAGGCTTGGCTTTGCCTCCACCTGCAGCAACAGTGGCAAGCTCAGAGGGCAGGGGAAGGCCACAACCAAGGATGGCTGACAATAGGAGGTGACACTCTGAGCCACACAGCCTCATTTGCCTAACGTGCCACAGCAGTGCTCTTAGGCATGGGTAGGCAAACTAAGGCCCGGGGGCCGGATTCGGCCCAATCGCCTTCTGAATCCGGCCCACAGACGGTCCGGGAATCAGCGTGTTTTTACATGAGTAGAATGTGTGCTTTTATTTAAAATGAATCTCTGGGTTATTTTGGGGGCATAGGAATTTGTTCATTTCCCCCCAAAAAATATAGTCCAGCCCCCCACAAGGTCTGAGGGACAGTGGACCAGCCCCCTGCTGAAAAAGTTTGCTGACCCCTGCTCTTAGGCCTCTAGGAGCCTTTATCAGAATACAGTGGTACCTCGGGTTACATACGCTTCAGGTTACAGACTCTGCTAACCCAGAAATAGTGCTTCAGGTTAAGAACTTTGCTTCAGGATGAGAACAGAAATTGTGCCATGGTGGCGCAGCGGCAGCAGGAGGCCCCATTAGCTAAAGTGGTGCTTCAGGTTAAGAACAGCTTCAGCTTAAGAACGGACCTCCGGAACGAAAGTACTTAACCTGAGGTACCACTGTAAGCTGTTTTAGTAGAAATAGTAGTAGTGACCCCTGCTGGCAAAACAAATGAATAGTACAAAGAACTTACCAAGCGCTTGATCCATTTTTGAGGGAGAAATGGCTGGCTTTCAGGAATAAGCCTCCCCTTTTTACTACCTTTTGCTGCACCTTTAATACATGGCAGGTAGGCATGCGTCAGCTGAAGCCGTTCTCCTCACTCCCCTAGGGAAAAGCTGCACCTCTTGAATTTGTTAGCTGTGAAAATTCATGGAAGCCTTTGGGCTCTCAGCACAACCTATTTCTGTTTCAGCCAAAACTTGTCTGCCAACTAGTGATTACTTGTCGTTTTGTCGTTTTGTCAAATAATCAATTAGCCACAATATTGTTGCCTGAATCAGGGCTGACCCAAGATGCTTTGCTACCTGAAGCTCAGTTGCATCATTAATTAGGCAGAGTGAGGACTACCTCATTGCAGCTGGTTTTGTGTGTCATGAAAAGGCAGCAGTGGATTTTCATTTTATTTTTTTACTGCCTGGTAGGTGGGAGAGGTGCTTGAGGAATTTTCTACCTCAGGCGCCAGAATAACTTAGCTGGCTTTGGGGACTTTCTGAAGGTGACCAACAATTAGTGCCCAAATACTCTAAGTCAAGGTGTGTTTTATCTAATGGTGGTCATGTTATTCTAGTAGATGAGGCAAATGATCTCACATGTGTGTCTCTCCCTACCTGGCACAGTTATAATAAATTTAATAACTAGCAATAGCCTGCTCTTTCAGAACACCTAGAAATTGACTGCCTCAGGTGGCTGCCTCACTATGCCTAATGGTTATGGTCAGCCTGGCCTGAGGAAGTGAGGAGTTCAAAAGCCTAACTCACTAAGAAGCAAAGCTGTATTCTTGGAAAATAATGTGGGTTAGCAGTAGAGACTACTAGTGATCCTGAATTCTGGATAAGAGCCTGATAATGCCCCATTGGAAGCAGACTCATAAAATGGGTTATGGGCAGACACATAACTAGACTCCCTTGCATCCTTGGCAAGGAGATGTTGGTTGCCCAGGGCAACAGAGGAGTGGGCCTGGGAGCATGCAGGAAGGCAGGCAAGCTCCTAGCCACTCCAAGCCTGAGTGGAGATGTGCAACTTTAGCACATACACCCTGTCCCTACACCCTTGGCAAGGGCCAACCTTGTCAGCCGTACCCACCTCCAGGTACACACCTGTTTATGGGCTCAGACAAGGGAACTTTCACAAAAAGTGGCCTATGGCTGGTATATTACCTTGAGACAGGTCTTTCATACAACCAAGGCAATTCACCCATGTGTTTGACTTGGTGCTAAGGAATCACCACCTATAAACACATGTGACTGAAGTGCCCTTAAATTGCAGGTTTTGGGGGGGGGAGGTCTTTAGTGAGATTTCTTTAGTAACAAAATAGACCATCACTCCTTCCCCATACCTGATTCTAATAAATCTACATATAGATGTGGATAGAGATAAAAAAATAAAGAACACATTTGCACCTACTAGTGGCAGCAATAAGAGCAACTCTTTCCTGATTCTAATGTATTTAAATATTCTTGTTAGTTTTTATGTTTTTAGCTCTGTACTATTTGATTTTTCTTTTCTTAGCAGAGCCTGCACTTTTCTGCCAAATAGGATGGTCTAGTGGCAACCTCTAGTCTTTATTTCCCACACTGCTGTAGATCACCATACACACAGAAGCTCCAAATGTTCACAGTTAGGATTTTGCAATAGATGCCTTTGCTCTTTTATATATATGCAAGACCAAAACAACAAGTAACAGACCAAGCCAGACTTTTTACCGTGATTTAAATTGAAAGTCAGTGGGCAAAAAACCCCTCATATTCAGATTTATTTTTTTGCATTTTGTTTGTTTATCTGCAGAACCTTCTTCTATACTCGATGTGTGGAGGTTTCTGGGGCCAGCTTACCCAAATGGTAGCCAAGAGGTGGTCATCTTAATCAAGGTGATATGTTCCTCCTTTCCAGACTGCACACATTGCAGGTTAAGGGAGTCCAGGGTGGTCTTATTTTCATAAGGTCTAGAATTCAGAAAGGTATTAAAAATATAAGGCAGTTTCTTCAGTTGGGGCCAATACTGGGGAGAATCTGCCATGGGGTTGTATTTTGACTCAATAACATCACTCTAAAGGCTAGGAAGAATACACAACTGCATACAGGAAACATTAGAAATGCCACTTTCTTACTTGATTCTAAAAAATTTTTTAAATAAGGGGGAAACTGCTGGGGAGGAGGCGACTTGGAGAGGTGAAACAGTAGGGAAAGAGTTAAGCAAGCCTTGGTGACTACAAACAGTGAGGCTCTTCTTTGCAGTGGCTTCTGTTGCAGTGGTTGGCAAGCAGCTAAGGAAATGCAGGTTTAATCACATTTTCCCCTTAGCTGCTGTGCATGTGAAACTGCATGAACCCCCCCTCCAAAAAAACCCCCACAATGCAGCTTTCTAAAGGCAATTATCTTGCTTTCTCTTCCTTCTCTTCATTCCCACATCCCAGCCATTTTTTCCTAAGGAGAGCAGAGGAAGAATTTTGGGCTACAGGGTGTTCTGTGAAAACCAAGGAGAAATTGTGGATTTATGTAAAACGACAGAAACAAAATGCCAGGTTTTGGTTCCCCCAGCAGTTACCACTCTCCATGTGACAGCACATAATTCAAAAGGAAGTTCCAAACCGGCGAATATTACAGTGAACCAACCTCCCCATAGTTTCCATGGTAAGATAAAAGCAGTACAGAACAGTACTTAAAAACTTTTGAGAAATGGATAATGCATTGTTAAATTGTGTCAGAGAAGAAATTGACCCTATGATTTCCTAACATTCAGACCCCCACCAACTGTATAACTAACTTTACTTCTAATTTGCTCCCTTTGGAAGCATAATGTCTTAACACACAAACAGGACCGCTTTCATCCATTACTACAATCCCAGTTTTGGAGATGCCAAACCAGTTAAGTACGGTATTCCATTTCAGCAAAAGTATGAAAGATAAAGCAAAAAGCTGACATCTAAAAATATCAAATTCCATTTTAAAATTATGTCTTAGCCATCATGACTATTAAAAACAACAACTGAGGACATTATGGGAATGACTGTTATCAAGTTTTAAATGAGTTGGCATTCATAAAGAATATACAGATGCAAAAGAGGACTTGATTCCTGTTGTGCTGTGCAAAAGAGGGGATTTCAGCAGATACAGCTATAGGTAGGGGTGGACTTTGGTACCATGGCGCCCTGAGCTAGGCCAAAAATTGGTGCCTCTCCCCAGCCCTCAGGACATGCTGGGCTTTGGGAAAGAGGTGTGAGGTCTCCAGCAGGGTCCTACAGCCCTCCCACCTCCTCCCCAAACTGGGCAAGCACTAACTAGGCTTTGGAAAGGAGAACGGAGGACTCTAGGACCCTAGGAAGCTGTCAGAGCCCTCACATCTCCTTCCCATGGCTGGGCAAGTGCTTACCCGGTGTTCTCTTCTTGACAACCAGTGCAAAGAGAACCAGTCATGTTACCCTCAATCCGCCTCTGCTGTATGACAAGCTACACTTGCTGAAATTCCCCCTTCTGTACAAAAGATGCAGGATCCCTGTTCTTTTTTCCACCTGGTCACCCTGGGCTGATTCTCAGGGACGATTCACACCCCAGCCAGCACCTCTTTAATCTTCTACCCTCGGGCAGGAGATATAGAAGTATAATCAGTCGTACCAACAGGCTAAAAAACAGTTTCTATCCCTGGGCTGTTAGGCTGCTGAACGGAAAATAATATAGTGCAACTGACTTTCGGGGTTGGTGTGTTGTGCGACAAGCACACAGAGTGCAATGAGATTGAGTATTTGTGGGTGGGGGAGGGAGGCTCGGTTAATTTCATTGTACACAGGTTGTACATTGACAATAAAGGTATTATTATTATTATTATTAATCATTCAGCAACTGCAGCAAGTGGTGAATATATTATACTTGCAAAATGTCCATCACTTTGATGAGCTTCTCTGGAATGCATGTGTATATATGAAGGCATTTGTCTTATCTTGCTGCTGCAGTAACAGCAGATCAGAATTTGAGGAGAGGAATGTGGTCATACATGGATGACATCACAGGCAAGGGTCCCAGGCCCTCTTTTGCCCATTGGTGGATGAGTATAACAGCTGACAGGGAGCTTGCAGGAGGAGGAGGAGGAAATCCAGTTATACAATTTCCCTCCAGTTATACAATTTCCTTTATCCTTATTGACATTGATCTTTCTAGTGTATGTACTTAGCTTAAAGAAAATGTCCATATCCTCACTTGGTTGATTTCCAGTGTGCCAGATGGAGATGAAGAAGCTGCACACCACTGTATGCTCCCCATCAATACACCCTTCACTCATTTCAAGGGCACCTTCTTCCTATTGCAAAACTATTTCAAATATTTGGCTAGATTTTAGACAACAGCCAAGTCATCCCTGCTGCTTTCCCCTGTAGATTTCCCACCACCTACCAACATGCAAATGGACCGCGATGAACAGAAAGGGATTTCTGTTGTATGGAAACCTCCCCAACCCATTGGAAAAGTAGTTTTGTGGTACATAGTGGAATGGACGTCTGCAGATTTCAGACATGGACTTGTGTGGAAAAAAGTCCCCATCCAAAACACAACAACATTTATCAAAGGTAAAATACAAGCCAACTCTTTTTAGTGGCCTTCATGATATGTTGGGCTGATGACATGCATAGCTTCTTGGAACCAGAATAATTGAGCCGCTCAGGAACAGCCAACATGGTGCCCTGCAGATGCTCTCAGACTACAACTCCCATCAGTCCCAGACAACCTAGCTTATACTCAGAGATGATGGAAGCTGTTGTCCAACAACATCTGGAGGCCACCAGGTTTGCTACCCCAGGAGTAGATTTTGCAAACATGAAGAATCACTTTTAGTGAAATCTGTTTTCCTCACCCTTGGTCACCAAGAAAGCATCATTTGCGGAGGAAATCTAGTTTAAAATCCAAAAGACAACAAACATACCAAACCTACAAGCAAACTTAGCAAAGACTACCAAAATCAACATGGACAAATAGAGCTACTGTGGGAACAAAATACAAGAAACCCACATAGAGCCACCTGAGCTGCTTATGTGGAGAAAGGGATACAAATGTGATAGAGCATTTTAAAATGACTGTCTGCTCCCCCACCCTTCCCCAAGAAGTCAGAACAAAATCATGGGATTAGAATTCATTGGTTCTTATTTCTGAAGTTTTACTCATGATCCCTTTTTTAAAAATTATGCAGTAGAACTTATTTTCACGATTAAAATAAATAAATAAAACCTCATCCTTACAGAAAATGTCAGAATGGGGCATAACTTCAACATTTCAGTGTATGCTGTGTATCAAGATGGCACCAGCAAGGCCTGCTCCATCCCGAGTAAGTACCATTGGGGCCATTGTAAGGGGACTGGCACTATTTCATAGTGTACTGTGTTTGAGTTAAACTTCCTCTATGGTATGGTCATATCTCCCGGACTAAAAATATGTTTCAATGTGTTGATGTGTATATGGTAATTATCTTATTCAAACTGGAATAAGATACTTTCGGGGCATTAACCTTTCCTTAAAAGGTGTGGATGAGGACATGTTTCATAAATAATGTACAGTGCACACATTTGTTTGCTGTATGTACCCATATTGCTCTGTAGAAGATGTGAGGGCCATACTAATCTTTCATGTCCACTGTGTGTATATATGTCAGAGAGAGCAGCAACTGGCCCTGATTCACCTGTATACGTACAGGAAAAAACTAAAGATAAGCATGACTTTCACATAATTAGAAGAAACACACTACGGTAAATCAAACATTCTTGCTCATTTCTGTTAACTTGCCTTTAGTTGTATTACATCCTTTGATGATTTTAAAGTTCTTCCATCAGAGATGCAGTATAAGACTGTTAGCTAACCAAAGCATTTCTACACCATGAATAATAATGCCTTGATAGGAATTAAGGCGAATTTGCCAAGGACAATGAAAAGTAATAAGTTTGCTGGAATGACTTTTATGCCCAGCCTTGATTAAGCAGATTATTGTGAAATAGTAGATAGTGTACTACAATTATGTAAAGTGTTACTGGATTCCATTCAAAGTAATACACCGGCTTTAACTGCTGAATCAGGGAACCCTTCTGTCTTATCAAGGTGTATTACTGTGCTCTTACATACAGATCCAACCCCTGTGTCCTCAATAATATTAGTAATAATAATTTTATTATGTTCTTTATATGCACTGGAAGCCTCCCAGAGTGACTGGGGAAACCCAGCCAGAGGGGTTTAATATTATTAAATTTATTATCTGCCCTTCATCAACAGGTCCCAGGACAGTTTAAAACAGCTGAAAATTAAAAACAGTTAAGGCAGATTACAATCACAAGAACAGGGTGGCCCTCAAAGCACAAGGGGTAAAGAGGTGCGTTTCCAGCATTTAGTGAAAGCTGTATTGTGAGGAAGCCAGATACACCTCTACAGGGAGGGAATTCCACAACTTAGGGGCTGCCACAGAAAATGCACTCTCCTGGGCCACCACAACCCAAACTTCTGAGGGTGGTAGAACTACCAAGAGGGCACCCTCTGCTGATCATAACACCCAGGAGTGTCTGAAGGGACCCTCTCTCAATGTAGCAGGCAGAAAACCAACAGCTGGAAGTTTTCTGAACACGAAGATGCAGGAATTGCACGGGTTCCTTGGCAAATCCATAACTCCAGCCCAAAATGATGAATATTTCATACATACTAAAACCCTTGCAGAAAACATGTTCCTGAGATTGCTTCTCTAAAGCTCTAACTAAATTTAGAAATTACACCACAGGGTTAATAGCGGCAACATCCCAGTTATTCTAATAATTTCCTTTTACTGCCACATCATATCGCATTTTCTTGTTAGAATTTGCTGTGGCTCCAAAGACCACAAGGCGGCAGTGTTTAATGAAAAATTATAATATGTACAGTAACTATGTTACCTCTATACAGTTCTGTTGTTTGCACAAAATCTCCATTTCTTAAGCATAATGGAGCAGAATGCCCACTCAGTATTTCAATCACAAATGACATTTTGGCCCATTCACTCCTGCAGAAATGTGGAGCTATAAAGAGAACTAATGCATTATTTTAGACTGGTGATGGTGAATATCTAATCATTCTACTATTTGCTGCTGGTGCTAGTAATATTTTCACTAGAAAAAGGAAAAGTCAAAATGACACTTTCCCTTTTTTGAACTGGACTCTCTTATTTTTCTAATGCTACAAAGAAAATAGCACACCCTCTGGAATGCGCTTCCTGAAGAACTGCTGCACACTGCTTCATGGTAAAGCTGAACCAGCTGCTCTTAAGTCCCTAAATCAAAGGAATGTAAACTTAACACCCCTAAATAAAATGGCAGTGATCCAGAGACATACACATGCAGTTCCCATTGCCAGCTATTGCAGAGTTTTCAGCAGGTGTGGGTGGGTTTACTAGACATGTCATCCAACTACAGAAATCTTCGTTGATTAATCAGTTAAGTTGCAATTGATTTAGTTAGCTAAACTGGTTAAAGTATGCCTATGAATAAAACATTTTATCAGAAGACGAAGAATAACATTTTCATTGTTTTTAAAACATTAATAAGCTTAGGAAATCCGATTGTATTGTCTGGAATGGACAAGCACTCTATCAAAATAGATAAATAATAATACTTTCTACACCAGAGTTGACACCGGTTCATGTAATTTCATTTAATTCAATTACAGATCCTACCAGGATGGCTACCAACAAACACTCTTTTTGGCAGGGCCAGTGTCAGCACCTGGTATCCTTAGCTGCTAAGGTCTCAGTGCCCTTACATCTCCTCCCCTGCCCCCGCCCCCCAATGCTGGCAGAGCACTTTGAGCATTGCAAAGCATTTGGATCAAGCCACCTTTTCAGTTTCGCAGAATGACCTCAACCTGGCGTCACTCAGGGGCATTGTGGGAAATGGAAAGGGTAGCTTGATGCAGCTGTTTAGCACTACAGCCAAGTAAGCCTAGTACTGACAAAGAAGGGGGGCACTAGACAAAGATGCTTTACCTTGGACCTCCTCAAACTTGGAGGCCAGTGGGGCACAAAGAAACCCCAAACTGACAGAGCTGCTGAATTAATGTAGACAATACCCCAAGCCCCACACTACACTACAAAAGATACGTTGGATGGATCCTAAGGCTGAGTTTTAGGAGAGATACAGTCCCTCAGGTGTATCTCAGTGATGACACACATGCTTTGCAGGTGAGAAGCAATTCTCAGCCTCTCCAGGTAGAATTGGGAAATCATGGGGAGTTGCTGCCTGCCAGTGAATACCCTGGCCAGTGGTTAGAGATCATGGGAGTTGTAGTCCAATAGCACGTGGAGGGGTCAGAGCTTCTCACAGTGGTGTAGACAAATATTGTGTTGGGTGAACTAGACGAATTCCTCCCTTTATGGAAGTTACCTATGTTCCTTGTTCACAGGAGCGACATATTTTCACCAGCTGCAACTTTGAGAGTATTCATCCAACAACCAGTAAATACAAATTGCAGTTTAAATGAAAGCACTGAAGGGTTTCATCCCTTGGAAAAAGTGCTTTTGGTAAACTAATTGCAATACAAGGGAACAAAGTATTCGCTACACTTGCTGTTGTACCACAGTGGAAGTCATTCTCCTTTTTTGCTTTTCTTTCTCCCGTTCTCTGACTAGCATTGCCGGGGAAAACTCAAGACACATATAATGGTCCAGGAAATATGTTTGCGGTTACCAACGGTAGGAAATGTCTCTGTGTCAGGTTTCCAGAAGAGAAGTTTTCTGTGTTACCAGATTTGGGAGGGTTTTTTGGTTATTGTTTTTTTTTACACCAACCAGTGATAACATCTCAAAGAGGTGGGAACTAAGTGCAGCATTCACTGACGTGATTATAGGGAAATGAAAGTTCAGGGTGTTTTCACACATAAAAGAGCTAACTCAAATTATTCTCAATCCAGAGACATCCTGGGTTGAATATACAATATGAAAATACTCATATGGTTGATTTTTAAAGCCGTCAGTCGAGTGGCTAAAGGCACACAGAGGAGATTTGGTGTACATAAAACAACAGGGGTGAGATGGCGTGTTTGCTCTTCAGGAAACATATCACCAATTGCTATGTTGCTCCATACAGTATCTCACATTCCATCAAACTGGCATGGTAACTCTCAGAATTTACCCAAGACTTGATTTGTCAAATGTGGATCTAATTATGCTACTCTCTAGTTTGCCAAGGAAACACAATTCTCTCGTTAAGCATCTTTATCACTCTGCTAAAGATGAAAAAGGCTAACCATGTGTATCTCGAGTAGCGAGTGCCATTGCCATCATATTCATGACTTTGTCAAGCATGGTCAAACCAAAGCTTCATAATAAGCATAAGGCTGCTAGCCAGTTTCAGTGGCACCTTGTACTGAAATACATTATAAGAAACCTTGGCAATTTGAAAAGCCCTCCTCTGTGCATCAGCTTAGCCATTCAGTGGTTGATATGGCATCATTTGAACAGCTGTGAGTAGAGGCACATGGTTGTCTATACAGGCCACATTTCTAAGATGCAGGTTCAGCAAAAGCAGGTACAAAGCACTGTGATGATATACATCTGAACTTCACAAGCAATTGGTCAAGCATCATAAAGTTGTGATGAATTGTTTTTATTCAGCAAGTGAGGTGTACTCTGAGCTAATTCTGAATACACACTTGGTGTAAAATCAAAGTGCTGATCATTTCTCTCTCTCTCTCTCTCTTTTTAAGATGATGGTGATGATGGTGGTGGTGTTCTGTGGGGAACTGGCTTTGGAATGTTCTTCTTGTTTATAATTATTTTGAGTTTGATTGCTACAAACATTAAGAGGTACAAGCGTGAAGTGTTTCCCCAGACTTTTCTCCTTAGCCTTCGAGCAAACTTTTCAGCCTTGGAAAATGTGTGTGCAGTGCCTGTTTGCGTGCACATTTTCCCTTATTAAAGCAGGACAAGGGCGATGGTTTTGTAATTGATTTGTAAAGTTATTTAGGGCTGGTGAAAGATTGGTCCTTAGCTGTAGTACAGTATCTGGCTGCAGTTAGGCTGAAACTGATGGCAAAGCTGTGTATTCAAGTGTAAAACAACTGAAAAGCCGGATGTGAGGCAACTTCATGCATAGAAGTGGTGGGTATGAGAAAGATTCTATGACGTATTCGACAAAAGATTTTCTCCATTCTCCTCCTCAGAGTTATTTTTCTCTCAATGAGAAATGTGCTGGTGGGGGGGAGTGATCTGGGAAGGGGCTCTGGAAGAACAGAGAATGGGTTCAGCACTCCTCCTAGTCGCTTACCACTATTGCACCAAAATCATTCCAGACCCCATTTCACTTGTGTTTCTTGGTAACTGCATTTGAAGGCAAGGAGCTGCAACCATTACATATAATTCTGCTCTCAACCTTATCTAATCTACATAGGCATTTCCAATCCAGTAATGAATTTGAACCGTGATCATTTCTTCCAAAATGCAATTCATGTGTTGTGCTTTTTTTTTTTTAAAGGGTTAAAACAGCATTTTGGTCGATAACACCGAAATGGCTTTTTGAAGATTATCCTAGAATGCAGAACAGCAGTGTGATCAAATCACTTCAGGTAACTCCACAAGTCAACATTCTATTTATTTAATGTGTCTAAAGAAACTAGAGTGAAGCAAGGAGGTACCTTGCATTTGTAGGAATAAATGTTTGCATGGCTTTAAAAACAACAACAGCTTTGTATGCTTTATTTTATGACCAATACATTCAGAATATGTTGTGGGCCTATTTGGCTATTGCTTCTCATGTTCATCTCTCTACATGGCATGACCAGGACTTTGCACTCCTTCCTCTTGCTACAAGTGCAACATAAAATTGTCAGATTAGGAGATCCAAATTTACTTGAATGTGGAATTGCTCAAGATAATATATGACTTGATCTACTATTATCAGCATTTATCGCCTATCGTTCAACTTAGTTCCGTAGCTATTCATTCTTACATTCAAGTGTAACCTTAACTGTAAATCACAAAAAGTAATCTTTTGACGTGTGAATACTCTCTTCTCTTTCTATGCATAAACAAAGGCTTACAGTAATTAAAATGGAGCAACTCTGTTAACTGCTGACTTAAAAGCATAAAGGGGAAATAGTTCAGTATCAAACAACAAGGAAAGAAAAGCAACGAAGAAATTTCTGCCCATATAGTAGCCTTAACTCTGTAATCCTGAAGAGCTGCTGTCAGCCAGAGTGGACAATAGTGGGCTAGATTATGGACAAGTCTGACCTAGGATAAGACCTTATCTATAGAACTAGCCAGGCATTCACCCTCATGAGATTCCCATCACATGAGAGGAAAGAATGGAACTATAAAGTTAATCACAACTTAACTTTAGATAGATTGGTTCAAGTTGCATTGCATAGATTTTGCCTGTATCCACATATGCAAACCTTATTTTAACATTTATGTAGTTATCTTTTTATTCATGTTTCCTATCAGTTTTACAGATGCCTCAATTTATTTTATTATAATGTGTTATTTCTGTGTTAAAACAATTGCTCTAGACTAGATATTGAAACCGAATAGCTGTTTGCTGCCTCCCCCCCGCCTACATTTTATTATTTTTTTCTGTAATTGTTTCTTAGGGGGAAAATGGTGGCATAACACACAATTCCACTGGGTTGTTCATCGATCATGAGGATGCTGTAGTAACTGAAGTGGAGGAGACACTGGTACACAAGGAGTATAAGGTTGTAGATCATAAAGAGGAAACTAGAGAAGTAGTTCTGGATAACGTTAACATTCCAGAAGACAGACTGTTTGTTGGCAATTTGGACACGACGGAGGAAAATGGCTACAAACCTCAGATTTCCAGCCCAGCAGTCTTACAAGACAGTACTAATGAAATACATTCTCAAAGCCCAGATAAAAAACCAAACACCCCAGCTTTCCCCGATAGTAGTTTAATAAAAGATTTCCCAAGTCCCATGGCTACCATATGGCCTATTGTTGGTACCAATGAAAACACATTTTTATTTGATAAAATCAGTCTTGTTTTGAACAACAGTAAAAGTGGACAGAGCAACATGGTCAGCTCAACAGATGAAGAGCCACATACACCAACAGACAACCAGTGGAAGCCCCTACTTTCAGATGAAGATATTCAAGAACAGACCTTAATACCAGATGAACTTCTGTCTTGCTTAAATGCTGTGAATGAAGATTCTTCCGATATAATGTCTTACTTTCCTCAAAACGTTGCAAAGTGACTTTCTTATTAGGACTGAATATAAGGTTTTTGCAACCATGACAAAATTCTGCATTTTCAAGTAGAATAACTCAAAGTATCCTCAACATTCTCAGTTCTCGTCCAATTTAAAAAACAAAACAGCTGCAGTTGCAACCATAGCATTAATTTCTCATGCCACTTTCTTACCTTGAGATGAGACCAGAATGCCATCTTGTGAATCCTCTTCTAAAAGGCAAAATATTTCATCATATGAGCCTATCATGGTTATCAGCTGCATCAACTGCAGGGTTTCCAGCCAAGCAACTGCACAGCAAGTAACTACAGATAACCCAAGTGAGCCAAAGCCAGGTAAAGGCAAAGATATCTCAAGATCCCTATAGTCTTGCTGAAGGAAAAATTATTCACAATTATGATGAACAGCAAGATAAGTGTGACCCAAAACAAGACATGGAGAAATTTTTATTTGGTTACAATTCCACCATACCTGACATCTTGTCTCTATAGTTGTATCAGTTTCCAATGCCACCAAGAAGGGGAAGAATCTAATTATGAGGCTCCCTGCCCCCAGTTTATCAAACTGTTGATAAAAAATGTTTCTAATAGGGGTCTATTCCTTTCCAGCTGCAAGCGCCTGTTCTTCTGCAGTTGCCCAGTTGGCGTTGACCCATGACGGGGCCTTTTCAATGATGGTTCCCTGTTTGTGGAATTCCCTCTCTAGTGAGGTGTTTCTGCTTCCATCGTCATTAACTTTCCAGAGGAATTTGAAAAACATTCCTCTATACCCAGCCATTTGGTGGCTGCAGAATACTGCCATGAAATAATGGATGAAATAAAGTTTTAAATTGTAACTGTTTTTTAAAACAATGTTTTAAATGCTTTTTTTGCTATTAAAATGTGGGTGTGTTTGCTGTCTTGAGCTCCTCTGGGAGGGGGGTGGGGATAGAAATTAAATATAGAAATAAGTAATACAGCAGGTGTGGGGAGGCCTTGGCTCACTAGGTGTTTCTAAACTTACCATTTTGATCAGCCCCACACATTATAACACATTATGGACAGTGGCCAGGAATGACGTAAGTTCCCTACCCCTGTTTTGCACACATGGAGTACCTACTGCAGCCTGGCTAAGCCATTGCTTAAAACTGTTCCTTGTGACTCATTCTCATTTTGCCAAGGTAGCATATGAATTTTCCTCACAATAGAACCCTCATCACATAGATCCCTCTCTGGCCAACATCAGTGGACTCTGTCAAGGCAGAAGGTGGCACAGGCAGTTTTCCTACATTCCTTTGTGAGGTAAGAGCCAGCCATGATGAAGCAAATTTGCAGTGGCAACCATGTTGCTGAAATAGCATGTGTGAGCCAGGACTGGGACAGTCCCCACATAGTTGACTCATGGGCCCTTTAAAAGAGAAGTCACATACCTACCAAGAAGTTTTCAAGATGTCTACAATGTACAACCTTAATTTAGCACTTAGTGAGAGGATATAGCTGACTTTAGAAAATTTAACATCTGAAGGCTCTCAGGCGCATGATTTCCTAGAAACTGAAAAATGACACTAAACACAAGTCTCTAGAATGCAAGTTGGTCTAAAATTAGTAGTTGTTGCTCTTGCAGGAAGGAAATAGTAAAGGAAAGCCACACACATAAGACGTATGATATAGAAAGTTCTTTGGTTGTTGTGCTCCGGGCATTTTATGCACCTCAAATAGAAATCTACTCAGTTCTTGTTATATGATCGGGTAATATTTCTGTTTTGCCAAGAGCCATAACCTTATATTGCAAATAGCAATTAAATTTAAGGAACAGAAGATAATCCTTTCATATCCACCTCTTCAACTATATGATATGTTCATTATCATCACTAAATGCAATGATACAAACACACACAAAATAGCTTTGATAAACACAACACAGGAATCTTTTTGCCCAACGTGGGGTTCAAACCCACAACCCTGAGATTAAGCGTCTCATGCTCTGCAGACTGAGCTATCTTGGGGCTATATTATTGATCACAGAGCTGATAGTACTGCAGATTAAGGGATGTTTTCCTGAACAACCCACAGCTGAGCTCTTGTGCAGCTTCTAGGAATTTAAATGGAGCTTCTACTAGAAAACATCTTGATGGATTAATGTGAACATAGGAGCACAGGAAGCTGCCTGACACTGTACACACTATTCCATTTGTATCACAAAAAATACAGTTTTTTCTCAGTCCAGAATCATTTGTGCTAGTCCTCAACAAGCTACTTTCAATGTAGATTGATTCTAGATCCTGTCATCCACAAGGGTGGTTGTGGTTACTTGAGATCGTGTGAAAACCCTGCCCTTGATTAGATTATCCACCCTTTTCCTGTCTGCACATGCCCCAGGCAAATGAAGAAGGAAGTGGTGATTGCGCTCTAGGCATTCACCCACCCACAGCCTCATTGGGCAGCTGGGGACTTACCACTCATTGCTGAAACCACCCACATCTGTTTCCAAATGGACACACTTCAGGTTAATGCAGAATCAATCTGTAATGTGCTTTAGTGAATGAAACCAGTTTCTCAAGAAGCACTTTTCAGGGGCAAATATATAAATATGCATGCAATAGATCTAGATTGTGTGTAGTCTGCATACATAAAAAATCTAGTCTCCATAGATTCTAGAATATAATATGTGTACACAGCCATCTACCGAGTCAGTCTGCTGGTCAATCTAGTTCAGCATTGTCAACACTGACTAGCAGCGGAGCACCAGGTCAGTGTCTCAGAATGTCAGAGATTGAACTTGAGAACTTCTGCATGCAAACCAGTTGTTTTCCTACTTCTCTGCAACATTTTTTTTTCTAGAGAAGAGTTGGGAACAGTAAGATCAATGGACTCTGCTAGTCACAGATCTCATCTCAAAACCAGTTATAAATAATATCTAGGCAATATGACTTAGGTGTACTTTGAGTAGACTAACTGAAGCCACTGAGATTTCAGTTAGTCATGACTAACTTGCATTCTGTTGAATTCAGTTGGTTAGCTCTAAGCATCACTAAGTCAGCAACTAACCTAATGTTTCAAACAATTGCAATATATATGAATGGTTCACAGGATAGGTTCCATGTCTTCTGCTTCCTTTCTAAATGTTTTGACATGGCACTTGCTGCTTCCAAACTAGATTAACCTTAGTTGGTCAATGGTTTAACTTCTCAATGAATTGATATCAATAAGACTAGTTCAGTGTACTGTAAGTGTGAATGAAATTTCCTCTAAAGAACACTTTGAAAGCACCAGGCATATATAATTCAAAGAAGTAATAGTCCAATAATATTATGCTCAATTTTCTATAGCAGGTAATGTTGACAGAATTTAAGACTCTGTATTTCATATTCACAGCTGCAGGGGGAGCAGAATGGGGTTGAGGGTGAGGTATAAAGACTGTCTCAAGGCAAATCTTTAAAAATGTAGTATAAACACTGACACCTGGGAAACACTGGCCTGCGAGTGCTCCAGTTGGAAAACAGCCTTTACCAAAGGTGTCATGGGCTTTGAAGACACTCAAACTCAGGACGCAAGGGAGAAACGTGCTAAGAGGAAGCCACGTTTGGCAAATCCACACTGTGATAAACTCCCATCCGGAAACCAATGTCCCCACTGTGGAAGGACGTGTGAATCCAGAATTGGCCTCCACAGTCACTTACGGACTCATTGTTAAAACCGTATTTATGGAAGACAATCTTACTTGGCTACGAGTGATCACCAAAGAAGAAGAGAAGAAGAAGATCTGGGCAATCATGTGAAAGCTAACTATCCATGGTTGCCAGATTTACACAGTCACTGAGATTAGCTGGTTGGACATCCCAGGGTAATTGTAATAAGTGGTCTAGGACCATTTGATGTTCTCCCATTGCTGAAGTTGAGCCAAACTAGTTATTATCCTGATGTCTGGTTTCTGCTAAAAACAGTGGATGTGTTGTTAACCATTTAATCCCTAACATTCAGTAGAATTTTATATTGTGTCATGTGGAGCTGAATCCACCCCACATAACTGGCTGCTAGTGGGGCTCAGGGAGACGGGGGATACACAAAACATAGTGATGTCTAGAGTTCTGCTAGATAGTAAGGGGACTGAAGATCTAGGTGAATATAGGGCAATATTTCGTTTGGGTGTGGACATTATTCTAGATACAGCCCTCTGTTAAAGCTCTTTTGAACATTCTAAAGGAACAGTACAATATTATAACAATAGGAAAGGAATAACTGCAGAAAGCATATTTTATGTGAAAGTGACTAGTCTAGCTAAATGGTTACTAACAGATCTTTTCAAGTAAATGAAACTGCAAAGCAACACCAACTAGAAGACCCAAGTCTAACAACAGAAGAAGAGGAAAAGAAACTGGTGATCCCTGCAGTCTCAGATTCTCAGTCAGTTTTTGCTCATTTTGCTGTCTTGAGGTTAATAGCAGTTATGGTTTGGAAACTGACATTAAAATTGTATCCTTTGTAGATAGTAAGTTATATGTTGTACAGAGAAATAGATTGCTTGTGCTGCTGATTCCCCCCCCCCAAAGGTTCACTATTTGTTTTAATATATTGAAAAGAGAAGGTTGGATACATGTTACAAAGATCTGTTACTTTATAAAGGTAAGTAGTAAATTGGAGTTTGTTTTTGTTCTCTCTCTTTCTCTTGCTTTTTCTTTCAACATGTATCTCTTCGTGAAGCTAAGTGGTAATTCAGAGTTTACTATTACTATTCATTAAACAATTGGAACATATGGAGGTCGGTACCGAATTCTTTAATGGGGTAAAGGCAATCTACACGGAACAAAAGGCAAAACTGATAATAAATAATGTGGAGACAACAGAAATTAGAATAGCAAAAGGAACAAGACAGGGATGCCCACTGTCCCCATTGTTATTTATAATGGTGTTAGAAGTCCTCCTAAACTCAATAAGAGAAAACAAGGGGATAAAAGGAGTAACAGTTGGGCAGAATGAATACAAAATCAAGGCATTCGCAGACGATCTGGTTGTAACAATGGAGGACCCAATAGATTCAATAAAAGAGGTACTCGAAGAATTTGACCAATTTGGAAAAGTGGCCGGCTTCAAATTAAATAAAAGGAAAACAAAAATTATAGCAAAGAATATGGATATAGATAAAATAGAAGAACTACAAAATGAAACGGAGATAGAGGTGGTCAAAAAGGTAAAATATCTAGGAATATGGGTAACGCCAAAAACATAGACTTATTTAAAAACAATTACGAGATAGTATGGAAAGGAATTAAGAAAGATATTGAAGCGTGGGGCAAGCTGAAACTGTCATTCTGGGGCAGAATAGCCACAATCAAGATGAGCGTACTCCCTAAAGTGTTATTTTTGTTCCAGAATATCCCCATAATTAAAGGTACAAAGTTATTTAAAGAATGGCAGAGAGTGATCTCAAAATTCGTCTGGCAGGGCAAGAAACCAAGAATAAAATTTAAATTGTTGACAGATGCGAAGGAGAGAGGGGGCTTTGCCCTGCCAGATCTGAAATTATATTATGAGGCGTCATGCCTATGCTGGGTTAAAACATGGATAAAATTGGAAGACAAGGAAGTGCTAGACCTAGAGGGATTTAACAACAGATTCGGGTGGCACGCCTATTTGTGGCAGGAGAAGAAAAAAGTGCACAGGGGCTTCGAAAATCACATCTTTAGAGGCCCACTGATTGAGGTATGGGAGAGGAATAGAGATATGTTAGAACCTAAAACACCCCATTGGCTATCGCCACTAGAAGTCATGAGCGTTAAAAAGATTAACATGAGAAATAATTGGGCCACTTATGAACAACTGTTAATGAAAGAAGAAGGAAAGTGGAAAATGAAGCCGTATGATCAGGTCAAAGAGAAAGTCTATGATTGGATGCACTACTTCCAGATAAATGGAATGTTTAGAAAAGACATTAAAGACAAAGGATATGCTGATAAAGATTCTAGATTCCAGACAGAGATACTGAACAATAACTATAAAATCCTATCAAAAATGTACAATCAGCTATTGGAATGGAATTTAATAGACGAGGAAGTAAAGTCGGTGATGATACATTGGGCTAAAGATATTGGTCACAATATATATTTCGAAGAATGGGAGAAACTTTGGAAAAAACATCTTAAGTTTACAGCTTGTGTGACATTAAAGGAGAACTTAATGAAAATGTTCTGCTGATTCCCCCCCCCCCCAAAGGTTCACTATTTGTTTTAATATATTGAAAAGAGAAGGTTGGATACATGTTACAAAGATCTGTTACTTTATAAAGGTAAGTAGTAAATTGGAGTTTGTTTTTGTTCTCTCTCTTTCTCTTGCTTTTTCTTTCAACATGTATCTCTTCGTGAAGCTAAGTGGTAATTCAGAGTTTACTATTACTATTCATTAAATTTGTATAGCACCCTTCATCCAAAGATCACAGGGATAAGATCACAACATAAAAATACAAAAGAAGAACACAAAATACACAATGAAAACAAGAACAAAGCAAAACCCCAGCTCCCACAAACACAATCAAAAGGACATCAAATGTTAACCAGCCCAACACTTGGTTTTTCTGGAAAATAATTTCGAAGTATATGATGAAATTTTACAAAACTTTTGTAAAACACTTTTTTCTAAAACTACATACAAGAGGCACTGAATCAGTTGGCCATCCTTAAAGCTTGGTTTAAAATCCTGCAATGAAGGAAAACCTACCACCTTCTGCAACAGTCTTCCCCACTGTTGAGCAGAGTTCTTCTCCTTGTTGGCCAAAATCCTTTTTTGGCCAAAATCCCCTTTCTTGTCATTTGATCCTGTTGGTTCAGGTACTACCCTCTGGAGCAGGGAAAAAAGCAAATCGGCTCCAATTTTTCTAGCCTTTGAAGACAACTGTCATTTCATATCTCGCTTGTATCTTCTCCATGCTAACATACCCAACTCCTTCCGTTTTTCCGTGGTCCCTAACCATCTCTTCCACCCACTGTCTATTCTTCTTATCTTCTTTGTCACTATGTTGTACTTGCATTCTAAAATCCCTTTGTTCAAACAACTTCAGTAATTACAACTGGAATAAAAGTGGACTTTTTCCAATCCCACTTAGTAAAAGATGAGGGCTAATTCAGGCTTGCATTTGACCTGTGCCTAGAAAGCACAAGACAAGCGGGAAACAATTCAGACCAGGGCTTTCTAAGCACACCTGGTTTTGCCCTTGCCCTGCTGCTTTCCCCAGGAAAACCCACTCTAGCAATAAATCAGAACAAATGTCAGTCCTAAGAAAATTCAATTGATGTTTGCTCCAATTCATCAAGAAAGATTGGGTTTCCCCAGGGAAAAGTAGTGGGGCAAGGTCAAATCTGGAAGAGCTCAGAGTTGTTTTTCTGAACTTGATTAATTTACTAAAAAATAAAAAATAAATCAATTGGAACAATAGTTGAGGAAAATACCCTGTGACATATGTTTTGAAAAGGATGGAGAGGGTAAATTGCCATTAGACACACAAACATACACAAAATAGGTCTATAGGTTCTGAAAGATTAACACGTTTGTTCAAACAATTGCGAGAATGTGACCTGAAATGCAGAATATGGATTATGAGTTGTGTTAGTTCCCAAACAAAACTTGGGAACGTGTATTGTTCACAAAACTTGGGAACGTGTATTATTTCCTGAAACAGGAAAGAATCATGATCTTGCTAATGTAGGGTTCGAGCCCCCCATTAGGCAAAAGAGTCCAGCATTACGGGGGACCCTCATGGTCCTTTCCAACTCTGCAGTTCTATCATTCTTTGATCCCATCCCAAATTGAAGATAGAGGCACCATGAAGGAACTTCCTGAATAGCAGGAATTGTTATCCACATCACAGATATGCAGTGCCAATGAGAAGAAACTAGTGCAATGCTAAACTGCAGCACTGACCTGCTCCCCCCTTTTTTTTAACGAATGATTTAAAACCTCACTATCAAGTTGGTTTATAACCTGCTCCTTCCCTTCCCTTTCCTAAAAAGGAATTACTCAACACCTCATGGTTAAAGTTGGTTTACGAAATATACTAGAACAGCGACCGCTCAAGAAGTGGGAGGGGGAGAGAAAGTGCCATGACAGGGTAAAAGAAGCCACAGTTTTAATTTTTATCCCCATTCACCGTTTTGTAGCCTGAAGCCAACCAAGTCTGACAGAGAAAGCTGAATGGGGGAAAATAGCCACCTGGGGCTGTGTGAAGCTCAAGGCAATCCTTGAAATGTAGCTGTACATGGCACCTTACTGACAAGAAACAGAATTGTCAGGTGGTGAGTGAGGAAGCTAGTATGGGCGGAGAGAGGGAGACTGATGTCTAAGCAGGCAGGAACTTTGACTGCTGCTTTCACACAGACACACACACAGTGCCGGGCTTGCTCTAAGCAGCTTCTGTGCGGCCAGCCCTTGAGGTGCCGATGGGAAGAGGAACTTACATCTGCAGTGAACCGGGGTGAGTTGCTGCATAGACGCAGATAATAGATATATACAGTGCTTTTTTCTGGGGGGACAACGCAGGGGTACGCATACTCCTAAACATTTTGTTAATCTTTGTACTTTTGTCCATCTACTGTATTTATTTTTCCTGATTTGAACTATAAAATGCTGATTTTCTTGAGTCAAAATGAGAGTACCCCTAAGCATTTTTTTTAAAGAAAAAATAGCACTGGATATATAACTGAAAAGGAAGGGGAAGAAGGAGCTCGTATTTGCTTGGCACCTGAGGAGAAATCAGGGACATAAAGTCTCCTTACTGGGCAAAAGTATAGTGGCTTGCGACCCCTCATCTTTTTAAAGCAGAAAGAAGCCAAATTGTTCCCTCTGATTCCATAGTAAGATCTATGGTTTTAAAATGGAGAGTCCTATTTGGTTCACAGAGCTTACTCTTAGGTCATTGGGTATGGGTTTAGAGCCCTTCTTGAACATAGTGCAGGTAAGGTCCCAGCTGGGCATGGGCAGTGCCCACAGAAATGCTACAGCTCCTGGTGCATCAAAATTTTTGCTAAAGAGAAAAGTTGAGGAGTGGAGAAGGAGTCAGAGGCATGTACATAAGCAGTGGAGATGCCTTGCCAAAGAATCAAACAGGTGAACAAGGCATGGAAATGCTCCACTTCATGCCTTGTGTGGAAGCAGCTCTCTTAAAGGAGAACTTGTAGGAGGGAATAGAGGCCCTTTCCAAAAGCTTTCCAAATGCTTTTTTATTTAATTTAATTTTTTTAGTTAAGCTAGTATTGAGCCAGTACAATAAACCAAGCACACCAAATGGATAAGCCAAATTAAATCTTGTTGCAGTGGATTCATGTTTCAAAAATCTCTAAATGGTGTGTGTGTGTGTGTGTGTGTGTGTGTGTGTGTATTTCCCCCCCAAAATAAATAAATAAATAGATGAAATGCAGAGCCTACAAATAATGCATTGTTTTTAAAATAAAAAGTTTTGTAAACTATCAGGACACTGATGTGACAGGAGATTTGCTGGTGTTTGCCATTTCACAAATGATTTTGGGGGAGATGGGGGTGCTGAGCCCACTAATTTTGTCTTAAATAAATCTGCATGGGGCAGAGAGGATTATAGCATGATCACCATCCAAAAAGTGCCCACCTAGTCTTCATACAGCTGGGTAACAACTGCAAAATTAATAATAAATCAGTGGAGAAGTCCCTGACAATGATGGGGAAGTTATTCTAAGCAGGTGCTTCATGGCAAAGGACACAGTTGAAAGAGAAAGGGACCAAGGAGTTTGCTGTGCAAAGTATGGCTGCAGCAAGAAGCAAGGGATGAGAGTTGATCAGTAGGACAAAGTGATTTCAAAGTGAAGACTAGAACATTAAAGCTGCTATACAAATCAGGGTATCACTTGTGTGTGTTTGTGTGTAAGACATAGTCAAAAATTGGGGAATGTGGAAAATTACCAAGCAGATTCCGTTTTAAGAAATGTGTAGTACTGAAAAGGAATGCCTCAAATTCACTGATCCCTTTACGAAGGATTTAAGCATTTGAAACCCCACAGCTGAATGCACATCATCTTTGTTCTCAACTCTTTGCCTCTTTATCACAAATGTAACAATTTTAAAAATCATTTGTATGCCCACTTCCTTGTTTAATTCTCCTATTGATGAAATTAGTATAACTGGCACTTGCAAACAATTGTTGTTGCTCCCACAATTTTTCCTTCCGTAATAATCCCATTTGTGAAAAGTACTTTTTCTTTATTTTTAGGTTTCTATATTGTTTAGTGGGTGTGAAGAGAGGGAAAGATGTTACAGTCTATGTGTAGATATATTTGAAGATCAGAGGAGCTTTATAACGCTGCCGTCTTATATTGCCCCACAACTGGTTTCTCACTTTCCCATTCTCACTCCCCTCTAATTTTTACATGAGGAAAGGACCCTGGCCCAGTGGGACAACATCTGCCTTGCATGCAGAAAGTCCAAGGTTCAAGGTTCTGGGGTCTCCAAGTAGGGCATGGAAAAGTGCTTTCCTGAAACCCTGGACAGCAGCTTCGGGTTGATGTAGGCCAGGCATAGGCAAACTCAACCTTCCAGATGTTTTGGGACTACAACTCCCATCACCCCTAGCTAACAGGACCATTGGTCAGGGGTGATGGGAACTGCAGTCTCGAAACATCTGGAGGTCTGAGTTTGCATATGCCTGATGTAGGCAGTACTGAACTAAATGGAGCCATGGTCTGACACACTATAAGGCAGCTTCCTGTGTTTTCATGGCATTGGTGGACTTGGAGACAGCATGGTACCCAATAGGCTTCTGGGTATATGGTTTCAGGCAAAGAGACATCTGATTCTAAAGACAGAATTCCATGAATTGGTCCCAACTGGAAGAATTCCAAAGAGGGTTCATTTGATATTTTCCAACTTAAACCTGTGAGGTATTTCCCCCTGCTTCCCTCAACAAACTGCCTACATTAAAAACAATTCTTGTAAAAAGGAATCACACTTCTTTCTTGTAAATGGCCTGGACTGCTCACTCATCCATTTCTGAGCGCTTGACAGAAAAAGAAACCAAAAAGAAAAGCAATTCATCTGGTTTGCTTCGTTACCTGACGTATCAACCTGAACAAGCCAGATAGCCATACACCATCTCCCAAAGAGACTGTGGGAACAAGATTTAATGAAGAAATTTATATTCCTTCCTGATGGTGAAAGAAAAGGCTCAAAAAGAAGCTCCAAATTTCCTACAAACAACAATTTTCTACAGTGAATGTGGAGCTGGAAGCAGTCTGTAGTTATCCCACTAAGGCGATCATTTTATGCTGTTGTAGACAGCAATGTGTAATAGTGGCAGGACCAGTGATATTTGGTGTGGAGACACAAAGGAGAACACAAGACCATCCTTATCTTTATTTGGGAAATGCTGGAGGATGTGGAAATATAAAATATAGTACATTATTGAAGTACTGCTATTATAGAATACTTTTGTTGGCAAAATATCCTCCATTTCAGTGCTATTTTTCTAGAAAAAGAGCTGCCAGAACTCACCACAAACGCCTCCCCTGTTCTCTTAGAATGACAATGGCACCCACTTGAGAGATGCCAGAACTGAGTTCTGGTGAGTTCCTGCTGGAAAAACAAAGCCCTGCCCTATTTGGTTGCGCCTGCCTCCCTTCCCCCCAAAACAGCTGTACTCAGTGACGGTATTGTCACCCACATGAGATGGCTTAGAAATTCAAAGGTGACATAATTAAACCATTTATGTTCTTGGCACACAAGCTATTTTCCTTTCTCTCTAGCTGGGTCTTGTAATTCTGAAACGTTAACAGAAATATGTTAAACCTGTTTGAGCAGATGTGGGGAGGGAGAGACTGATATTGTACACACAGACAGACAAAGTGAGCGGTGTTGACTCTCTTGTCATACCAATTTAAAATCTCTGGAGAAACTATCATGTGCCCAGAATGCCAGCATAACTGAACACAACCAGTGGTGTATGGTTACATAAAAAAGAACACACTGCAGTGTAGCCAGAAGTGCCGTTTAAAGATTTTTCCAGTCACAGAAGGGATGTTTCTGACTTAGCACTGTGTGAGAAAAGGGGAGAATCCAGAAAAGTAGGTTCTTGTTTCCCCCCTCACATTTGCACAAGTTCCAGAGTAAGGCTTCTGATAAGCCAATTCTTAATATATTCTTTTCTAAATGGTCACTTTACACTTATATTTTCCTTTTTCACAATTTTTATATTGTAACACAAAATAGTATGGGGAACCGTTGGTTCTCCAGATGTTGCCAAACTACCACTATCATCCCAGGTCATTGGCCATACTGGCTGGGGCTGATGCGAACTGTAGCCCAACAACTTCTGGAGGGCCAAATGTTCCCACCCCTATGTTAAATAGCTCATTGTCTGAAAACATTAATGGTACACATTTAGCTTTAGATCCATGTGGGTTGACTGAATTTTCCTTCTTGTTGATTCAGGTCAATTATACATTCACACTTTCACTGACAAAAAGAGCTCTGTGCAAATGATGATTATAATAAATAAGAAAATCCAGTTTTTTACCGTTATTATCATTATTATTTATTAATTTTTTGAACTGCCTTTTAAATGCGACTCATTTACAAACGTACCATAAAAACAGCTATGAATCATTAAAAAAAAAGTACCAGAAATAATAACTAAAGACAGATTTAGAAACAAAATGAACACCTAAAGGCAGAGACATTTTCATCCCGCTAAAAAGGCTTTTCAAAACAAAATTGTATTCATTTTTTCCAGAAGGTATAGATAATGAACACCTGTTCTAGTTCAACATTACTAGTTAAGTTGTTACATTCTTATTGCCAATTATATTACCTATGTCACAAAGCATATGAAAGCAGAAGTAATTTTTGCAGACAAAAACAACTTTTGAGGAACTTTTCCATTTGTGCAGATTTCTGCTAACGATACTCCCCAATTAAGTATACATATGATTCCAATTAAATACATTTGCACTTGCAATTCCTCTGAAAGATTCAAAGATCAATTCATGTATATTGTACCTTTTCTCGTAATGTGCAATCTAAGTTATTTCAGCACAGCAAACAAAATAGAATGGGATTGCTGCTCTTTGACAACCCTTCACAGTCCTAACCTGTCTCCACTATTCTTGCTCTTCCACCTCATAAGCCTGCAGAGGCCTAATTTTGCCCCTTGGCAAGCAAGGGATGGCAACCATTGAAATGGTTCCACCATACTTGAATATAGACCACAAGTGAGCAGGCTACAGCAACTGCATCCAATGCTGCACTGATACTTCCTTGGTGTATGGCTTAGGGGAAAGGTTTCTCACCCAACTAACAGACAACAAATTAGGAGGATCCAGTTGTGTGTGTAAGCACACTGAAGTCAGAAAGTAATTACTTTTATTTGCTTTTCAGAACAGTGGCTGTAGCTGGTCTACTGTACAAAATGAATCAGTAAATATCATTAGACAGTAACCCCATTAAACCCAGTGGGGTTCATCACATAGGATTAGGGGGTTATCTGTGGTACCCATGGTGAAAATAGAAGCAAGACAGTCTGTATCTGAAATATACTCAGAGTCCTGTAGTGATTTCATACTCTTTATTGTAGCTTGTAAAACAGTGATTGAATTGCCCCCCAAACCTCAGGCTTTTATATACATTATTTACACAACGAGTCCCGTTTGATTGGTTGATTCTGCTTCCCTCCTGGAGCCTGATTGGTCTTTTCCTGCAGGCCAATCAGTTGTTGCATTCTAGGATCCTACCAGCCTAACAGCCTGATTAACTTCTTCCTGGAGCCTGATTGGTCTTCTCCTGCAAGTCCATCAGTTGTTGCATTCTAGAATCCTACTTGCCTATTGTTCTAGGATCCAAGGTTAGGACATAACAATATCCTGGATTAGTTAATCCAAAACATCTTCATCTCTGGGTCTGCCCACCACCAGCAATGTGGTTCTTGATAGAAGGAAGGTTGCCCACCGCCCTGACGCAGGCACCCTCTTTTCAGAGAGGACCTGGCAACTCTAACGCTATGAGCAGCACATTTTGGAAAAAAATCAGCACTAGGATGTTTATCTGAGTTGATGCAACCCAAAGGCTGCTATGACCTTTGGAATGATTCTGTTTCTCTGATTTTGTTTAAGCACTTGTGCTTCCAGAAAAGACAGAGAAGCAGCAGCATTTGGTCATGAACCAGAAAAGAAACCCAAGAAATATTGCTCATGAAAGGCAAAATAAAAAATAAAAAAATTACAAAGAGCTGGGGAATCCCTAAAATTAGGCCCTGCTCCTAGAATGAGCTTCATGTTTTATTGTTAACAGTCTGTTATTTATTGTAAAATCCAGGTGCTCAACGTTGCACTGAAAAGTCCCAGGAGCTTGGGATGTGGTGGTGCAGAAGCTCTACCTTCCTGTTCTGAGAAGTAGAAAAGATCCCTCAACCCCATTACCTTTGATGAGTAGCTAAAGGGTTATCCCCCCACCACCACAGAGATTTATTTGTTTGTTTTAAAACAGGGCAAGCAAACCCCAGCAAAAACCCATGCATCAAGATGTTCTTCACAGCACATGTTCCCTTAAAGGTTTGGCTTTTAGTACACATGGGAATAGGTAAGTATTTATAATCGCAAACAAATGCAGTGGCTTCACTATTTGGGGTTGGGGGGGGATCCTTGGCCCAAACACCCTCAGTAGGATTCCTAAACCTGGAAGTGTTCAGGCGCAAACCTGAGAATCTTCTCATGAAGATGCTCCTACCAAGTAAGACGATTGGTTCCCTTTGGCCCAGTACAGTCTACTCTGACCTATTGCAAGTCCCAAAGGCTTTAGGCAGAGGTCTCTCTCATCACCTGCTAACATGCTTTTAAGTTGGAGGTTCAGAGGTTAAGCCTAGATCCTCATGAATGCAAACAACATGGCCTGCTATCGCCGTGATGCATAGTACCATCCATAGCTGGGAGTGATGAACATAACAACATAAGGAGTGCCTGCTAGATCAGGCCAGTGGCCCAGTTAGTCCACCATCTTGTTTTCCCAGTGGTCAACTAGACACCTATGCAAAGCCCACAAGCGAGTCCTGAGCCTTCTCGCCTCCTGCAGTTTCCAGACACTGGTATTCAAATGCATACTGTCCCCAACCAACCTTTTATCAGGCTGCCACTAAATCCCAGTCGCAGCACCCTTTGGGGACTACTGTCTTTGCTACAGTGAGTTTCCATCTGTTAAGAAACCTTGCTCATTTGGGGGGACTGCATGTTCTGGGGGAAACTCTTCCTTTTATTTGAACTGTTCTATCAGAAAACATCACATTTTCCTTTCCTTTTCTCAATCTAGGAGTACATTTTGGGAGCTCATTTGCTTGCATCAGTAAACAGTTGAGTAGCATTGCTCTCTCTCTCTCTCGCTCTCTCTCTCTCTTTCTCTAACAAATATTCTGTTTATGTATTAGGCTAAAAACATTGTTAAGAACCACCCATCAGAGTTCCTAATTGTATAGCACTCTGCAGAGCCGATACATAGATTTACCTACTAGGAACTGCATATTGACTGTGGGGCCTATTGCTGCAGCAATTGTAATTGCAGATAAAAGGACAGGCTGAATTATCTCTAAAGAACCTGCATTGATATTGACACAGGAACTACTTAAGCCTTAAGGGATATGATTATTTCATTTTCCATAATTGTTTCCAGCCATTTTCAGTTGTGTGCGAGAGTGCAGGAATCTGCTCTATGGCCATATATACTTTACAGTTTATTGAGAAGTCCTGCTACAATAAGATGGCTCATTTGTTGCTTTTGATTGCAAGTAGGGGCTCATCCAAACTTCCGTATGTCCCACAGCTAGGGTTGCCATATTTTGAAGAAGAAGAAGAAAAAAAGAGGACACATTTGCCAGAAACTGGGGCAGGGGGGAGGGGATGCGGGAACAGGGCCACGCCATGGTGGGGTGCGCATGGGAATGACATTGGTGGGCACCAGAGAGTGACACAGGAAAATTCGGTGCAAAAGGAAACTCCCCGGACATTTTGGCAAATTCAAAAGATCTACCCAAACAGAAATTTAACTCCGAAAAGGAGGACTTGTCCTGGAAAAGGAGGATGTATGGCAACCCTACACAACTTTCCCACAGGAAAACCCACTCTTTACTGCTGAATCGAAGCAAATGTCAATCAGGTTTTCCATGCATTGACATTTGCTCCGATTCAGTGCTAAAGAGCAAATTTTCCTGGGTGAAGGGGCAATGCAAACAGAAAACTGCTCAGACTCCCTACCTAGAAAGCACAGGGCAAGCCGAAAAATTAATGGACAAGCCCAAAATTAATTCATTAGGATCAAATCACTGGAAAATATAACTGTTCAAGCAAAAATGAGCACCAACTGTATTATTTCTGTATATACACTGAAAGAATTCACTTGCTCCCTACGTTGTAATTATATAATATCAGGCCTGCCAGGCACATACCGTATTTTTCCATCTATAAGACACCCCCATGTATAAGGACCCCCCCTATTTTTGGGGACTCAATTTTAAGAAAAGGAGGGGAGATGGCCCAAAGTTGTTGAGCTTCTCCCCCCACCCCCCTCATGCAGCAGCTGCGGGCAGGAAACACTCCCTAGAAATCGTTTCCCACGCGCAAGGCTCAGTCCCCCTCCAAACCCCATGGAATCTGGCTGCCCTGAGTGACACAGGAATTCATTGCAAGGGAAACAGACACCTGTAGGTGGGGGTTTTCTGATCGTCTGCCTGAATCTAAACAACGATGGAAGCAAAAGCAGCAGGCATGCTGGTAGCACAGGGTTTGGGGTGTGCAATTAGTTATGTAAAAGGCTAGACAAGAGGACCTGGAAAGCCCAGACCTGTGTCTAGAAAGCACGGAACAAAGTTAAGTGTGGGCGATGGGGATCCCCTGTGATGGGGATGAAATCGATCCCACCATTCTGCAGCTGATCAGTCATTTGAGAGAGGGAGTTTTCTTCCCAATCACAGCATGCTGGGCTGGCAGGTTTAAACCTTAATTCTAAAGTTTAGCAGTGTATGGTGACAAAAATATCCTTGGGGGGGGGGGGGGGTTTAACAGCCGTCAGCATCAGGATGGTTGCTCCAGACACCCTGATTTAGAACACATTTCTCTTACCATATAAAGGCAATACGTGAAGCAATTTTCCATTGCGGTATCCAAAGCTGATTAAGTTTCCAATAAATTATTGCAGCACATGTCATGCTTGTTTTCTGCATTATAGGGGAGCCATGAATGCTAGTGACACAGTCGTGTCAAATGGATCAACTGTGATTCTGTCCTGCTGGCTAAACAACAGTGGATCATCTAGCAATTTGCAGAACAAACATACAATAACTATTTTACACAACCACTCAGCAGTAAGCAGTAGCTCTGGCTTTTTGGTCAGTGCTCACATTTCACAGCACACATTTGGGAGGCAGACGTTCAAATGCCAACTGAGTTCTCGGCAGGAAAGGAAAGTGATCGTATGTGGAGTTTACGTCAATGTTGGAAGTAAGGAAGTGCTTTTGTCTGTAAGTGTTTTGCCGGTGTTCACAGACAATGTGTGTGTGTGCAAACAAAAAAAATATAATATAACACAGCAGCAGGGATGGCAAAATCAAGAGACTCTGGTGTCTTTCACTCAATAACTTTCATTTATTGAGGAATGGAATGTTGTGTCATAGAAACATGAGGTATTATTCTTTCCATATACTTTTTTTTAACTGGGTGGGGCTTTTCACAGAGACATCCCTGGACTGTGCCCAGCAGCACAATCCAGCTAGAAGTCAAGCATTTATAAATCCCATTCTCAATCAAAGAGATTTAAGCCAGTGATTTACTTTCCCATTGAAATCAATGGGACATAGCTTGGGGTAGTCATTCCATATTTTCAGACCTGTGTAAAGGGGGAGGGATCTTATTTTTTGAGCTATTTTATTCTTTAGTGATATTATATTGTGCACCAAACTCTTAGCATAAAAAGGGCATTAGACTCAGGGCATTCCTTGTCCCCCACTTTCTTTTTCTTTTTGCAATAGATTTACTGTTGTGAAGCATGACTTTCCTCAAGGCATTTTTTGTTGTTGCAGGGAGAGAGTGTTTTACAAGCACTTTTGCACCAGGCAAAATCTGATCATCGCTAGATATCCATCCCCACCCCACCCCTCTATGCCTCTAGTCTATACCAGTCATTCATTGATGGACTCTGAATTATGCTTTAGAACTTTGGGTCAGCAGCACAATCCTATTTTGCACTTAAGTAATGAAATAAGCAAATATGAACTCTTTGCATACATGTAATCTACAGGCCTATTTAATTAAGAATAAATGGATAAATACAAGTCCTAGATGCCAAAGGAAGGATTCATATTAACAAATATTAAGCCACTTGTGTTGTCTCCTTTTAAGTTCCTCCAGCCCAGCCCAAAAATATACTCTGCATTCAGCATGGAAAGGATGGAAGTACTATTTGCACTTGGGATAAAGGACACTATACCTACCTTGATACTAACTATACATTACAGTAAGTCTCACTTGTGCCTCAGTTTTTACTGTATTCCTGTTCACTTGCACCTGCCTGTTGCCTGAGTTCTTGCTACCTTAACCTCCTAAAGCCCCGCCACCAGCAGCATATTGCACTTGTGCTGGAAACATGTCTCCTTGTGAAACCATCTGGGTTAGTCCTTCACAAATGGACTTGCATGTATTGTTTTGTACTGTTTCCTTCTAGGATTTTCTTGCTACTTTCTGAACTACTTTGTGGGTTGCTAATTGTGTCATCTGCTATGGGCCCAACTCCTGGACCTCTGGGTTCAGATCATGTAATCTGCTAAACAGAAGTGTCAATTGACTGGATATAATATAGTACTGAGCAGTATTCCATTAACTGTCGCACAATGTTTTATGGGTGTGAAATTATTCTAATCTCAGCAACAAAGCAACATTCTTTGAGGGTAGAAAAGGGATGACCTATTCATCCAGGTTTATCTTTCTATTGCAGGCTAACAAATGGAACCACCAATGAAGCAACAGTATGGAAAGATGAAAGGAATCAAAACAGCTCATATGGCTCAGTAGAGCTCAGAGTGAAGTTGAATTTTCAGTCCACCTATACAGTTGTCATCAATGCCACCAATGGACTGGGAATGGTTTCTTCCCAACCAATTCAATTCACATTAACTGACATAGGTAAATGTCAGGAATTTGCCTCAATTAAATTCATATTATTTGGCTGGCACTCCAAAGGCTTTCTAGAGAGTATTTGTTTGGGTGCAATTTCCTTTCACCCACCAAAAAGCTAATGAAACAAAAGAAACCTGTGCCAAAATTCACTTGGTCAGTGGCAGAGGTGCCAACTTGAATAAAATATTGGGGGTGGGGCAGATAAGCTCCACCCACATAATCAATTACAAGACATAGCACACACACACTATTTGAATGACAATGCCCATCAACTTTGAGGTGGCCTGGCCCTCTCAAATATTTTAGGGAGGGCACGAAGAGACCTTGCCCCCTAGGAGTTGGCTCCAACGGTCAGTGGTGATTGTTTGCTTTCTTGTCTAAATGGCAGGCTCCCACTCCCACAGTATATCAGAAATAGGGGGGTTGTGTGCAGCTTCTGTGGTACAGCACACAATTGTTCAGAAATGAAAGTAAATGTTGTATACAGAGAATGACGTGTTAAACTTGGGCTACGGTTGAGTAGTTAACTTGTGAGAACAGCAGTACTATTAATCAGCACTGACTCACACACGAAACACTGAATTGCCTTTTAATATTTTTTTTAAAGCCTTGATCGCAGAGTTCCCATATGAGTGAGTCATGTGAAGAGGGAGGACTTCATGTAGTGGCCATATTGCTTAGCATGTTTTTGAAAAAGCACATGGTGGCAAAGTCCTTTGCAGTGGAACCTGCCTGCTTCCATTAAAATCTGATGCCCGTAAATAGAAAAGGAGATGCTGTTTATCTTTTAGATTTGTTAGCCACCTGTACTCCTAATTGTCCCAAGTAGAGAGATAGAATAATTGGTTATCTAGAACAGTGATATATATAGCAGTGGGAATAAAGAACAGTTGAAGCTGAAAATGCAGAGGGGCTAATGCATGCCAGCACATATCGGCATTTTACCAGTCAGTCATTTGTATTTGACTGGGGCATCTGTTATTTATTTTTGTGAGGGTGTGGGGGGAAGGAGCTGGACTCTGTCCTCTTCTTTAAATGAACATGGTCAAGGCTCCCCATGTAATACAGCTGACCAGGCTGCTCCTAGTGCAGCAACAGGAATGGACTCATAAAATAGCATACGTTGATGGACACAATATGTTTTCATGAGCAGTTCCCAATCCAGCAGAGGGGTCCGCAGCTCATTCCTCAAAAAATAAGAATCACTAGTATAAGCTTTCTGTGTATGGCCACTGGCAATTTCAAGAGTACTAACTTCTGTGTTTTCATTTATTTCATTTCCTTCAAATGTATTTTTGGTCACCATAAATCAGTGAAGCCACACGCACCCGTGAACCTCTCAGTGGCATTTGATGGTTTTGATGCAAGAAATTGCAGCATTTCGTGGCAAGATCAACAAGAGGCACAACACTTTAGATTAAGATACCAACCAATGAACAGCAACTCTTGGACCATGGTAATGTTTTCTAAATGTATTCTTGTATTACTAATGTGGCAAAACGGCTTGGTTGTTTACAAATTATTTACAGTAAGGTAAATTCCTCTTTCCATACCCAAACTAAGCAACCCATACTGAAGGAATTAAGAGCAGAATTAAGTTTTGGATATTTATCTCAGAATTACTAGACTTGGAATATCTCCCAGGACAACCTGCTCATAGATGATCCTGTGTATACATACTTGTTTGAACACTGCAAGGATGAAAAAGAAGCAGCATAGAAAAATATGGTTGGTGTGTACACAACACACACACTTCAAATTCTGCAGTCATCCTAGTTTCAGATCAGGAATAGGCAACTTTGCATAGACTCACAGCCCAGTTACCAACTTAGCTCATACTTCTAAATGGATTTCTACTGATAGAAGCAAGGAACCTAGAAGTTCCTGGGCGCTAGGCTCCTCTATACATTTCTTCACCATTTTATAGGCCTACAGATAATATGTAAATCTTGCACTCATAGAGTTCATCATAGTAAAAGCAGTACTGCATATAGAGAAGGGCTTTGGGCTGATGTCCAGGGCCCCTGTCAGCAGAAGGAAGAGGAGGGCCCCTAAACACTGAAGGGCCGTCCTAAAACACACTTAAGGAAATGAAGTGAAGTCCATTACCATCTAAAGCAGGGGTGGCTAACCTTGTTTGGACTCCAACTCCCATCAGCCCAAGCTAGCATGACCAACAGCCAGGGGCCATGGAAGCTATGTGTCTGAAGTGCCACATTCTAACCACCCCAATGCAAATAGATGCCCCCACCAGGATCATAAGGTCTAAAATTACCATACTTAAATGTACCACCACCAAGCATAAGGTAAAAAATCATGTGATTCTCCAGGTGACAGTGAAAGAAATGACCTCACAACCTGCTGTTCTATTCAACTTTAATAGGTTGATGAGGTGCTAATGGCGCCAACACTGTTAATTACTCCTCAGTTACACACACCTCTGAAGAGACAGGATGAGAGCTTGTGGTAAAGGAAATGCACCATTGGTTCCATTCAGCAACTAATAGTATACAGTACTGTGATCCTGTATTGACCTAGCAAAGTGTTTCCCAAATTTAGGGTCTCCAGCTGTTTTTGGACTACAACTCCCATCATCCCTAGCTAGCAGGACCAGGATGATGGAAATTGTAGTCCACAGACAGCTAGAGACCCACGGCTGGGAAACACTGGTCCAGCATTTGGTTTAGAAAACAGTTTTGATGCTCGCTGTATTTTGATGCTCACTGTATTTTCCTTTTCATTCAAGCTTGAAAATATAAACAGCAGAAGATATTATCTACATGACCTGAAGCCAGATACAGCATATGAATTTCAGGTTTCCTGCAGGTTCCTGCCCAACAAAGGATTATGGAGTGACTGGAGTATGTTGTTTCAAACAGAAGCAGGTGATACAATTTTGAAATGCCTAGCATTTATTTTTGTACCTATGTAGAAATCAGCTACGGATAACACATTCATGCTTGCAGCCAAACTATCATCTCATAGGAATTCGGTGAGGAATAGAAATAATATTCATATAGCCTGGAGACCCAAGCAACAAAACAAGACATAAGAAAGAAATATTTTTCTCTGTTCAGTGAAACAGATACACAAGACTAGATCAGAAGAATCAAGGGTCTATAGTGAAAAGCTCTCATAGAAGTCATCACAAATCAGCAACAATACATGCAGAATACCCACTAACACAGCAAGGATGCGGAACCAATGTTGTGTGGCCTGCACAACAGAACTTCCCCGCCTTGTCCTCTCCCTGCAGGCTCCAATATCTGCCCTGGAGGGTCCTCCAAGCCTGTAGAGCAGATTTTGAGGGTACCTATACGGGAGGCTGCAGGAGGGAAGTAAGAGGAGAAGGTTCCACTGCAGGAGTAAGTCTGATGCATGAGCACGACAGCCTGTGGCCAATCTGGCCATACTTATAAAAAACACCGTCCACTTTCCTTCAAACTGGACCATCACACAGAACCATGCCACAAAGTTTTCATTTCCTCTGTAACTTAGAAAACTTTCAGCAACAATTTGTAGCTTATGGTCTTTGATGTCTTTGTGGGTTTTTGTCAAGCACAGAAAGACGTTACTATAAATTCTAACCCTTGCATCACTGACCACTAGTGACATAATCAGTTCCTGTCACTGACAGATGCAGCAAGAGGTGTGAACGTCACCCTCTCACCCCTTTGTGGCAACTGACATTTTATAGTAGTACCTGCAAACCTTTTAAAAGGGCTTGGAATAAATGGAGGATAAGGGTATCAATAGCTACTAGCCATGATAGCTATTGCTGCCTCTGGAATCAGAGACAGCATGCATTTGTGTGACAATTCAACAGTGAGAGAGGGCTGTTGCCCTCATCTCGGTTTAGGGGCTTCCCAGAAAGATCTGGTTGGTTTCTGTGGTAAACAATGCCATAGGTCAGCATGGAGAACTAGCCAAAAAATTGCTCTGGTTGTAGAGGAAGTAATACTACAGTTACCCAAGAAAACAGAGTAAAGATGGCTAAATAAGGGGAGGAAGCAACAACACATGGTGATTATGCCATTCAGACAAATCACCTTTCCACTATTTCCGCCCGCCCCCTGCTTGCTCCAACAGTGACCCAACCACCATGACATCTTTTGGATGAAAATATTAGCTCCAATCTCATTTAGCTATGTCATGGTTATGTGAAGTGCAGGGGGGCTTTTATAGTTGCTTGCCAGGCAACTACATCAACCTACCTCATTGTTCAGTGGGGACCTGCCACTATATAAAACAACTATTCCTTCCCATTTGTTTTCTATGTGCTGTCCAATACTTTGCAAAAACCACACCCAAATCAACTAGGCAATGTGTTATAAAGCTCTTCTTTCTCCTTTCATCCAGTGCCACTTCAGCCAATTGATGTCTGGTATTTAATGGAAGATGTGTCTTCTGAAATGCAGAATATTACCCTTTTTTGGAAGGTAAGAATATCTACTCACCTATGCCATTTTGAGGGTGTTGCTGTATGTGTATCTAATCCAAAAGCATAATAGTTCCTTACCCTAATTTAGGGGTGGGAAATCTGTGGCTGCCCAAGTTTTGTTGGGACTACAACTGCCAAGCTGGCTGGGGTTGATGGGAGTTGGGTAATCGACCCCATTACTGCATTAGAAAAGCAACTCCTCTTCAAAGAGAAAAAGTACATAGCAGAGTTCCCAATTTCTTTGGATCAGCTGAAATTCCATAGAATAGTGAGCTGCCAAAGGGTGGTGTAATAGTTGGCCTGTTAGAACTTGGCTGGAGAGACCTGGGATTGCATCCCTGATCAGCCATATGGCATGACTGCAATCCTATGAATAGCTTGCCCCATTGAATTCAGTGGTGCTTTTGGTGGCCTAGGTGTAACTTTGGTGCTGGAGGAGACTCTTGAGAGTCCCATGGACTGCAAGAAGATCAAACGTATCCATTCTTAAGGAAATCAGCCCTGAGTGCTCACTGGAAGGACAGATCATGAAGCTGAGGCTCCAATACTTTGGCCACCTCATGAGAAGAGAAGACTCCCTGGAAAAGACCCTGATGTTGGGAAAGATTGAGGGCACAAGAAGAAGGGGACGACAGAGGACGAGATGGTTGGACAGAGTTCTCGAAGCTACAAACATGAGTCTGACCAAACTGCGGGAGCCAGTGGAAGACAGGAGTGCCTGGCGTGCTCTAGTCCATGGGGTCACGAAGAGTCGGTCATGACTAAACAACAACAACAACAAGGTGTAACTTGTAAAATACATCAGGTTGAATTCAAGGAAGTTGTAGCCAGAAGAGACCCATTAAAATTGATGGGCCTAAGTTAGTCATTTCCATTAATTTCAACAGGTCGACTTTGAGTTTGACTAACATGGCATACAACCCAAAAAAACTCTTTTCCTAGTGGAAATGCAACCTTTGGTTTTTCATTGCAAATGCACAGAAGAAAGAAGTACATAGAAATACAAAATGCAGAGAAGTACAAAGAAGTGCTACCATTTAAACTACTAACATGTAGTAAGAGAATGAGGAAAATAATCAAGGGCTAGGGATTGATTTCCTTTGATGAGGTTCCAACTCTAGGTGCCTCCAGATGAGGAGTGTTTAATTACACAAAGTTTACATGTTGGTTAGACTAGGTCTGATCTCCATGAAGCATTCATTCTGATTTCTTTAGAAAGTGTTACACATCATCTTGTTGATGATTCATTCATCCCACATTTTCAATGCATTTCCCTGTCACTTTCCAAACTGCAAGAAGTCTTTTCGCGTATGTGGTTTTGAACTAGGGTAACAGAGCACCTGAATCCACTTTAAATGCGCAAACTGGAAAGTTCTGGAATGTGCTTAAATCCCCACCTCAAAATACAGGCACCCTTCCTCTAAGCCAATCTCTCCACAAAGCAAACTTAGAAACCATGCACATGCCAGACCAATGAAGGTACATCAGTTGCTCTGGCAGATAACACCATTCCTGCCCTAAGAAAAGGCCATGAGCAAAAGTTTCTCTCCCCACATACCCACTTCCTGTTCCACTATACCACTGCCTTCCCCTCATTCCCCTCTGCTACTTAATTCTTGGTACAGCTTTGCTCAAACAAGCAGTTTCTTACCTTTTTTTGTTATTCACACTGAAAGCAGATTCTCATTCATACTGGCTGCTTCTTAGAAGAGAGGAAAGCCATGCTGCAGTTTCACCTGTGCTTTCTTCAGCTTGTGGTATTCTTGGTTCCACCCATTTGTCACCTTTGCCTCTGTTTGAGAGTTAAGAATCCTTAATGAGGCACACCCTACAATACTTCAATGAAATGCACTAGTAGACTATGTCGTCTTTCCCTCACATTCCCTCTGAGTTCAATAATACTAGCATCAAAACACACACACACACACACACACACAGAGAGAGAGAGAGAGAGAGAGAGAGAGAGAGCGCTTCCCCAAATAATCCTGGAATTCTAAGTAGTTTAACAATCAATCCCTCTTCCCATGGAACTCTGGGAATTGTCACTCTCTGAGGGGAGTTGGGGTCTCCTAACATCTCTCAGTACCCTTCACAAACACCAGTTCCTTGGGTTCTTTAGGGGAAGCCATGATGGTTTAAAGTGGCCTGAAACTGCTTTAAATGTGAAGGGACCCAGAGCCTCAATATAAAGGGAATTAATAAGGAGAGTTTGTATTTCATGTGCCCAAGTCTGCTCTTAAATGAAAGTAGCCTGTGCCAAGCTAGTGAAGTATGCTCTTGACTAATGTTTTTTTGTCAAGAGCACTTTGAGAGGGGTTTTTTTTGGGGGGGGATATACTTGCTACAATTGGACCAGCCATGGGCCCACTTCACCTTCCATGCAATGCATTGTGAGAGGTGAAACTTCTTACACACACACACACACACACACACACACACACACTCAGCCACTTCCCTCAAGCCAGCTTCTCATCAAATTGTAGTACAAGTAATATAAACAATGAAGGGAGTCTGAGGGAAGAAGAGATGTTTCCTTTTGCCGCGGCAGCCAAATTCATTCTCTCTCAGCTCCAACTCCCCATCTGTCAAATTGGAACAACATCAGAGGGCTTTTGTGAGGGCAGTCTGAAAGAAACCTGTGTCTTAAAATGCTGCACCGATACTGAGGGACAGCAGCTTGCTTCAATACGGGAAGCCAAGTACCACATCCGCACTCACCCAAAAATACTAACAAGGATTATTTGAACAACCCTCCTTCTCTCAGCCTGGCTTCCCTTGGAAGTTTCTTAGATTTGACACTTGTGTGTTAGAAAATGCAGTAGAAATTCCTTTTAAAAGATAACAAATGGTAATCTCTCAGGAGCTTGTCATTTCTGACCCACCTTTTCTTAAGGTGGCTTACATGACTCCCCTCCGCTCCCATTTTATCCTCACAATCCCCCTGCAAGGAAGGACAGTTATGCTTGGAAGGGGTATATGTGGCTGACCCAAGTTCATCCAGAGAGCTTGATGGCTGGGGGAGTGGGGAAGGAGAGGGAATTTGAACCCGAGTCTCTAATGGCCAGTTTGAATGCTGGCTTCAAACTGCTGCTAAAACTTGTTTCGTGTGTGAGTGTTGGTGAAACATGCAAAGAAAAACATACGCTATTTTATTTTTTTAATAGATGAGTGTATTAGAAGTGAGAAGGAAAAGTCTTGAGTACAGAGTGACGTTTTCAGCCCTAAACCAGATGCGTCAAAGAGACACGGGAACAAATTCTACAGTGCAGACCACATTCTCACAAATCATTCCTAAAACAGACTATAACATTACAATTTGCTCTCACAACTCACGGGGAATATCCCAACCCATTTATATCACTACTAAACTAGGAATTACAGGTAAGACCCTTTCCTCTGATTCATTTGATTTCAGTATGATTCTGTCTATTACAAAGCTGCACTGGAATGTTTTATACATGGCAAACCATCATTTTAAGTTTATTAGATTTTTTGACTCCAGACTCCAGTTGTAAGTAATAGGTCAGCATTGTCCTGAGGGAGGTACACATGCAACTTTGTTTAGTTTTGTGTTTAGTATTCGATCACAGGTACCCCTCCCATAATTTCCTAGTGGAAAGAAAAAACCCTTAACTGGCAAGGACTGTGGCATTAACTATGGTAACTATTATGTTCCTGTGTAGTGCCTAGCAATTTTAGGTGCTTTATAAATAATGTATTATTGTTGTTACTGTATTTGTTATCAATGCTACACAAATGACTTAGAATTACACTTGGGTCCAGGCTAAGCAAGCTCTGATTTAGTCCCACTTGAAATCGATGGGGCAAGTTAGCCATGATCAACAGAACTAAAGCATGATTATTATAGTCTAGACTTAATCCATATTGCTTAGTTCCAGTTCTTATTCCATCTCAAGTTACTTTTACTCTTTTTTTTTTTAAATTTTTTATTGGTTTTACAAAATTTTAAAAATAAACAAACACTTACAAAAAAAAAAAAGAAAAGAAACCATACAAACACGCATAATTTCATATTGTTTCTCATAACCCTCTTTTCTCAGACTCCCCCATACCCCCCCCTTTCTGCATCCCAATGTCCATAGTTTTATAGCAACTCCCAATATTACTTTCCAACCTCTGTCCTTAGTTATCTCCATAATCTGACCTTATATCACTGTATCCCTTTGTTTCTGAAAACCATAACATTCTAACATTCATCAAGTTTATAATAGTCCTTAAGATAACTTTTAAATTTTCTCCATTCTTCTTCCGCCGTCTCTTTTCCTTGGTCACGTATTCTGCCTGTCATCTCAGCCAATGACATATAGTCCATCATTTTCATCTGCCATTCTTCCAGAGTGGGTAAATCTTGTGTCTTCCAATACTTTGCGATAAGTATTCTTGCTGCTGTTGTAGCGTACATAAAAAAAGTTCTATCCCTCTTTGGCACCAATTGGCCGACAATGCCCAAGAGAAAGGCCTCTGGTTTTTTAGAGAAGGTACTTTTAAGTACCTTTTTCATTTCATTATAGATCATTTCCCAGAAAGCCTTAATCTTCGGGCATGTCCACCAAAGGTGATAGAAGGTACCTTCAGTCTCTTTACATTTCCAACATTTGTTATCGGGCAAATGGTAAATTTTTGCAAGCTTGGCTGGGGTCATGTACCACCTGTAAATCATTTTCATTATGTTTTCTCTTAAGGCATTACATGCCGTAAACTTAACACCGGTGGTCCATAACTGTTCCCAGTCAGCAAACATAATGTCATGACCAATATCTTGTGCCCATTTAATCATAGCTGATTTCACCGTTTCATCCTGTGTATTCCATTTCAACAACAAGTTATACATTCTTGATAAATTCTTAGTATTGGGTTCTAGCAGTTCAATCTCTAGTTTTGATTTTTCCACCTGAAAGCCAATTTTCCTGTCCTGTTTGAAAAGCTCCATTATTTGATAATATTGAAGCCAGTTTTGTACTTTATGTTTCAATTTGTCATAGCTTTGTAATTTCCACTTCTCTCCATCCTGTTCCAAAATTTCCCAATACTTCGGCCATCCGACCTCCATATTGAGTTTCTTTACTGCTTTAGCCTCGACTGGTGACACCCATCTAGGGGTTTTGTTTTCCAACAGATCTTTATATCTCATCCATACATTAAACAATGCTTTTCTGACAATGTGATTTTTAAAGGCACTATGCTGCTTAATTTTGTCATACCATAGATATGCATGCCAACCAAAAACATTGTTAAAACCTTCCAGATCCAAGATGTCTGTATTCTCGAGGAGCATCCATTCCTTCAGCCAGCAAAAAGCTGCTGCCTCATAGTACAATTTTAAGTCCGGCAGGGCAAAACCCCCTCTTTCTTTAGCGTCTGTCAATATTTTAAATTTAATTCTGGGCTTTTTGCCCTGCCAGACAAATTTCGAAATATCTTTCTGCCACCTCTTAAAGCATTCCATCCTGTCAAGAATCTGCAAGGTCTGAAACAAAAATAACATTCTAGGCAATACATTCATTTTAATCACTGCAATTCGGCCTAACATTGACAATTTCAAATTTGACCATATTTCTAGATCTTTTTTGATCTCTGACCAACATTTTTCATAATTATCCTTATACAAATTCACATTTTTAGATGTCAAATAAACCCCTAGGTATTTCACCTTCTTAACCACCGTCAACCCTGTCTCCCAAGTTACTTTTACTCTTGGATAATTTTGATTTCTGATGTTGTACTCCTGTGTTCAGCTAAGGATTTAATATTTTTCCTGGTCTCTCTCTCTCTCCCTCCCCCCCAAAAACTTTTCAAAAGATCTGCCACCCCCAAACCATCTTTCTACTGTATCACTGGGGAACGGAAGAATCTCTGTTGCATGGGAAGCCCCTATTGCATCTTTCCCTTTTATCAATGGATATGTTCTACAGTGGGCAGAGCTCCATCACAGCAGTAACTTGAGAACTCCCATAACCTGGCTCAAAATCCCCATCTCCAATCTCACAGCAACAACAGGTAAGTTGCACAGGAGAGCAGTGGGCAACCCTGTGGGCTTTATTAGGGGGAAGGCTGGCTCTGTGCACCTGGCAAAGGATGGACAATTACAGTTTTTTGGATAGCACTTCACCCCCACACACATTAGGCTGCAGCTTTGCACTGCACAGTAGTTCGTTCTGCCTTCCAATTTTTCCAGATGGCAAGAGATTATCTCTTTTGAGCTGCAGCTCTCATCATAGTCACTGGAGGCAAAAGAGGAATTTGTGTCCTGTCAGTCTCAATGAGCTGAGCTCATCTAATAAAAGCAAGCTGCTCAAAACCTTATTACTACCAAACTCAATGCTAGCTTTCGGTTCCCTCCATGTCCTTTTTTATTATTATTGCACATTCAGGATGATTTGTGCTAATGATGCTCTCAAGGTGGGCATACACGATCCCACATTCAATACCGTTTGCAACTGGAAAAGTTTTGGGGTTTGGAAAAGCTTCCTTTCCAGTCAGTGCATAGCCCATTGCTTCCAGCTGAAATGCCATAACTTTTTATATCACAAAAGTTGTGGTTTATTTTTCTTTCGCTTTTGAAGTTCTGTAGCCCCTCCAGACAGCAATAATGTGATAGCATTGGGGAAGCCTCACAGGATTGGCAAAACAGAACAAATCCACCACTAAAGCATTATTATTATTTTCCTTTGTTCCCTTTTTATTTGGGTCATTCCATTTGACTCACAGGAATAGCAGCTTTGTAAATGCAGTGCTCTAAAAACCATGTTTTACACCTATGTCCAATCTATGACTAAATATCAGGTGTTGTCCAGCCCATGCTTTCTCAAACTAGGCTTGGACTCGGTCTCACAATAGACAGATTTGCATCAAATACCATTATTGTCCTTTCTAGAGAGCCTAAAGCCTAACACCTGTTATCAAATCAGTGTGTTTGCCCTCTACCAGAACAGAGCAGGAAGAGCCGTTTCCACAACAGAAGATGTATCAGCAAAAGGTAAGGGCAAAGGCACTCCAGACCTCAACATACCTTTGAGACCCAACATAGTCAATTCAGATTTCTCAAGATGATTTCATGTTTTGCAGTCCCATCAACAGGACCTCAAATTAACACAACAGTAAAAGAAAGAAGCATTTTGGTCTCCTGGCAGGAAATTCCGGATGATCGAGTGGGCTGCATCGTTCACTTCAAGTTATACTTGCAAAAGCAATTTGTCATGGTGCCCCCTAAAGTCTACGGTAGGTATCTGTTAAAAATTAGGGCTTAGATCCCTCTACTGGAGGTGGCAAATCTGTGGCCATACGGATGCTGTTGAAACTTCCAACTCCCATTGGCTCCAGCCATCATGGTCAAAGGTGATAGGTGTGGGGGCCTTGCAACATCTGGAGCTGTCCCTCTATGGAAAAAATGGGAGCAAAGTTTCTCAACAGAGGGGAGGGGTGCCCTGGCTCCCGTCCCACAACATGACAACAGATGCACAAATCACTTCGATACACTGTTGTTGTTCTTTTGTTTCAGCTTTGATTTTGGTAATTAATGCTGGGCATTTTACTGTGAAATCACTGTGAAAGCAAATTTTGGCTGAAAAGATATTGGGAGACATCCAGTGATTGTGCCTGGTTGTGTAAGGGGACTTCCAGTTTCTTTTCCCTTGATGCACCCTCAAAACACGCTCTGGAGAAGATCCCAATCCTCTGGAGCAGATTTCAGGGATGTGCAAGGAGGAGCTGCAGAGGGGATGGGAAGAAGGACAATTTCTGCTGCACAAGCAGGAGCCACACTGGGTTTCACTTCAGAAACAAATTAACTGCTGAGACCCTAGGCAGAAATGGTTGGCAGCAGATGGTGAAGCTAAGAAGTTGTAGACTATTGCAAATGCTTGGTGAAAGATGGGTGTGGATGGGAGAAAGTACTTGTGACTTGATACTAGCTGATACTCATATTTCCCTCATTCTCTTCCTTTTCAACCCTCTCCCCGCTCCCAACAGATATACCTAGCACAGCCCCACAGCCGTTCTCTGTAAGAAGTGTAGAGCCTGGTGCTGCATATGTTTTATGGATGACAGCTTCCACAAAAGCTGGAGAGAGCCCTGAAGGAAACAAACAAGAGGTTTACATAAAAGGTCATTATTGGGGGGGTGGGGATTAAAGGTTTTGGCTCCATAGTAGTACACTGAAGGCACTTCCAACTTTGCACACCACAGGATGAGCTACTGGCATTGAAGACAGGTTTGGGGAAGAGTTTGGTTACCGGTGTGGGTGGATGTATCAGCTTGGCTCAGACGTAATTCTGCATCTCAAGCATCATTAGGAATGCAAAAGCTGGCCTATACTGAATCAAGCCATTTGTCTAGCTCAGTATTGTCTGTAATGACAATGGCTCTCCAGGGTTTCAGGCAAGGGTCTCTCCCAGCCTTATCTGAAGACTGAATCATCTGCATGCGAATAATTTGTTCTGCCACAAAGTTGTGACATTTCCTCAACATAGTGAACAGCATCATACATCTGAAATAATACTACTTCTGCATAAGAATTGCAAGAATTGCTGAATGCATCAGAGAAGCGCATCTCAGATTTTTAGCAATAGGTTAGAGAATGTTTTAAAGCTCCCTTCCCATTAGAAGAAGTTGGCATAATTATGATAAAGAAGTCTTTCTAAAGTAACAGATATCTTGCACTTACAGATGCACCCAGCTGGGGTTCTGCTCTAACAATCTGCATTATTGTGGGTCTTTCCATCTGTCTCTGCTTTGTGCCATCCATTAGGCAAATGTAAGTGAATGCTTTCTTTCTAAACATTTAACAGCATGCAAATGGTATACTGAAGAATAGAGTAATGATAAAAAAAATGCACACAGAAAACGGTGTTCAGGTTACAGTCAGGCCCTACGCTCATTAAAGCCAAACTCCAAATCTCCTGATGGCTTCTCAGTAGGTTTTATACTGAAGACTCCAAAGAGAATAAAAACGTTGTGATTTTCACAAGTTATCAATAAATCTGATTTTGACAATTTCAGTACTTCAGTGCATCTCTGAGGAATACTCTGGAAATCTATGCTACAGGAGAGAGTTAATGAGCCAATAGTGGCTCATAGGCAGCTTATGTCAGGAGAATTAAAAGAGGATACACAGCTTCATGATGTGACCCTCCCCCAGCCAAGAGTACTAGCAGGTAGAAGGTCCAACCGAAGGGGCTCCATGGATGCAGCAGTTTCTTGGAACAAGAAGAAACAGCACAGAGAATGGCTTGAGTGTGAAGGAAAGTAAAAGAAAAGGAGAAATAAAAGTGAGCGGCCACAATGTGGTTGAGGAGGCAGAATTAGTGGCAGGGGTGATGTATGTGGCAGATATAGATAATAGGGATATTTTGGTGTAAGGTTCTTAGGTTTAGGAGCATCAGTGGTCCCTAAGATAAAGGACCTTAGCTGAATGCCAACCATAATTACCACAATTTTTAACTTGAATATGATTATCATAAAACAGAGACATAGAGGCTGAGCCATTTAACTTCATTTGGCCCTGCAGAGACCCCATCAACATAAGGAAAAGAGTCATGTATAAAATCCCAGCATATTGTGCTAGAAATGTGTCTCCTTGCATAACTATCTGGATTAGTATTTCACAAATAGATTGGCAAGTACTGTATTGTTTTGTACTGATTCCTTCTAGGCTTTCCTCACTGCTTTCTGTTCTGCTTTGTGGGTGGCAAGGGAAAGCTGTTCCAGATCCAGCCAACTCTTCATGTACTAAAGAGTTCACATCTGTAGAGGTAAGCTTGCCTGTCACTGGTATCACCTGTAGGAATCTCTTTGCTGATGAGCTAGTTTCTGCAAAGAGCCAAATAGCTGCCTTAAATAGCTGGCCAGCAGAGAAACAACTGCAGAAGATGCGAATAATTTTGCTACTGCCATTTGCCAGCAGGGAAAAAGAAAGGAAATTTTGTTCCTGGTAACTTTCTCTCACACAAATTTCATAGCCTGCTAAATGCTGTAGCAAGTCCCCAGCCACTGTGCACAATCACTGGCTTTTATGGAAAAGCAGTTTGCTTTTAGGGAAAGGTAGAAAATACTTGTACATTAACTGAAATTTCTCCCCTATCTCCTCAAAAAGGATGAACACAGCTTCTATTCTACACAGTTCCTAAAGAACCAGAACAGGGCTGAAGAGCCTGAAACTCTACAAATAGAGGAGGTCCTCATGAAGAGGCAACAGATGCCATCTGTGGATGTGTCCCTCTTCAAACCCACAGAGGAAGGAGGAGGGAGCCACAACTGGCCAACTGCTGTCAGCTTCCAGGAAGAGGATCCAATTGTGAAAAACGTGGACTATGACCCTTTGATCACCAGCAGGACAGATGATGCCAGCCAGCACCAGCTGCTGCCTTTGTACAGAAAGGTTGGACCCGAAGAACCAAGTCAAGGCCAGGAATTTTCAGTGTACCTTGCCAGTCCACATGGCAATGTAACAGTGGACTATTTACCGACTATTTCACCTGCCATTATGGACACTGGTGAAGACAATGGCGAATCTGAACTAAACTCATTATTTATTTTCCAAAGAACCTCTTTTCTACCACAGACATCCCCCTTTGGTGGAAAGCTTACTCTAGATGCTATACAAATGGACTGTGATTCTTTCACAGAGTAAGGCCGCATTCGTGTAACATCTTATCCAGGAATGCTTTAAACTTAATGGGAGTAGACATGATAGGATATAGCGCAACAGGCCTTCCTTAATCCCCTCACCACCTTCATGTGAAACCTAGCATGAGGAAGTTCATGAGGACAAAGTCCCTTATTTAGGTTCCAGCATAAATATGAGGTAGTAATTGCTGCATTAGCTCAGTCACACAAGAAATGAAAGTTAAAAAGTTGCCACATCTAGAATACAGTGAGAATGTATATCAAAAGTGGTTTAAGAGAACTGTGGGTTGTAGCCAAGTTAGCCAATTTAGGCAAGGAATTCTGCCTATGCAGCCAGACTTCTCCCCGTGTGCCCGCATCTGCTCCCAAGGGTTGAGGGAACCCCTAGAACAGATGTGGGGACATGTGGAGAGGAAATCCAGTTGTGCACGTCAAAGTCCTTATTCTAACAGGATGTCTTCATTGGATACAATCCTGAATGTGTATGAAGCTCCCAATTAAAAAACCAAACAGGTTGCAATGCAGAGGAGTGTGAGGGAGATGTTTGATCCCAGTAGGACTTTCTGGCTGTTGGCTCTTCTCAAGTAGAAGCCCCCTTCTCTTCTCTTCTACTCCACTGCATAGCAAGCATCCATTGTCCACAGTCCATGAACAATGTGGATGTGAGGCATTGCCCTTGCCTGTCAAGCCTAAAGAGGTAATATTTTGAGACTGGAAAACCTAAAGTCCAGCACAGGCATTCAGGTCCACCATCTTACAGACACCGTTCATTGTCTGAGGATGTATCTAAAACAACATCATGATATTGTGTAATGATTTCCCTACACAGTCTAGATTATTGGGTTTAGATGCAGGAAAAATAAGGCCCCAAATTCCTTAAAGGGTTGTGGTAAGAATAACACACTACCAGGATAGGATACTAAAGTGACAAAAGATACAAATATTAACAGATATCCACTGAATATCCTCAGAAAAGCATCACTTTATAGCCAGCTATTATGGTAGTAGCATACCACCATAATACTTGCCTCTCATCTTCTACAGGCTATTAGGACTGCCATCATCTCTTCCTCATCTCACACATGGCAAAGTAGCTCTAAACACTAAAGTGTAGTGGTTATTTGCAGTTTCCATTGTAGCAATAATAAAAATCTACCCAAAACAATTTCTGTGTAATAAACCCTTCCCCCCCCCAACTATAGCAGCACTAACAAAGAAACAGGGAGAATGAATCAGTACTGCCAGAAATAAATGAATGAACCAATGCAGATTCAGAGTTCATTGTGTTAATTAAAAAGTAGAGAAGAGCTAAAAACATGGTTTAATTTTCAAATCCTATGCATGCATTTTCAAGTGATTCTCCATACATTTTCAATGTAGGAAACCTGAAACAGAACCCCATACTTTCCAATAGACACCAGCATTGCCTAGCTTAGATCTTCCACAGTAAAATGTGTTTACTAAAACAATCTTACCTTTACAGCATGCTCTCTCAATTTTCCGCCTTCTTTAAAATTTGCTATTCCTAATTTGCAGTTTCTAAATGCTTGTATGAAATGCCATATGGCTAAGATCTCAATGGAACAACTCAGTCTCTGTGATAGTGGAGCAGAAACCTTCATTTTTCTTGCAGACATGAAATGAGTTCTGCAGCTATTTAATCATAGGCACCTGGCAACTTTTGCACAACTTCAGCTGGCTCTTGTTGACAAGAGTATCACTGCTACTAATTGCTTGAAAGAAAATTCCAATTGTTGGGTGTCAGCCTCAGGTAAGGCATGTGAGGCTCTTATAGTAGTAATGAATAGTAACTTAAGGCAGGTTTGACTTGTTATGGCTGCAAAATTCTGAGATTTCTACTTTGCCTTTTTATAAAAATTGTCATTTTGACAAAGCAGCCATTCCAGGTTGCCTGCAATGCCTAAACAATACATTTTATTAAAAGAACAAGAACAAGGTTTGGCTTGAAGCTCCAAACCTGAAAACTTGTTCCACCAGAGGTCAGTTTATTGGGATATTGATGCCTACTCCCAAGATATACCTTGGTCACTGTGTTTCTCTAGAGCAAGGCTAGCCAACCTCTCCAGAGGTTTCAGATGAAAACTCACCATCCCTGACCCATTGGCCACACTGCTTTGGGCTGATGGGAGTTTTAAACCACATTACTTAAGGATAACAATAGTTTCATCACCACTTAGCTTGCCTCTTGTTCTTTCTAGGGTAGGAGATTAAAGCCAAACTGTGGTTTTCTTTGAGCCTTTAAATCCCTTGAAGTGAGCTCATGGGTTGCTCTCCAGGAATAACTGATCGTAAGAGCAGGTCCTTAAAACAGAACTTACCAAGTTGAAGGATTTACTTTTTGTTTCACTTTGTTCCATTATCACTCCCTCTATTTCCAATTCACATCTTTCCCAGTTGTCCTGATGTATCAAAAACTGCATGAACACACACATGCACAGAGAGAGAGAGAGACCCAGAGGTTTGCAGGAATAGGGGGGAAATAACTAGAAAAATCCTAAGAGGGGGAACCCCAGAAGCAGCCCAATGAGGACTTAAGAGGGCATGGAGTCATGTGTGTTTGAAAACAGGTTGGAGGGGGAAAGGCATGGAGTGACTGGAAAATGAAAGCTGAGGAAGAGACTTATCACAATGTAGACAGAATCATCTCATTGTCTGCATAGTCCTGCTTAACAATGAGAAGCTATTTTTAAATGTTCGCAAGGACAAAGTGAGAGCTATTCACATAAATCGGTGGAGAAATAGAACATTTTAAGGTAGCTGGGATTGGATGTGTGCTAACCTCACCCAAAAGCACTGGTGGGTGGTGGGTGGTGTGTGCGCGCGCGCGCGCTCGCGCTCAAAGCTGCCTAGTGAGAACAGTGCATGCTTGTGGGGAAAGGGAACTATGGACTATAGAATGGAGTGACTGGAACCTTGAACAAAAGCACTTCATACTGCAACATTTTGTTGCAGGGCTCCATGTTTCGACTGCCAGTCTTTGCATAACCAAACTGACCACCAATACACAAGGGATGGGTGTAAGCAGACTTGGGGGAACCCAGAATTTGGAAACACTACAAAAGGTCTTTAAGGGGGGGAAACCCCAAGGGAGGAGTAGAATGCAGCAGCTGGAATCCTGAACAGCAGCACCTCACGCTGAAATGTCTTGTTAGAGGCTCCACAGGTCTCTGCTAGTGAAAGATGACCAGGTTAAAATGGTAGTAAGACGACAAGCTGCTACACTGGGGGACCTTCCAGCACAACAGAAGTGGTATTGGGGGAACCTGCAGAAGGGGGAATCTGCAAAAATCACACATGGCTCCAGTGGGGAGTTACAACTAGAGTGGAGCCCTTCCGTTCATGGAACTGGGCAGACTGGATCCAACATTCTGGATTTTGTACCACACAATTCCAAGACAGCAAAGCTATATTGCAACAGGACACAAACATTTACATCAACAATGTCTTAACCCCTCCATATTTTGCAGTTAACAGTTGCATCAGAAGTAACAGTAGAAGACTGTTCTTTCTATGGCACTTAAGATGAATTACAACTCCGCCTTTACATCCACACCTTGTTCATTTAGATACACTTCTTAGGTAGCCTTGTGAGCTCTTCTCCAGCACCACGTACTACAGTACTTCTGAGCATTTGCACACACAGACCCTTGCTGCTATTGATTCACGCAAAGCGTAAATGCACCTAAAATGCAATTGTGTTATCCCAGAGTGATGGGTCTCACCACTTTCCCAAAGAAATTTGTATAGATCCAAGGCTGTATAGACCAAATCTAACAACTGCCAACTGTGTTGGGAGCATTCCGCCATGCATAGTGCCACACTTGACAGAAGCTTGTGTCTGAAAGCAGCTTAGATTTGCAATGTTTTAACGCTGATCTAACATAAGAGGCACCAAATGCCTATTTTTGACATGCAGCATCAATCCCACCCGTATGATGGGAATGGTAGCCTTCTTTGTGGTCAATTTCCCCTTACAGAAGGGCTTTGGAGCTGCCACTGACTTGTACGATGTTTTATACACTTTTGAAAAATGAAAAGCTTAGTGAAGATTCACATCCCAGTCAAAGCTTTCTATTGATACGTTAATAATTCACTCTCTGGCTGGGCACCTACTGTTAAGAGCACCATGGATCAACCCCTTTTCATTACCCTTTGTCTCTCACTAAATCTAGCTCAGATTATACCTTTTTCAGAGGAAGTAATCCCAGCTTCTTTAAAAGTTCACAAGATGGTTCTGTGTCGAGGGAGACTACCAACTCCATCTGGTACGCCATCTGAGATCCTACCTGCCTACGCACTCTTGCCAGAGTGGTGCAATGCTTTGGTTACTTCCCACTTGGACTACTGCAATACGCTCAGCATGGGGCCGCCTTTGAAATGATTTGGAAACTACAATTAATCCTGAATGTGGCTGCCAGGCTGGTGACTGGGAGCAGCCACTGGGACTGTAGAACACTGGTCCTTTAAAAAACTGGCTCACAGTTTATTTCAGAGAACAATTCAATGCGTTGCCAGTGACCTTTAAAGCTATGGCCTCTGCCCAGTATACCTGGAGCGTCTCCACCCCCATCATCCAGCCAGGACATGGAGGTCCAGTTCTGAGGGCCTTCTAGTGGTTCCTTCATTGCAAGAAGTTACAGGGAACCAGGCAGAGGGTCTTCTTGGTAGTGGCACCTGCCCTGTGGAATGCCCTCCCATCAGATGTTGAAGAGATAAAACAATTATGCAACTTTCCATAGACATCTGAAGGTAGCCCTGTATCAGAAAGTTTTTAATATCTGTTGTTTCAGTTTTGTTATATTCTTCTTGAAAGTTGCCCAGAGTGCTGGGACAACCCAATCAGATGGGCAGAGTACTACTACTACTAGTAATTAAATATAAAAGTGATTTGCCTGGTGGGTCCTGGTGATGTATGACACAATCAGATGATGTGCAAGTAGCATGATGTGTGGGGGTTTTTTTAAAAAAACAAACTCCAATTCTCTCAACTTTGTACAAGATCACCTCAAGTAGCATGAAACATAAGAGGAAAGAAGAGCTGGAACATATACTTTCAGACAGTGCTTTTCCAAAGAACTGGCTACATATTATGAGGATTCCAACAAGAGCTGTATTTCAGCTTTCTTCATCACTTTTATACCCACAAAGTCCAATATGCTATGATCGTATCCATTCTTGAAGAGATCATCTCTACAGCCCCTAAAGTATTCAGAAAAGACGTTTTATATACAGAAACTCAAATAATCCACTGCATGTGTGCTTAAAAAAAAAAAAAGCCAGTGTGAATAAATGGCGCCTACAACCCAGGTCCCAGGAGCCACATGGCTCCTACCTTTTCTATCCCAGTTTTGAACACTGCTTCAAAGCCTACAACATTGAAGTCAAGTCACTGTGACCGGCAACCAAAATGACTGTATGACATATTAGAAATGTAGTCCGTCTATTTCCCACACAAAATAAATGGAGATTGTTTTCTGATGGCTAATCGTAGAAGGTTGAGGGATCCAAACTTCCAGAGTATTAGGTTCATAGCAAGGAATGTTGAAATGTGAATACATGAATAAAAATATGTGGATACAAGCAACCCAAAATCTCTATTGCAATGTATGCAAAATTGGGAACAGCAGAATTTGATCTACACATCCTATTTTTTGTAGAAATACATGTTCATTAATTTCTAAAGGCTAAGACTTTATGGTGCTCTGCAGTCTATATTCTTCTAAAAACAGTTATTTATTTGCTCATAACTGTCTCCCCTCCCATTATTTTAATATGCTATAGCTTACTGTACAGCTTGTCTACTTTACTGTGTGCACAACTGAAAACTATTTCAAAACCTCAGAAGCTTCACTGTATGCATGTTCATAGCAGAGGCAGGCAGACTTCAGGCTTGTTTGTTTTTTACTAGAATTCTGGGTTCTGTCAATTAAGAGCCAAACTGGTGGCTCAGAGGGCAGAGCCAAGTGACAATATGCTGCATCCTTCAAAGTGTACACTTGTGTGACCACACCTATAGTAATCAATTCACATCTGGAGCTACTGATGGAGCAATGATTCCAATTAAAAATATACCAGGGGAGCTGCACAACTTGGTCAAAGACAGGTGAGGAAAATAAAAATGAGTGAGAAGTCAAAACCAAAATGAACCAACCCAACTAAAGCTGCATGCAATTTAAAGTACTTACACAAAGCCCCATTCAAATCAGTAGGAAAATTGCTTATGAACAGATATGCACAGACTCAGCCTGCAAATTCCAGAAAATGCAGAGTATTTCTGCACACAGCTATTCATTTAAGTCTCGTCCACCCCTATCAGCCTAGAACATAAAACACTGTCCAAGTTCAGAAAATTTTAAAGACAAGCTGAAATATAGTTCATACAACCAAATGGAATAATATATAGCAATGCACAATTTACCAAAAGAGAGAGATGTCGTCACTGGTTAGTGTTTAATGCATAAGTGCTTTAAGGCTTTAAAAACAAACAAGTTTGTTTTTTCTCAACCAGGACTTGAGTTCTAAAATATGAAACTAGAAAAAAAATACCTCTAAGCATCTGCAAAGTACTCTTTCCCTCTGCTTGCCAAGCAACCAGAGTCTGTTCCCACACACTTAAGAATCAAACATGTGGTGGCTGCAATACTATTATACTAGCTCCACTTCTGATTTTCAACCAAGGCACTTATTAAATTATGAGTCAGCTCGCTTTAAAAAAAAATTGACCTTTAACTGTTATTTGTACCATCCCAACTTTAGTTTTTTAACCCAACAAACTAGTTTTGCCTATTTAACAGCTCTCCAGAAGGCAGCAAGAGCTAACAGACTATATTTCTAAACGGTTCTCATTCACCCCTTCTGCACTGTTTCTGAGATGTAAACAGAGCTCAAAAGTTATCCAGTATTCTTTAACTTGTTTTTGTTTACACCTTCCCTTATGCATTGCCAAGTCTCAAGACATGCCCCCCCCAGCTTACAACAAATTACAAAACTGAGCCAAGGCCAAGTGTTTACAGATGCAATTACGAAATAAAAGCCTAAACTGGTGGAAGCATTGACAAACGCAATGAACCTGAAATCACAGGCAAGAATAATGCTTATTGTAAGAGTGAAGACAACCAATGGATCCCTTTTAGAGTTGCTGCCCCCCCCAAATCTACATAGCCCTTAGTGGCTTTTCTAAAGCTTCAACTGGACTGCATAAAGAGGAAGTGCAGGACCCTGGGTAGCCAACATTTCTCTTCAGTGCACCGCAAACCTTGTGAATTAGGATAGATGTTCTGCCCATGTCTGCTGAAAAGCAACAATAAACCGTCACCATACAGTGATCTGTGCATTTTCCAAGATCACACAAACCTGCAAAAAGGCAGCTGCCTTACTACAATTTATTTTCTTATTTCAGTTCACACCCCAACTGGTATTCAGCTGAAGGTGAATGCATATCTATACTCTGAGCACTCAAGACAGCGAGAAGCATCAGTCCTGCTTTTATTAAGTCAACAGGTATGGTATGCAAGTGAATCTCATCGGGCAAGATGTAATCAACCATTAGATGTAGCACCCATCCAACAGAAAGACGATGTATATTCACAACAGACATAGTTTTGATCCTTGGGGTTACCTTAGAAGGTCTTGTGCTCTTTTTCTTTTTCCCTTTTACTAATTTGGTTAACTTCTCTGCCTGTCAGTTGACACAAGATGAACTTTCATGCTCAAACATTAAAATAAGTCAATTAATTCATATTCAACTGACCCATATTTTTTAAGAGAGACATCACCTCTAAATGCAGTGGTGCAACAGCAGGACAAGCAAGCAGGAGAAAATGAGGTCAAATTTGTTAATAGCTAATACTAGAATTAGAATATATAGGTAGGTATTTTGCCAAACCTGCTGCTGATGGATCCACAAGGGCACCATCCTGTGGGAAAAGATTTAGGGGCTTGTAGGCCGGAAATCAAGTAAGAAGCCTGACATTAGAGGCATTCATAATGCCTACCTTCCATTACGTTTTTATAAAAGAGCATGAAAATAAACCTGTATTTAACACGCACCAATATTAAAGAGAAAAAAATTCACAGCTTGACACAAATTAAGAACACAGCTATTAAAAGAACAGCAAATGGGTCGTCTTTAAAAAGCCTTCCTATGCCTGTTCTATATTACATATATGCTATAAGATGAAGAAAGCATGTGTCAAGTATCAAATTGGCATGGCATGGGATGTGTGGCTTTCAGGAATAACATGTATAAAAGGGCCATGGTTTGGGGTGGGAAAAGTCATTATTAGCCTGGAAAGGGGAAAGGGGGGGATATAAAGAACAGCAAAAAAACTATTCAGTAAGCATGTCTTTGGGGACCAGAATACTTACACAGTGGTTATATAAAATGCTCTTTAAGGATACAGACAACATCCACTATTTTCCAACATATTCTGAACTATGAGATGAGGAGGGGCAGGGAACAAAGAACTACTGAAAACGTATGTACCTGTTGACGCAAGAAATTTGACTACCTCCAAAATGGGATATTTCCATGCTAAGCACCAAGAAAACTTTGAAAGAATGCTTAGCATTTTTAACAACCACCCTCCTAGGGGCAAAATCGATTTCATACAGTTAAAAATGTGATTATTTCTTCTTCTTCTTCTTCCTGGCTGCAAGGATGATTTTGAGTGTACCTGAAGTCCGATAAAATACAGTAACCTTTGCTTATGTAAACAAATGTTCATTAAAAAATCATTCAGATAATGCAAGCCAACTGAACACTGCAATCGTTGAGTTTATATTCAGCTGTCCAATACTGTTGCCCATCCTGTAAGCTTTAAAAAAAATAGGGCATCACCGTTAAGCTTTCTACCTAAGAAACCCATGAATGCTACACACACTACTCAAAGTGTCGAAACCTTAAATAGATGGGTTATTTCCTGCTCTAGCCTCCTAACAAAAGTTGCAGACAAAAAGCCTAAGTAGTCCTTTTTATTATTTGCTGTTCAAGTCCTTTTGTGTTTTGAAAGTGGTAACATTCCTGTTCACAGGGATTAAGTTAAACTATTAAGAAAATTCTACAGTGGAAGGAGAACTTCTTACAATCGCCCTCTGAAAATAAAACATTCACTTGTCAGCTAGCAGAGACCAGGAGCTGAAACAGTAGGAGCAAAAATCCACATTTCAATTAGGTGGAGAGGTTTTGGTTTCTGTCCCACGGAGACCGTCCCACTTTGATGCTCTTTGTTCTCCAACTTACACAAGTCAAGTAATCCTCCTCCCAAGTAGCACACAGTGCCCTTTGGTTTCTTCTTTAGGCCCAGGGTTGCATCTAATGAAAGTGTTTGAATGCATCCAGCATAGGTGCATTTTTTGTGTAGATATACTGCACTGCCAGACAAATATCAAATGTAGTTTAAACGAACTGTATTAGAAATAGATGCCGCTCCCCAACCTCCCATGTTTTGAAAAAAAAAGTTGCTCCAGTCTACAAAGTATTTTTGGTAGCAACAATATTAACAAGTTTAAACAAAGTTTACCAAACAAACAACTAGTTTTGTTGAAGAAAAAAAGGGAGTAAGATAAAAGAGGTGTATATGAGAGGTGTAACACCGAGTTTTTTTAAATGGCTTAGACCAATTATCCAAACAGAGCTGCTGGATTCATAAGAAGGTATTTGAGTAAAAACCAATGTGCTTTGACTATTTTTCAAGTATCTGATATCAATTTTGTATAAAGACTTTGAATACACAAACTACCAAAGATAGAAGAAAATTGACTTTTCCAAGTTTGAATTTAAGTATTAAAAACTTAAAATACTTCAGAAGTTAGTATTCCACACAGTACTAACAATTTTCCAAATTATTTTTGTACATATCCCAGCTGACTGTGGACTGAAAACAATCTGCTAAGCAGTATTAAAAGAGTGTGCAAGAGTTAAACTGTTTGTAGTTCGGGGGAAAACATCTAAAAACCTAACTTAAAAAATAAAAACAAATGAAGTGAAAGCTTTAACTGGTACACACTGTTCACACCTATATTTCAAGTTTGGAAACGCATATTTTCAAGCAGCAATACAAAAAAGTATCCATGAAGAATGCATAATTTCTGAAAAAAATTATGAAAACATCCCTGCTACCATTACATTTCTAAATACAAAACTGACTACCATATTGTTGCTTCTGTGTAGCAAGAGAAGTTCATTTTCAAAACAGGTAAAATTCAGTCTTCAGGTGTGAATGGTATGAATGAGAGTCCCCTTTTTAATTTCTTAAGTTGTTTTTAGGATCCTTAAGCATGCAAGCCTTGTAGAGGAGGGCCCAACAAGGGGCAGGGTTGGCTTAGGGCATCCAGTTTAGGACAGAGCTGGGAAAGCTTCTGGGTCATCAACATCAGGAGCAGAAGCACTTGACTGAAAGAAAAACAGAATGTACGTTATCTGGAGAGTCCGCATAACCATTTTTGTTTGAGGCATTCTGTAAGGTAACCAAACGTTCACATTGAATTAATACACTGAATCAGGGCCTGGCTTTAATGATGAACTGGATGAGGGTCAACAAACTAAAGCTTAATTTAGACAAGGCTCAGACACTGCTAGTGGGTGGTTGTCTTGTCTGGCTGAGCAGTGTGCAGCCTGCTCTAGATATCCATTGCCATCACAGGTGGCATGGAGTGCCTTCCATCAGTTTAGGTTGGTGGCCCAACTATGACCCTATCTGGCCTGGAATAACCCAGCTACAATAATCTATGCTCTGTTAACCTCAGTATTTGATCGCTTTACATGGGTCTGCCTTTGAACACTGTTTGGAAACTACTGCTAGTGCAGAATGTAGCTACCCGATTGCTGATAGGCTCATGGCAAACTGATCATATAACACTGAACTTGGCACAACTGCACTGGCTGCCTATAAGTTTCCAGGCCCCATTCAAAGTGCTAGTTTTGACCTATAAATCCTTATATGGCGCAGAACCTTGAAATATTTTGGAATACCCCTCCCAATATAAGCCTACCAGACCCTGATCTTGATGCCTTCTCTGAGCTTACTTCAGATACTTTTTAGACAATTATGTGCACTCATTCACAAGTCCAGTACAAGAAAATCTTGAACTGGGATTTTTAATTCTATTCTGTTGTTATGTTTAGTAGTATGGAACCATACGTAATGCAGACTTGAAGTGTGTGCTCTAGTTATTATGTACATTTGTATCACACCTCTCTTCCATCACGGTAGTCAGAGTACTGTAAATAGGATTTCCAGTCTCCTGCCAGGCAATGACCAGACCCAGACTTGCTTAGCTTCAAGCAAGGTGGTTGCATCATTTACTTCAAGACCATGCCTGTACACACTGCACACACACAACTTTTCCGTTGTAGAAGGAGAAAGAGGCATGAGTGCAGGTGATTTGGTGTTAAATGGAAAATCCATCACTGGCAAGAATATTTACACCTGTGCTCATGATACAATTGAACCTATGCTTCTCTCTCAGCACAAACGCTGATCTGATAAAACAAAAAAAAATCCTTCCAGTAGCACCTTAAGGTTTATGTGGGAGCTGTATACTTTAATTCTACACATGTATCTTTTGTCTTCAACACAGTAACAGCTTAATATAAACCCCAAATGAAGTTGGGAGAAATTTGCAATATGATACAGCTCACTTGCTTTGACAATGACTTTAAAGCTTTGATCGGCTTCACATTATAACACTGCAACACTCCATTTATAAAATCCATTTCAGGAGATAGTGTGCAGAAAAATGGATTCTTAGAACCCATGTAACTATAGTAAATTATGAAGTCTTGCCTACTTCCACATAAGGAGAGAGTTTCATCCAGATGTTACTTCTAAGTCAACCTACATATGTAAATGCTATGTTATGTTGTATGCTGATGGTAAACAGGTATTTTCATTTTAGATGACATTAAGAAACCCCAATAGCCTAGATGCCAAGAACAATTTCCAGAATGGAGGGAAACTGTTACTGTGGGTTTTGTGATCTGTCTAAATTTTAAAAAAAACTACCTTAATAACATCATGGTTACAGTTACAGTGTTTCTATTTTATACCCAATACAACCTCAAACAGCCCTGACATGCAAGAATTACAGAAACGAAGACATGTCAAAACCGGGGGGGAAGTCCAGGAGGATTAAAAAATCTTTGTCATCTATAAATGCTATGGGCAAGCAAATAAAAATGTGAAAGCAGGTTGTCGTTTTTAACCAAACAACAAACACAAATTAAGAGTATCAAAATGCATGAAAATAACACTTTAACCAGAAATTCTGATAAGCGTTACATATGATTTTATTCATCCTTAACACGGACTTTCACCAATGAAAAATGTCTGACCAGGATTAAGGCTACAATTGTATACACATCCTGAGAGATTTATAAACAAGTCACCAACCTGGCTGGGTGTGTGGATCACATCAAACTCCTTAACCAACTAGAAGGAAACACAGTCAAGACACAAGTATTAGTGTGGATCTGCACGTTCATAATGAGCAAAATCACAAAACAGAAATGCTGAATTCTCAATTAGTTCTACTGGAAAAGCCTTTCAAAAAGAGAAATCCAGCAACTGAATTCATAGTGAAAATAGACTACTCTCTCTCTCTTTTTAAGCACATTAAAGCCAATAAAGAAAAATATTCCTGCTTATGATCGAGAATTCACTGGAGTATCAATTGCTGTTTGCAAGCTGTGGTACCCAGAATATTTGGGAACTTCATGTTTTGCGTGAGAAATAGGCATAATTAAGTTGCATCCAAAGTGTGCAAAGACAACACATGCAATATAGTTTTCAGTCATGCACATGTGGGGGAAAGCTTAAGTAACACCCAAAGTACTTGCAGACGTGTCTACTGTTCAGACAAGTGATTTGGATTCAAGCCTATGTCAACTTTCAAACTCATGGTGGCAAACTAATGTATTCTGCACACGCACACATGGATTAAAGCCACCAATATTAAAATAAGTACCACCTCTTAAACTAACTTTTTGCTCCACTACAAAGGACTATTAATTAGGGCACATATGTAAAGGGAAAGACTAGGATAGATCTATGCATAATATCATGGTAACTTGCTCGGCAGCAGCTTAGTCGCTGAAACCTGCTCATGTTGTTTTTAAGTACCATCAATAGGTATACAAAAAACCTGTTTCATTTAAATAGAAAGAACTGTTACCTTGTCAGTTCTGCTTCCACGATTGGCTCTTCCCCCACGTCCACGTCCTCCTCTTCCACCTCTGCCACCACGCCCAGGACGACCAAGATCTCCAAAATTGATTTCCAGCTGAGATGTGATATCATTTGCTGGCTTGCGGAAGTGATGATCCATTGCAGAGTCTTCAGCATGAGACTAAGATGAAAATAAGAAATTCAGGACCACCACTGAAAAGGTATTTTCACTAAATACCAGATACAACCCAGAATGCAACACGGGGCGTGGGGGAGGGGGAATTACAGCACTCAAACATCACTTGCATGAAATGCTGGTCAAAAACTGCAACAAATGGCAGTTTTGACTACAGGAAGGACAGCCAAGAGCAAAAGCAGAATGTAGCACATGTACACCTGCTTTCATTTATTGTTTGCTTATTTAGCTGAATGCTGGAACTATATCAATATACAGTAAATATTTGCCAAATTCCAGGTATTGGTACTTATACATCTCTATTTTAGCCTTCAGTATCTAATAAGAGATATGATTGTATCCAAAACATGCAGAAAAAATTGCAGAGGTGGGATGGTGGAATCCAGTAGAAGCCGCCATATTAGGTAAATCATACCCAAGCCTGCCTCACCCTCTGCAAACCACCTTGAATTTCAGAAGTGATGCAGAGAAAATTGCTCAGAAACCTCAAAATCAAAAAATTGCCTGCCACTTAATTAAAATTTCCTATTCAACGAATCTTTATTAACTGGAAAGGCTTCCACAAGCTAGAACAGGCTTCTGGGTGCCAACCATCAGGTGACAGGCAGTATGTACTTTTTAAAGTCACTGTCTCCTGGAGCGCCCCATATCCTGCAAACATCTATATTTAGCCTCAACCAGACCTATACTGACCTTGCTGCTCTCAGCTTCTGCTTATCAGTTAGGCTTGTGTTACTGAAGTGTCCTCCTATGGCAGAGGTGGAGAATGCTTGGATCTTTTAATTTAATCCCTTAAATAAGATTGCATATACCTGCTAGTGTATTACTGCATCCAAACTGCCAGGCAATTAACTTTAGTATACAGATCACAGAACAGAGATCAACTGAGAGACAAAACTTACTTGACTGGACAGTAAAAGCAGTGAACACTTTCTCCTTTATGTTGGCTCCTCACTTACAACACAGCCAACAGTTACATGATGTCTCAGGCATGGAACCTGCTTCCCATGGCCATGACTTAGGAAGGTGTAATAAAAAGGTGCTGCCCTAGACCTACAGAACCAAAGTGAGGCGTAGGCTGGCCTCTTGCCACTGTGGAGAGCATCAAGCGCCACTGGCAGGCTGCACCACCTGATTCCCAGGAAGAACTTCATGGCAAGAGGCAGACCAACCTGGCCCCATCCATCAGGCGGCCAAAGAGCAGCTGCTCCAAAGCCCTTTCCTCTTCATTCCTTGCTCCTTTCATAAGACAGCTATTACATTAGGAACCTGTCCTACCTTTTATTTTATTTGTTGGCATTTACAGACTGCTCTTCACCATGCAGGAAATATATTCATATATTCACTCACTCACACAACTTAGAAAAATGTAATGCTTTATAACTGTTTAAGAACAACATCAACACAACCACATATAAAGTGTTCGTACCTCATTGGATTCCATCTGACTCCCTTGCATCTCTGTCACCCCCTTTGTCTGATGCAAATTGTATGTTGATACAAAAGGAGAGAAAAAAGTAAATGAGAATTTGCATATTAAAATAACATGCTCTATGGTTCAAGGTAGGTGAACCCAATAGGATACAAGTGACTAAACAAGTGGACAGAGCAAAAGCAGTAAGCAGATGATATTATGCAAGTAGAAAATCTGGGCAAAATCTAACATCACATCAGCAAATGCAACATTTCCCCTTCCTCTCCTCCTGTACCCCGCCAATCTGTTCCAGGGGTCTCCCAACCCTCCGGAGCATATTTTAGGGGCACATAAGGTAAAGGTAAAGGTACCCCTGCCCGTACGGGCCAGTCGTGTCCGACTCTGGGGTTGTGCGCCCATCTCACTTAAGAGGCCGGGGGCCAGCGCTGTCCGGAGACACTTCCAGGTCACGTGGCCAGCGTGACAAGCTGCATCTGGCAAGCCAGCGCAGCACACGGAAATGCCGTTTACCTTCCCGCTAGTAAGCGGTCCCTATTTATCTACTTGCACCCCGGGGGTGCTTTCGAACTGCTAGGTTGGCAGGCGCTGGGACCGAACGACGGGAGCGCACCCTGCCACAGGGATTCGAACCGCTGACCTGACGATTGGCAAGTCCTAGGCGCTGAGGTCTTACCCACAGCGCCACCCTTAGGGGCACATAGAAGCCTGTTATTAATTTCTGGCTTGCACATTACCCTAAGGGTTATGAGCTTTTTTTGTTTTTTGCAACATCAACACCAATTAAGTGTTGAGAAACCATTAGCGGGGGGGGGGGGGGCTGAACAATGGATCACATTAGAATACAATGGCATGAATAACTCAATCTGGCAAATGGGTCTGATGTTATCTCCTCTGTGGAACAAGGGTGGGGCCAATCACCTGACTCAATTGCCAGAATGATGTCGGCTGACCTTTTCTGACCAGTTTGTGTAATCAAACTGCACAGCAGATGCAGCTAACAAAGCACCTTTCAAAGTGCTCCACAATACCAGACAAACAGCTGATCTGCAGTACCTACAAGCCAGATTTTTACCAGCCTCACACCTGACATATATGACGCAAAGTGTAGGGCAAGTGGGTGTCGCTTAGCCAAATATGGAGGACTGGCAGGCTTAATCAGGTCCCTACATTGGAGGTTTCCTACCCATGGAATAAAGTAGCAATCTTTAGTTGGTCTTAAGGGAGCTGCACAACTCTAAAACACATTTAAAGGCTGCAATTCCAAGCAAACTTAACCAGGAGTAAGCCTCAACACAGTGGGGATTACTTCCAAGTAAATATGCAATGGATTTCTCAGTTAGGTGTCCATTATTTCCCATATTTATGGGCCTTAGCAAATATTCCAAAATCAGAAAGAATTGTTAGTAAAAATAAGTGTAAACTCCAAGCCATTGGAATAAAAATTCCAAGTCATTTTGCAAGTATCACCTCATCTGCACAAGCATAAAATTAATCACATTGAAATTTCTGACAGGAAGCTGCTACAGTTGAATACATTTCACCAGGTACTGAGAGTTGGACAAGCAGAACCCCACTCACAACAGGACTTCGAGCCTAGGTCAACTAAAAGCACCTTTTCCCTTGACACTGCTAGCTCTCTGTGGACTTATAAAATGGTGGAACACTGCACGCCTGAATTACTCATCAGAAGTGGTACCATAATAGAATGAAGTATCCCACACATGAATTCTGCATTTTTGAGTGTGCCCTAGGATTCAGGCTTCAATAAACTGTGGACACAATCCATATTCCAGTGGTAAACCTCCCACTGAATTCAGCAGAGCAGGAATGCATATTTTCATCTAGACCCTGAAGGCCCACACACCAAGAACTGAAAGCTTTACTAAGCTTGACCTATGTTGGAGACTTTACCAGATAGCAGCTGTGTCTCCATGGTTTTCTCTCCAACAGCAAAGGCTAGAAATGTTTGTTTCAAAGTGATTAAAACAGGACTGGTTTCTGCACACGGTAAAGGCAAAACATCTGCTATAGAGAATGTAACTATTGATAGGATACCTTAAACTACTTACTCTTAAAGGTGTGAGTAAAATGAAAACATCAGATAGCACAGTTAGTAGAGTATGAGACTCTTAATCTCAGGGTTGCGAGTTCGAGTCCTATGTTGGGCAAGATTCCTGCACTGTGAGGCGTTGGACTGGATAACCTTTGTGGTTCCTTCCAACTCTACAATTCAGTGATTCCATGAAGACAAGATAATCCAGAAAAACCCACCTCCTCACTCTTTGACTTATGAAGAACAAAACCTTTTTTCCATTGTCCATCAGCACCTTCATTTGGTTTACGGATGTTGAATTCAACTTTTGCACGATCTTTATTTTGAATAGCTTTCCATTCATCCAGAGTCATTTCCTTAGGACCTTCTTCCTTGACTTCTTCTACTTCATTCTCTCTGAAATAAGTTTACAATGGTGGAAACTCATTTCATAGTCTTTGTCACACTCAGAATGGTGAAGTCTCAATATCGGAATGCTGGAAGCAACCAGGAAGGCCAGACTTCTAGAATTTATTGTTCACACAAAAAGCTGTACTTTAACGGATGTTATTTTCAATTCAGACAAAATACTGTGCTATTGGAAATCACTTGACCACATAAACTCTGGCTTCATGACGAGTTGCTTTAATCCAAGTGTGCAACACATTGTTGATAACTAATAGCTGGCAGCTAAAGATAGTCACCTTATATGTATTTTAGCAGACCACAGAGATAGGACAGTTCTGCTTAATTCCTCCTTGCCAGTCCTTCTTCAGCAATTACAAAGCAATTGTTTCTCCCAACAGATACAATACCTTAACAGTTTTCAATGGTTTGCCTCCCACCCCCTCCAGTCATGTCATGACAGCTTGCCATATGGAGAAAGACAAGTTAAAGCACAGACTGTATGTCTTACGTACATCAGTGCTAAGGCATTCCCCCAAAGCAAGATTTTGCACAGCTTCAAATGCTGATTCTCCCAGAGGCATTATGACTTAACTGATATATCAGTATACCAATTTCATTGCCATATCTATTTTGGGAGGGGGGGGAAGGAAAATGGCTTCAAAACTTCACCAGCAACAACAATGAGCAGCTTGCTATGTGCAAAGCAAAATGGAAACCTGTCCAATAGTAGTTACATCAATGATCAGCTGTGAACCTCCTGACTTAAAAAATGAATCAAGTTGTTTCATTCAAGACCTCTGGTAAGGGCTCACAATTAAAGTTAGAATGTTAAATGAAATCCCAGCTTATACTTAGTAACCAAGAATAAAAGACTGATTTCCAAAGTAAGTATTGCCTGAAAGCTCCCAAAGTGCATGCATGGGCCAAGTTCACATGTAGGACATCCAAATAATGGCATTGCATGATTGTGCTGAGTTATCTACAGCAGTGTTTCCCAACCTTGTGCCTCCAGATGTTTTTGGCCTACAACTCCCATCATCCCTGACTAGCAAGACCAGTGGCAAGGGATGATGGGAATTGTAGGCCAAAAACAGCTGGAGGCACAAGGTTGGGAAACACTGATCTACAGCACAACAGCCACTTAACCAAGGCATATACGCTTCCTATGCTGCTGAAAGAGCTTTTCCACTCTAAAAGTTCAAGTCAGTAAGTATAGTTATCTGCATCAATGCCCATCGGTCTATCATAGTCCTGCACCTAAGTACCACCCCCACTCCCCATTTCTCATCCAATTTTACGATTTTACACAGCACTTCTGTGACGTGTCAAAACGAAGTGGCAAATGCATGACAAGCCACTATGCAAGAAAGAAATGTTTAGCTAGCTCAAAATGCCAGGTTATTCAGCATCATTGTGCAAGTACAAAGGCTCAAATAGGAAGGCTGAAATCCAATACTTTGTGGATTGCATGCACAACAGGGCTCCCTCGCCCTTTCATCATGCAGTTCCACAAACCTGCTCTGGAAGGTCCTTTGCTGTCATTCATGGACACCATCGGATTCCATCCTACAACCTTATTTACACACACAATCCTGTAGGTTTTGAAGTAGCTACTTTTTAGCTAGTACCAACGTTGGATTTCACAGTTTTATCACCGACAATTCAAGACCAGAGCTTCTCAACTAGACTCACCCATTTCACAAGTTTAGATTTATGAGGATTTTAAGCTAAAATTCCACTTAAGCATCTCAACCTGAGTTTGCCAATCATGTAACAAAGGAAACTTAAATAAGTAAACAGATTTTCCTGTTTTTAAAAGAAAAACTTTCTACAAAAAAACAACCAACCACCTCCTTTTGAAATGAAAGGAGCCTAGCAACCTCATAAATGATCAAACAAGGATTCTGGCAATGTAATACTTACTTATTCTCTGAGTCGGCAGGTGGATGCTCCTCCCCCTCTGGTGTTTCCTCTGTCACATTTGATTGATCCAAATCACTGGAATTAAAGATAGTTTTAAAATATCTGATGCTTCATACGAGCACTACCTACCCACCTGATATTCAATGACCTCAAAATTATACCAAAGCTTACAGTGGAACTTCAAAGAATATTCACTCCCCAATATAAACACTAACCCACCATCAAACCCCAAGTCTGCTTTACTAGCTGTATTGCTGACAAAAGCATGGGTGATTTTTCTATGCCAACACAACAGAGGCAAATTTGGGATCTAGAATTATAATTCCAAATTTAGAAAAATGTTTACTATTTGCTATACTGCTGCATTATGATGCTCCTTCAGGAAAGCACACAGGCAGGATGCGCATATATATATACACACACACACACACACACACACACACACACACACACACACTGATAAAGGGAAATGATCCTGCACTAAGCCAGAAAAATGGGTGAGGCATATGTTAAGGATATCCAACATTAATCATACTCACAAGACCACCTACTGAAATCAATGGACTGGCATTCCTTAACTCCATTTATTTTAAAGGGCCTATGCAGACTATGACTAGTAGGTATCACCAATAATGTTTGAATCAAATTTGAATATGTTTCTCGTAAATCTGTTCTTCTTGGGGAACAGTAAAGAGCTACTCAGGACAATGAAATGGGAAATCCTGCTCCTTTTTTACTACCTCTCCTGAATTTTTTCACTCATTATGTGATCTTGCAATCTTAAAATACCCAAGGTCTTTTCTTATAATTTAGTTTATTCTGAACAAGTATTTCAATACAAAATACTAACGTTAGTTCATCTTTGACAGTTCCCCAGTTGTGCGATCCACTTCCACCACGCTTGTCCTCATGCTTTAGACCACTGAAATGTGAATGTGAAAGAGAACTAACAAAACTGAGTTAACATAATAGTGTTGGAATACAGATTTTCAAAAGCAAATTTTCCAAGTATTATTCTGATATGAATGCACTTTAAAAAAGAACGAGTTTAAGACTTACGATCTGTCGCTTCCACTATGCCTATCAAATTCACGTTTGCCTCGGGAGTCAAAACCATCTCCTCTGCCCATTCCACGTCCTCTGCCACCACGGCCCCCTCTTCCACCTGGTCCACCACGGCCACGCATTGGACGATCAATAATGGGTCTATTGTAAAATAAAGCAAAATTAGGAATGACACTAGAAACTCTACTTCTACCTTGGCAGTGCTAGTAATCATCTTTCTTAATACTATATCAATTTCTAAAATTATGCTGCAACTATTTAAGAGCTATTAATGTTATTTGTATCTTTTTCCATTTCAGTATTCACATACTGCCCAACAACAAATGTCCCCTGGTCAATGTAACAGTAATAATTATAACCATAGATAAAATACAGCATGAAAACATGAACCAGTACAAAGCAATGAAATAAAATAAGAAGCAGAGAATATTTTAAGTACAGCTGATTTTAAATGCCTAGGAAAGTAACATTTTTACCTGACACTGAAAAGACCATAAAGTAGGTGTCAGGCAAGTCTCTCTGGTGAAAGCATCACATAGCTGTGGTAACAATAAAAAGGTCCTCTCTCAAGAAGCCACCCACCCCATCTCACTTGGCAGGGTACACAGAAGGCTTGAGAAGATTTTGTTTTATATATTTAATAAATTGTATACTAATTTTCAAGTGAAGTCCTCTAAGACTTGACTTCTGTATAAAGCCAGATGATCTTAGGCTTCATGTAGGGGTGTGTGTATGAAAAGGCAATTCTTCAGGTACCCTGGCCCCAGGTCATTTATGGCTTTTATGCTTTATACAGACATTCTGAATTGGCCCCAGAAACAAAATGGAAATCAGTGTAGATGGCAAAGCACAAGTGAAGTATGATTATATCCATCAGTTCTTGTCAGTAATCTTAGTCCTATTCTGGACCAGTTGTAGTTTCCATATTGTTTTCAAAGGCAGCCATACATATACAATATTGCAGTAATCCATATGAGAGACTACCCAAGTGTTAATAAGAGTGGCTAAGCTATATGCTGAAATACAGTGTTAGAAATTCACGAGGCACAGGTACCATGCCGAGGTCTCTCAATGCTAGGTTGGCAATTGACACCTCTTTCTTAAGCAGGTAAACAGAAGAGCTTAGTTACTGTATTTCCCACCTTTTCTCCAAGCAATACATGGTTCATGCCACTCCTCAGATAATCCCTACAACCACCCTGTGAGGTAGGTTAAGAGGCTGTGACTGGCCCAAGGTCACAGTGTAAGCTTCATGAATGAGGGGGATTTGAACCCTGATCTCCCAGGTCCTAGTCAGACACTCTAAACACTATATCACACTGGCTTCCTAGAGGACTTCTCCTATGGGGCAGCTAAAAAAATAAAAATTAAGAAGGTAAATAAATTCAGGGAAAGCATAGAGAAGGAGCTGAAATATTTTCCATGAAGCTTAATTTGTTTTATTCTGGGTTGTTTCATTTGCTATTTTAATGTGTTGCAAATTGCTTGAATTTCTTTTCTTAAAAGATAAAGTAGTATAGAAAGGATGGTGGTAACAGTAATAATAATGTTCATTGTTTGGGGAAAAAATCATGGTGTTTAGACATCCCATTGTGGCGACCATAACCTAGGTTTAAGGTGCCATTTGACAATTAGCTTACATATCTGAGTTTCTAACAATGCTGATAAAATACATTTTGAGCAACCAAGGCTGTCTGTTCCTCCAGTGACAGTAGATGATCCAGGAGAACGCTTATACCAAAACATTGATCCTTTAGGGGGAACACAATATCCTAAAACAGGTTCATATTAAAATACAAAAGCATGCCACATTAAGACAAATATACCACACTACCCAATTAAAACCCATTAACAGACTAATCAGAGAACATCTTGCTATAACCAGAGGACATCCTGCATACAATTTTCTCTGCCAATCAATCTTAAAATGTTCAGTTCTTACTTATCAACAGAAAATTCTCCTCCTTCACCCTTTTCTTCAGCAGGTTTGTCAAACCTGCGTTCACGAGGAGGCCGTCTCTCTTGCCTCCTCTCAATAGGCTTGCCTTCTCCCTGAGGCTGCTGTTGATCAGGCCTTCTGCCAATTCGCCTTATCCCTAAAATAGAAAGCAATCCGCATCAGTAAGTTATTTAGCTACTTCCAAAAAGCAACTGTTATTCTTGAACACACAGCAGAGGAATCCTGTAGAAGACACTAGTTGTTCTAAGGCTTGGAGGTAGTATCATAAAACTACTCTACAAAACAAATAAAAGATATCCAAATTATAGCCAAGTAACACCTCTGGAAGTTTTCATTTCAAAAATAACCATGTTATTTGAAATTTACACAGCAAAAAAAATGTGGCAATGTGCCTTTAAAGGTGTGAATGAAGGTTGTGCCATGTAAGGGGCATGGTGGGAATACAACACCAATATAGCCAGTTGTGAGGGATGATGAGACTTGTATTCCAACATCATCCAGAAGTCAGCTCACTGGCTACCCCTGTCCAAGCTAATACAAATAGATATGAGATATTGGGTGAGCTTATTCCTTCCTTGGAGCAGTCAGGAGTTCTAACATTTCAGACAGATTGTTTTGTACACTGAAGCACAGCTGGAAACTAGGAAGTGTGTATAATTTTGCTTTGATAGTTTGATAGCATACAGAACATGATATAGACTATAATAAAGCAGAGAATTGTGTGTACCTTGTAGGAAGTAATTTTCCTATATAGAAGATTTATCAAGTTCGAAGAATTACAACACACAACTATCCTGGAAAGACGAGTGCACATCACGCACTGAAATCTGGTAAGACACCCCCCATCCCCGCCTTCAAGAAATTAGAAATTATAATTCATTTGGAGAAACTTGAAAAAGACTACTGAAACTGATGTTTTACCAATGACCTCTAATATTTAGATATTTTTGTATGCAATTAAAACTCAATTAGTATGATTTGTGTCTGTATTTGTTATGCAGACTATTGTTATGAGACCCTCATGGGGTGTATTTTAATCATAGTATTATAGCCTCATAGTATTTTACTATCATAGTATTTTATGCTTTTGAACATAAAAATGACAGCTTACCATGGAGAATGACATCTGGTCAAACTAATTTTTCAGCTTTTTAATACTACTTCAACCTGTACTCTGGAAAAGTCAAATCTAAGCCCCTAGAAGCATACACTGCCAAACACCTTCTTTTTGTTTTAAGGAAACCCATAAGAACATTTTCTTATTTTTAAGCTCCTCTGGTGGCGAAATTGACTAGGGGTGAAGCTGTTTCCAATCTGATCTATCAATGATACCACTCCACAGCCTTATACAAGAGTAAGGAAAGCAGCCATAGTTAGGGAAGGAGAGAACCATCACTCTCCTCATTATGTATGAAAATGTACTGAGTTATTTATTTTGGATGATGGCTTGTGCTGTGGTAGGGTAAGAAAGTTGGGCCCATAGCTCCAAAGAAAGAGCTGCTAGAGCAGCAATAAGCCCTACCTTGTGGCCCATTCTATTCCCTTCTTTAGGAGTGGTTGTGGCAGCACCCACAACTCCCATCATCCCAGACCACACTTCTGGTCACAACGGCTGAGACAAAGAAGCTGTAGTCCACAACATCAGGAGAGCATCTGGTTGGGGGAGGCTGGCTTAAAGACTCTGTGTATCAATCCCCAAGGTTTCCATTCAAATACAAAATGAAATTTACATTAATTTATGTGTCACAAAGGATTTTCCTCTTGGCACCAAGGGCTGCTGCAAACATTACTTTATTACCAATATCATATGCAAAACCAAAAGGCCTATACCCACCAATTAACATTAAATGATACTCTGGAGTGGCTTCCAGAACTCTGTTGAATGCTTAACCCATGTCTTCACTGTGAAACAGACATGTATGTCAACCTTCTACCTGAGCTTCTGTGCTCCTGTGCTCAACTTGCACGTAATGCTCAACCATGTTTCATGAAGTTAGCTTATTTAACTACTCAGAGATTATTTCAAACCTGGATTCCTGGTTTCAATACATCTTTTAAAGCAACATTAAGTTATGCCATAGTCTTCCTCCCAGTGATGAGAGAGGGAGCTTGTGAGCCCAACACTCTTTTCAGGCTCGTTCACATAGCACTAAAATATGGCCTAACATTACATGTGACTGCAATGAACTTTGCTGCACTCCAGACGGTTCCTGTGTACTACAGTTAAGAAATGTAGGCTACTACCAAAAGGTAGCTAGAAGAGCAGTATTGTTTATGAAAGCCAATGGTCAAATTTAATACTTCTTTTAAGCAGAGGAGAAATAAAATCTGCTCTCCCTGAACAGGTCCACTCAAGAGGTTGCCACTGGTGACTGGATCTTTTAATATCTATGTCATGATCAAGTCCACTATTGAGGCTACCTGCTGTGGCTTCAGATTACAGGAAAGGGAATTCTGAACTACCACTGTTATTATACTCCTTCCACATGTTTAGGAATCATGGGGGAAATCCTCTTTGTCTATTCTCCCTGCTCCCTTTCAAACTCCCAAGCAGGTCAAACTTGCTCTCTTCCTAACCCCTGAACTCTGAAAAGATCCCCAGGCAGCTCATCCAATCCATGTTCTTCCAAAGTCACTGCATGCTAGAATGTGCTCATGTTGCCCTGACAACTCTTCTCTTCTATGCCACTCTGTGGCAGCTTGTCCTGGCTTGTCTATGCAGGCCTAGAACTGAGCTTCTCCTCTACAGAGTCTACTTTAAAATGTGGTGGAGACATAAGCAAGTGTTTTGCCATGACAGTCACACTGGCCTTTGCAGTTGATCTTTGCTTCCAAGTACCCCCAATGAGCAGGGTGAGAAAGCTTTTATTCGTGAGAAGGGGCAGGAATGTTAGCTATCCTGAAATTAAGGCTGAATTGGTAAATTCATGGAATTCAAAGTACTATAATTTAGACATGCACTTAAAGCTGTATTTGAATAATTGAATTTTTAAATAAAAAAATAATGTAGTACCAATTATTCAGATGAAATGCTTTCCTAAAGCAGTATATAGCTGCAGATTACAGTGTAAGTCTGTGGCTCTTTTGCTGCTGTTACAGACTTTGTAAAATGCCTTAGTGTGCGGGATATAAAGCTGGAGAAAACAGCAGTAGCAAGACTAGCTAAAACTAGTTTAAGGCAGTTAAAAGGAGCTCTTGTGCCACTGAAGCAGCAGATTTTAAGCTGTGTTTATGGTTGAAATGCTTGTTTGCTGGTTATCCAATACTCTCCCCTCCAGTATAACATACACTGAATTACACACAACTGTCACTTAATAATTTGAATAATTTGGGACAAACTTGTGCGCATATCAACAGATCCTTGATCTCAAGATTGGTCAATGACTGAAATAAATAACTATCTGACTTTTAAATGACATCTGAAGGCAGCCCTGTACTGGGAAATTTTAACGTCTGATGTTTTACCATTTTTTACATGTGCCATAAGCCGCCCAGAGTGGCTGGGGAAACCCAGCCAGATGGGCGGGGTATAAATAATACAATTATTTTTAGGCCAAAATATCACATTTAAAGCAAACTTTAAAAATTGTCTTAAAGCACAGGATGAGAGTACAGCAGCAAGAGCATGTCAGCAGGATTACTTGCACTACCTAATAGTTGTCCATAGTTGTCTCATATGAGATGAACTCTTCTTCTGTCAATGCCAGTTTTGCAGAATGGCTTCAAAATTTCTGAAAAATTGCAATCTGTATACAACCCTTATGTTTCACCATTCTTCAAAGGAAGTTTACTGGACGTTTTTTTAAAAAATTAAGTTTCCCCCTTCAAGTGACAGTATAACAAGTGATCCATAAATTACCATTGTCACTGGCCCCAACAGTCCTCTTGTTCAAAATGAGACACAAACACATTCTTTCGTGTTGAGGAAGGAGAAATTCTCATGTTATGCCAAGCAGGGACCCCTTGCTAACAGTGGAAATCTATGCTGGACTAGATGGGCAATAGGCCTGATCCAGCAGGCTATTCTTATGTTCTTAATATTGATTTTATGTTTGTATCAACTGCACTAATATTTTTTTCCATTTTCAGCATTTGTACTTAGCCTCCCATTTATGGAGACTTTTTAATTGTTTTTAAAATCAGGGCTGTTTTATCCTGTTTCAATTAAAGCTTTTGCAATTTTTTGGTTATTTCATTTATTACAGATTGTCTTTTACATGGGTTGTAAGCCAACCAGGCAATATGTGCACTTAATACAGGGTTTTTTTTAAAGCAGCAGCAACAACAACAACAACCCCCTCCCATTATATTGTATCAATGCCCAAGGTAAAATGAGTTATCAGCATGAACAGATTGTTCATTTCTTTGGAAGTTTGATACTCATATGTGAAGAGGAGTGATAATATGCAGATGGGTTCCCCCCCAAAAAACACATCTTTAATTGCTAGAACAAAAAAATAGCATGAAAATGGGAGGACGTGGCATGGCTTAGGAAAAAGAACACTGTAAAAACCTAATGGCATAGATTGTTGATGGCACACACCATAACTCTCTCAAGAGGGTAAGCAGGACTGGCCCTGGAAAGGAAATTTGCCACAAGACTTCCTGAGAACTCCGCAAAGACATTTGTGAAGGAATCATTACAGAAATATGTGCCCATTAATATATGAAACTCACTCAAAACAATGGGCCTGAAACGGATTTAAGTGCCTTAAAATTTGAAATATTTTATTTCTTGCAATGAGCAGAGCACACATACCCCAGCCAGGTTGGAAATGGACAATGATGTAAGAACTACAGTGGTACCTCCGGTTAAGAACTTAATTCGTTCTGGAGGTCCGTTCTTAACCTGAGGTACCACTTTAGCTAATGGGACCTCCCGCTGCCGCCGCCCAATTTCTGTTCTCATCCTGAAGCAAAGTTCTTAACCCAAGGTACTATTTCTGGGTTAGCGGAGTCTGTAACCTGAAGCCTCTGTAACCCAAGGTACCACTGTAATGTAAAAAAAACACACCTGTCCATATCTCGCAAAAAAACAAGTCACCCGAGTTTCCTTAACTAAAGCTAAACATTCCACACTCAAAGTTCATGTAAAAATGTGTTCAAGCATGACTGACTCAAAGGGTTGAATCCAGAGTGCTTGGGAATTGAACTCTACACACACGATGCTCCTCTGCTAAAGGAGGGAAAAGGCAACATTCCTCCTTATTAATTTATTTTCCAAACTTTCATAAAAATGTATCAAAGTAGTATACAACTTATAAAAATAAAATTAGCAAAAAGCATTCACAAAAATGTCACTAGGACATCAATAAATACTAATTGCTTAAAAACAGAAAATTAAGATAGCAGAGGTTTATCTAAACAAGGGGTCAGCAAACTTACCACACCTCGGGCTGGTGTCTCCAGCGCTGATCGCGCAGCGGGCGGAGGAGCGCATGCCCATACGTGTGTACACACCCTACTTCCGGGTCGGAGGAGCACCAGAAATAGCTTGTGCGCATGAGCATGGGCCTCCTCCAACCCGGATGTGCACTGGAAATAACGCTTGCGCACAAGCTATTTCCACTGCTCCTCCGACCCAGAAGCGGGCAGCCGCGCAGCACAGGTAAGAGCGGGCGGCGGCAGCGGGCTGGATAAATGAGTCCCTGGGGCCTTATCCGGCTCGCGGGCCTTAGTTTGGTGACCCCTGATCTAAACAATAGTTTTCAAAAGACATCTGAAAGAAGGGAGGGATGTTTCCTGCTGAACCTCTACTGTAGAGGTTCCCTCTGTAGCTCCCTGAAAAGCTGCTCCAGAGGACTGCAAGATCCTCTGGAACCATGAGGGAGGCTGTGGGAAGGGGTGTTTGGAGGCTCCAGTGGATCTCAGTCCCTTTTGTGAATGCATTCAATGCATGGGAATATGCATCTAGTTACTTCCTACAAGCACTGGTGCTATATTGACATTTAAGTTTTCAGATTCTGCCACTCTGTTTTATATGTGCCTCTGACGGTCACACAAGACACTGTATCCGTATTAACACAGGGTGTAAACTTAAATATTCCAAATCTTGATTTTTAATGTGTTAATTACAAAGTCCCTCCTGAGGAACAGCCTTACTTACCATTTGAAGCTACTTGTATACAAAAAAACCTTTACTTATAAGCACAAAAATCTAAAAGCCACAATAATTTTGAATTTCAAAATTTTACACTTTACTTTCAGAAGTGTGCAGTTTCAGAACTGCTTTAGAAGTGTTTCAAATTATTATTAAATATATATATTTTCTTGCATTTACATCCTCTGCCTTTCTTCCACTGTGAAGCCCAAGGCATCATACACGTGCTTCCTCACAGTCAGTCATCCAGGTAGCTAATGTGCCCTCAGACCATTATCACCACCCTAAACATACTTATTTATTGGTTAATCCACTCAACACAGCTAAGTTTTTTCTTAATTCATTGAGCCAATATTTCGCTATAAATAACATCAATTTCAGTTCATTTGCTGTCATTCTACAATAGCAGGTTTTATTTGTTAATTGTCAAAAAGCCAACCCTCCCACCAACACCTAACTAAGCCACATGTTACTGCTGCCACTACTCCAATATTCACAAGTCCCCTTTCCCCCTCGTTTTTTTTGGCTCAACCTGGTAACTTGATAGTCTAGCTGAAATCTACAAGGTTCTTCAATTTTCCCTGCCTGCTGAAAGGGAGTCACCACAAGAGTACAGTACAACTGCAGGCTGGTGGTGGGAAGAGAAATTAAGAGCCTCCATAATTGGGCCAACAAGCAGTTTAAAAAGATGCATATGACACAAGGACTAGCAGTTACTGATTACAGCTCAAATGCTTATTTCATAGCATATAAATAATAAATGAAGTGCCTTATTTATCAGGTTCTCAAATACTTTGGACAGTAGTTATGACATTAGTACACTGTCAATTAACAGATGTCAGAAGTCTGCACTATTCAAAAATCTTAGCACATTTGCTGTTGGGATACAGCAGCGTTCCCGTGATCAAGGGAATGCTTAAGTACTAAAACAATTTTTGAAAGAAGAACACACTTCATGCTTTTTGCAAATTATTTGTAAGCATAAAGCAGTGAATTTATCACACTAAGTAGCTATTCATTTGTAGCAAGTAATCTGGAAAATGCACACTAGCAGTCCAGTCTTAAGAAAAATGTTACTGCATTAAGTCCAATACACAAAAGGGTTTTTTTAAGTGTTTACTTCATCTGTAACCAACTCTTAATTGTTCACTTTACGTACTTTAGAATGTTGTATATGTCACAACTCAATTACAACTTGACAGTTAATTTTTATCATCAAGTTACAGGCCCATGGTTCTCCCTCCTAATGTAAGTACATGGGAAAACAGTGCAACACATGGTTCCTTTTGTCTTATTCAGGTTCAGAGAAATAAACCCAATTATCACCATGAAGCTGGGTACCATTTACCAAATGTTCTGAAAATTTAGACATTTACAGCCCAAACCTTTATGTGCCTACTCAGAAATAAGTCCCACTGAATTCAGTAGGACTTATTCTGCGGTAACTGTAATCTTAATCACATTAAACATGTGGGTTCTTTAATTAGTGCAGAGTGACAGAAAAATATCAATACTTTCTTAGGTTCCAATTTTAAAACAAAAAATTGGTGTGTTCTGCATACTATGCAAGTTACAAATGGGTGAGAGGTTCACACAGCAGCGCACAGTTCTTAAAATTTCATCTCAGAACATGTACACATCAGAATCCACATCAGAAAAGCAGTGGAAACACTGAACTAAAGAGATACCTCCATGGCAAATCCTAGTCGCTCTCAATTGGAAATAACACCTACTGAAGCGAAGCTTACGTCCTAATAAGCATACCTAGCATTGGGCGGCATGCCTGCAATTAAAACTTAAGACCTATATTCAAAAAGTGCCTTTCTCACGTTAGCCTGCAAGGCCCAACTTAAAGCACATCAAGGGCTCACTCCATTTTGTCTCTTCCCTCAGCCCCTAGTAGGCGGCAGCAGCAGATAGCTGGAGCCAAGCAACACGCGGGCCACGCACGTGGCCAGGTGCAAATGGGCTAAACTTCATTAGCAGCGGCAATCCAGGACGCTGCTGCCTGCGCGCTTGCAGCTTGGCAAACCTGAGCCCCTCTCCTCGCAAAAAGCACTCTCCGATCGCAGGCTTTTTCGCCCTCAAAGAAGAGCCACCATTACAAACATTGGCGGCCCGCCTTAACTTGCCCCCCCCCCTTCCCGGGCAAGGCCTAAGTATCCTGACACACACCTGCCCCGCAACCCTCACCTTCCTTGCTTCACTCCCTCTGAAGAAGTGCAGGGGCCCAGCGAGCCGCCTCTCTCTGCCCCCCCCTCCTATGAGGCGCGCGTTCACACGGCGCCTGGTCGACACGAGGTGGTCGACCCTTGCCTGCACGCAAGGCAACGCGAGCACAGCACCCCAGGCCGCCCTAATAAAGCATGGAGGAAAGGGATCGGGTCCTTTCTAGGAAATCTATCTAGGAAGGGACGGGATCCTGCTCCAGCACCACGTGCTGCGTCAAAGGCGGGCCGGGGGCTCTTACTGCGGGCCGGACTCGCTGGGTGACGGGGGGGGGAGGCTGCCTCCGCCCGCGCAAGGGAGACGCTGCCCTGGTTTCTGGGGAGGGAGGCCCTGGCTTCCCCCCTAAAAGGAGCCACCGCTCCCACCACTTACCTTCCTTCCTGAGGGGCGCGGAGCCAGGCTGCCCGCCGCCGCCGCCATCCTCTCTTCGGTCGCCGGCGCCGCCAGGCCCAGAGGAGGAGGAGGCGAAGGGCGGCAGAGGGTTTTTGCGCTCCTTCTGCGACTCCCTGCGCAGCTGCTTGGCCGCGCTGCCGCTCCCGCCGCCGGAGCCGGGCTGGCCCGACCCGCCGCTTGAGGAGGAGTTGGCCTGGGCCGCCTGCCCGCCGCCACCGCCGCGGCCGCCCTGATGGCCCCCTCCGCCGCCGCCGCCGCCGCCTCCCCCTCCGCCGCCGCTCTCTTTCTTGCGGCTCTCGGCCGCCTGGATCACCTCGAAGGGGTCGGATTCGTCGTCCAAGAGCTGGTCAAAGCGGTTGGTGACGACGCAACCGAAGCCTTCCTGCAGGTGTCCGGGCATGATGGGCCCCTCTCGGTGGGATCCTCCTCCGATGCTGCCCAGGCCCCTGGCCCACCCCCTCCGCGCTCGCTTGCTGCCCACACAAGATGGCCGGCCCCCTAAGAAACTCGCTTCTCTTCCGGCGAGAGCGACATCCGGGAAACAGGCGGCAGGAGGCCGCGGGCGCCCGCAAAGGGTCTCGGGAAGCGGAGGCCTGGCCCTCCGACTGCTGGAGTAATCGGCACGCCTCGAGGAGCGGGACCACAATTCCCGGCAGGCACCGCGGCAACGAGAGACAAGGAGGCAGAGGCGAACATCCCAATGCGTTCCCGCCTCCCCCAGCCTCAGACTATTGGGAGGGGAGCAGGAAAGAGAGCGGCAGGCAGTTCCCCCTTTTCTTAGAAGGAAGCGACAGTGTTTTTAAACAAAAAGCAAAATGTGGGGTGCTCTTCTCTACAAATCAGGCTGAAAACCTGAAAGGTCAATAAGGCTCTTTTCTGCTAACTCAAAAGACTAGTGAGGGGGGATTATTTTTTGATAGCTTCAGCTATTTTGTTTTTGTGGATATATGTAACACCGATATAGATATAGACGGTATAGATAGCGTCCGCTGTAATGTGCATGCAGTACAGTAAATGTTTGTGCAAGTGAAGAAGGCAGTGTGCAGATTGCCAGTTTCACTTGCTAGTTTCTGTGCAGAATTCGATCAAGGCTGCAATCCTATAAAACCTTACTTCCAAATACGCATTAATAGGATTGTAACTACAAATGGCAGCTTTCAGGTTCCTGGAAAAGAAAGAAAATCAAGCTACGAACTAAAAAAAATGGTAAAATTGTGGTCTCTTCTGTATTCAACATGATGCTTGTCACAGGATCTGAAATCAGTATTAAACTGTTCTAGAATTAACAACCATGCTTTGATTCCACGTTTACACATAATCAGGTCACCCATAAGCATGAAAGAAAAAGGCGGACGAGGTTAGCCTCAATATCCCATTGGGCAAACAAATTATTTGTTTCTTTAGAGCATTTGTATCCACCCTCATCAGCCCCAAAAGCTGCCAGAGGGGCTTACATACAATCACTGTGTCTCTTAAACAATGCTGCCCTTCTATTAGAGATCATGCACATCTAAGTATTTGTGGAAGCAACAAATTGACCATGGCAAAAGAAGGTTGCTGCATCATGACAGATTCATCTAGATATATAATGAACTAATTATTAAAGTTTTGTTCCACATGATCTTCCCACATTAGGAAAGGAGGAATGGGAAGCCACATGTACGTGTTAAAAATGGTAAAGATAAAGAACCCCTGACAGTTAAGTCCAGTCGCGAACAAGTCTGGAGTTGCGGCACTTATCTCGCTTTACTGGCCAAGGGAGCCGTTTGTTCGCAGTTTTTCCAGGTCACGTGGCCAGCATGACTAAGCTGCTTCTGGCGAACCAGAGCAGTGCACGGAAACACCGTTTGCCTTCCCCGCCAGAGTGGTACCTATTTATCTACTTGCACTTTTGACGTGCTTTTGAACTGCTAGGTTGGCAGGAGCTGGGACCGAGCAACGGGACCTCACCGCGTCATGGGGATTTGAACCGCCGACTTTCTGATCAGCAAGTCCATTTTAGCAGGAGGCAAAAAGAGTACAGGGAAGGTGCCTGCCTGATGCCCACAGGCAGGGAGTCCCAAAGTTTTAGGCAAATCTTCTTCCTCAGTAGCCCCCCCCCCCACCTCACTTGACATTGTTCAAGAGAGCTTTAGGCTGTAGACAGGAGCAGGGTAACAAGAAACACTCACTTTATTTCTTTATTAAATTTGTATACTGCTCTACATTCATAAATCTCAGGGCGGTTCGCAACATAAAATTACAATACAAGAAACAAAATACATAATAAAAATGAGGTTCTAAGTTGATGCTCTCGTGCAAAAACACTCAGCTGTAGATAAAAAAAAATATTAGTCACTCTTCAAAAAATAAATTTTAAGAGCAGTTTGACACAATTTTTTGGTGTTCACTTTCAAAAAATATAATGAAGGCAAGCAGGTGCATAATTACAGGTATGGCAGTCAGAGAAGTGTGGTTGCTATTATGGGATTAATCATGCACCCTAAATGTAAGCAAAGGCTAAACAATAGGCGTGTTTGTAGCTATGCAACATAATGTTTTCTCCATTCATACCTAAAGCAGAGCTTGGTCAGAGAGGGTAATCTGACAGGAAACTCTTGCAAAATCCTTCTTTCCAGTTCATAGGAGTAATTCAGATCAAGTTTTCTCAATTTTTTAGCCTTGTCTGACAAGCTGTAAAGAGCAGAGCTAGAGATGTTGGTTCCAATTGTTTATGTGTATATTATAACGTACATGTTTTTTAAAAGGAATTCCAGAGACATATGCAAAGCCAGTTGCACATTTGTAAGTTTTGCAGGTATATCTTCAGCTCACAAGCAGGGGGAGAACTAATAATCGAATAAAATGCCACTCCCTTGTTTTGTATAACGGTATCTGTCACTTTCTTTGTAAAACGCACACAAGCACACAATCCAGACGCAATGGACACACATTTTCCAGTCTTGTGACCTAAACCAATGTGATCTGAAATTTAGAAAGCAACTAATGGAACAAAGCAAGACTTTATTCTTAAATCTAATTCTCTCCAAGCTAGAAAGGAAAGAGGAAAAGAAATAAAGAATGCTTAGTTTTGGTTACCCGTCACTGGCCTTTGGCTTAAACTGCAGCAGTCAAGGAAAGCAACCATATTAGCATCACTTATATTTAAGATTTCATTTTGTAACTTTTCCCACTTTAGCCACCTAAACTGCACCCTGGTACTTGTTTGCCTCTGGGGCATATTTCTGAATAGACATTTATTGGATAGGACTCTTAAGCACTGTAATAAATTTATCTAGAAAGTTCTGCATTTTCAGTCCATTTCTTTGAGCCCTGAGGTATTGTTGAGTGACTGAGTCCAATAGCAATCCACACACACCAAGTATTTTGGCTTACTCTGCACAATGGTATTCACTCTTCAGAGCCAAAGTCCATCAACGGAAAGATGGAACATTCTGAAGCCTGCAATTCACATTCAGGGCTGACTTGAATTGGTGTGGTGAGCAAGCAAGATGAATGGCTCCATGTAGAACTCTGAAAATGTAAAGTCGTCATGCAACTGCTATGCGGTATCATTGCATGTCAAGTTGTAAGCTGGGCACATGGTAAAGCAAGCATATGACTGCTTGCTTAATACTACAATCCAAGATCTGTGTAAGAGCCAACCCAAGCCACACTCTTAATTTACTAATCAGCTCTACAAATGATTCCTGAATTACAGCCATCAGACCAAAGTAAATAAAATGTTTAAAGGCAAGATGTCTGGATAGTGTGGGAGGAATTAAGAGAACAGGAAAGGAGGAAGAAGCAGGAAATAGTGGGAATTCAACGTATTGGAGTTGTTGCTCAGAAAGTTAACTGAAAACATGGTACAGTTCCTCATAGTCTTTCCCAGCCTAGTGTCCTCCTGGTTTTTTAGACTACAACTCTCAGTCCCAGCTAGCACAGCTGAGGTTGATGGGAATTGTAGTCCAAATCAACCAGAGGGCACCAGCTTGCAGAAGCTTGCCATAGACTGTACTTGCATTTATCTCCATCTTTGAATTATGTGCATGGATTACTTGTATGGGGGGAGGGGGCGCCAACACCAGTAAAACCTACTTTATTGAAAGTTCTCATTGTATGTGAAAAGGCAATGGCATCATTGAGTAAGGTAAAGGTAAAGGGACCACTGACCATTAGGTCCAGTCATGACCGACTCTGGGGTTGCGGTGCTCATCTTGCTTTATTGGCCGAGGGAGCCGGCGTACAGCTTCCGGGTCATATGGCCAGCATGACTAAGCCGCTTCTGGCGAACCAGAGCAGCGCACGGAAACGCCGTTTACCTTCCCACTGGAGCGGTACCTATTTATCTACTTGCACTTTGATGTGCTTTCGAACTGCTAGGCTGGCAGGAGCAGGGACTGAGCAACAGGAGCTCACCCCGTTGCTGGGATTCGAACCACCGATCTTCTGATCGGCAAGTCCTAGGCTCTGTGGTTTAACCCACAGTGCCACCTGCGTCCTGCATCATTGAGTAGTCTTGGCTAAATGCTTGAATTAGCCACAGGCTAAAGAGTAGGGTTGTGGTTTTTTAAAAAAGACATTTCATTGCATGCATTCATGGAACCGCTTTCAATACTGAGATTGGATATTCACTGCCTATGGCACACATCCTCATCTCCCTGTAATCCTTGGTCAAAATTAGTTTTACAACTCTTTCCTGCCACTTTAAACTCCTCGAATCTTGTTTGATCAAAGGCAACAGCAGGGCAAAAAAAATTAGTACCCACGTGATAGAAAGCAAGGCTTCCAAAATACCACCCTCTAAGTACTGTATACCTGGTGGAGATCATCCCTCATGATCCCAGTTTTTTCTTCTCCACAAGCCTTCCTTCATTCTCTCTAGCTGGTTACTCAAGAACCTCCTTTGAACAGCTGTCAGTCTGTCTGTCCATCTGGAGCAACTCACTGCATACTACATATGTCAAGTCATGGATTGCGTCACTCCAATCACCTTTTTTAAAAAAAATTTGTCCATCAAAGGAAACAATTTACGAAAGTGCATGGAAAATTGAGCCAAGTTTCCTCAAGACTCCATTGCTAACAATTATCTATCTTGAGGGCAATTGCATTGCTTTCTTTGAACTCTCTTGTATATTTTCACTATGAAGTGTTAACTTGTATCTGAATAACATGCCGTTATTATTTCTGTGTTAACATCGTCCTTTAGTGTTAAAAAAGTAATAATCGCCATCCATCGAGAGGATTCCAGAATGTCACAAAACATACAAATAAAACATAAAATCAAATACATAGAACAACATACAGCAAAAGTACAAGGAAGATTGAAAAGCCTAGAACTAAAGGGAAGACATATGCAGATGTTGCTCTGATGCAATAAAGCTGAGTAAGAATCTGGTCATTTTTTATATATATCATAAAAAGTAGATTACATTTGCAGTTTATTCCTTGTGACTTTCCAGGCATTCTCAGAATTCTGAAGCTTTTGCTACCTGTAAGATTTGTTTTTGAGCAGTGTTCACTAGGGTGGGTG